CACATTATTTTTTCCCTTTTTTTTAAAAAAAAAAAAGATTGTAATAGTAATGCCACGAAGATTGCGTGCTGCGGGAAAGTCGTCATGGGAGGTCGATTCGGCCGCCGCGACGGCTGAACGAGAAGGCCAGTGAAGATGCACCATTTTCGCTAGCGGTGGCAAACCATGAGCGAAGATACATTTTCACTGGCGGATAACATAATGGAGCCGCCAACAAAGATAGTTATCGTTGGCGGTTGCCTTATAACAGTCACCAGTGAAAATGATCTTCGCTGGCGCACTTAAGCTACATGGCCCGCCAGCAAAAATGCACTTTACCAGTTGCTTGCTGACACGTGACCCGCTTATGAAGATATTTAATTATTTTTTAGGAAAAAATTGAAACTATTTTTAGTTTGTTCACGTACTTAAGAATCACACATAGAGGATATATTCAATCGAGCAATCGATGATAAATGTTTTCTTATTGTTGCTTGCAACATCTATTGATAATTAATAGGGTTAATTGGAACCATGTCATTATAAATTTCATTGTTTGGAAAAATGTCATTAATGTTCATCTATTTGGTATTATACTATTCCAATTTCACAGGTATAAGAGATATGCTACTACGTACCCCTCACTGTATTTCTAACATTTTAGGACCAAATTACCCCTTTATTTTTCTTCTTCCTTCCCCTCTCTTCTCTCTTTCAGCCGACGAACTGTAATGACCTCATGCTCGAGGAGATGGATTCTAATCATTTGGGCAAATATCCACCCGTTTATTACATGCCAATTAAATGGTTATTAAAAAAAAAGACAAGATGGATCAATATGTAATATACATCATGTAAAGCCTTATCTTATGTCATACACTTGTCATACATAGGTAATGACACTAAAAAAATGAGTTCAATAGGAGCACCCAACAAAATATACCATTGAACAAAACTTCAGCACGACAAAAACAAGAAGGTTAAGATCACGGTCTGACAGTGTATCAGCACTATTAACGTATCCACAATTTATACTCATTATCATGCCTCAAAACTGAACGGCAACTATCCAACACTGATCCTTGGGTTCTTTCGTTGTTACAGTATGAAAATTGAACCCATCATATTCACCCAACAAAAAGAAGCATTCAGCTTCAGTGCACAAATCCAAGGATAAAAGCTTAAGACAAAAAACGTACAGCAGCTGCCAACTTCTGTTCACATCTGTTGGAACAGTCTCAAGCATCACCATGAACAAAAACACGGTCCTTATCATCAAGAACTAGGAAGAAACAGCTTTTCTTTCTTCATCATCAGTGATCGGTAGTTTCGTAGGCACGTCAAAGCTTGCCTTTAGCGTGCGAAGTCTTTACTCTGTGCTGATTAATGCCTGGAGCAGGGGATGCCCTGATTCTGCAATTGAGGTGCCCGCACCATTAGATCCTGGATGCCCTGATCTACAACAGCAATGCCTGCAGCTGCAAGACCAACCAACTGTTAGCAGCCAATTACACATGGAAAATATGACGGGATGGATGATGTCAATGACCAACCAACTGTCAATGATTTCTAAGGCAATTCTGAAAATATTATAACTAGTTTGGTGTGTTTACAGTCCTGGGAGCCAATACTGGAGCTGCTACTAGCATGAGTTCAGGAACAAGGTAACTTGTGCAGGCTAGAACTATAGTAATTGACATCAGCAGCATGGCTCCAATGTGCACCAATTCGGCGTCACATTGGTCAACCCATTTTCTGGGGGTGCCTAACAGGGCGAAACTAACTAGAATCAGGCTCTAATTCAGTAGTAATCCCATAGATTGGATAAACTACTAAGTAAAAACTGGCTTGACCTATGTATCTTTTGGTCTAGTCTTGGTAAAATTGAATTGGTTTCTGTTGTTGTTGAGTCCATTTGGACCCCTGGTACCTGTGCACCTATTTCAGGCTGGCTGGCTGGCCATGTGTCACACAGGTCTTTTTGGTTAATTCATTTGAAGATTTTGCCTAAGACTTGCTGCATACTAAGATACCTGCCGGGCATTTGAAATTTGGTAACCCACTTCATTGTCCTGTACATATACAAAGGCTTCTGTTCGCTGCTAGTACTACCTTAGCTGACCAGAAGTTAGGAATCAACGATGCATTTATATGTGTGTTTAGTTCACGTCAAAATTGTAAGTTTGGTTTAAATTGGAACGATGTGACGAAAAAGTTGGAAGTTTATATGTGTAGGAAAGTTTTGATGTGATGGAAAAGTTGGAAGTTTGAAAAAAAAAGTTTGGAAGTAAACTCGGCCTAACCTGCATTTGCTGTTTTGGTTGAAATAAGATTCAGAGAAGATTCGTTGGTACCATTAAAGAGAGGACCAATTTTCCAGTTGCTCACTAGGTGATTTCAACCAGAAGCTCCGGTCGAAGCCCCATGTTCATAAGACCATGCTAGCAAAAAGATAAAATTAGTAAAACAAAGCAGATGTTCAAATATCGCTGGGATAATATACCACTCTCAAACGCCAAATAGACCGTTCTTAGCACCAGCAGAGGTGGGGAAGCGCGCATAATACCAATGCCTCACTCAAGATGTGACAGGCAAGCCCCACTGCTATATGAAGAGCTAAGGGGCTGTGTGGTTTTCGAGACTTATTTTAAGGTCCTGTCACATCGAATGTTTGAACACTAATTTAGAGTATTAAATATACACTAATTATAAAATCCATTTCATAATATTGGACTAATTCGCGAGACGAATCTTTTGAGTCTAATTACGCCATAATTTTGACAGTGTGATGCTACAGTAAACTTTTGATAATTATGGATTAATTAGGCTTAAAAAATTCGTCTCGCGGATTAGCTCTCATTTATGAAATTAGTTTTTTTATTAGTCTATGTTTAATACTCTAAATTAACGTCCAAACATCCGATGTGACATGGGCTAAAAAATTTTTAGCACCATCTAAACACCCCCACACAAGCATAAACAGGAGAGGGGTTCCATGTTCCATCAACAGTGAAGGTAAAGAATACTGGCTTGCCAATGGTATAGCAGAAGGGAACATCTTTGGGATCTGGAGAGGTGGGCATCACTGCCAATATTTAGAATCACAAATGTAAGTTACTTCTAGATTAGACAAAAAGAATGAAAAACTTAACGTAAGAATCAGTAACAGTATACTATATGTAGGTGCAGCACGTGCTCTTATTAGGGAACTTGCTGCCTATGGAGTCCCGAAAGCCAGAACAACAACAACGAACACGAGGAAGAGCTCCTCAAGGGGGATCCCATGGGATCATTTTGTAACCTAGTTTGTAAAAACTCTGGGTTTTTTTTCTCTCTTCTCCTAATATGAAATAGGCAGAGCTCCTGATTTTACCCCTAAAAAAACACGAGGAAGAGCATCAGATAGAACGCCTTACGGACAAAAACAACACAAGGGTCATTCTTGTGCTGTCGACATACATAGCATCCTCTTGCTTATTGTAATGAATCCCATGTCTTTCTAGCCAATCCTTCTCCATACCTCAGATGCTATCTGCATTTAAGTGATCAAATTTTCAATATGGCAACATATTTCAAAGATATTTGGAACAACTTAATAGCACAGATCGTATGCTTCAATATGGGTAAATGGATTGGCATAATATAACTTCTTTTTAAACTGAAACTGGCATAATATGACCATAATGATGGAAAAACCATGTCACCGCCTCACCGGTCTTGACTTCCTAGGAAGTTGGGACGCTTGTGTCGGGAGGGGTTTGCATCGATACCTCAAATCAAACGCATCACTAGGCGGTCATGTCAGCCTGCAGGGGATTCCCTGGTCGGATTGAGGCGTGGCGAGGACGGCGCTAGAGGTGGCTGCCGGCGAAGCGCTCCTAATTGAACCTAGAGCAGCACTGCTAGCTACTAAGCTTCGTAGCAAGTTGGATTATAGGCTTAAACAAACAATCGGCAGCAAAAAAACTCCGATCGGGTCAATCGGCGCCACTGTTAAACCCTACCTATTGACTATTCCCGCCGAAGGCACCGGGGTGGGGGGGAGGAGCATGCGAAGGCCATGACGAGATAGATACTTACAAAGGGACGGTGCACCAGGTCACCAACCAATTCTGTCGACGGAGTCGGGGGCGATCGCCGCGGCGGCGGCGAGTTGGGGAGGAGAGGCGGCCATGGAGCTTCGCGTGGTGAGTTGGGTGACTGGTGGTACCAAGAAAAAACGTGCAATAAAAACCACCAATTAATTGAAAACCCATGAAAACTATATCTAAATTTCTCTAAGTTCATGAAAAAAAAATGCAGAGATGGTTATAGTTTTGAAATTATTTTACACAAAATCTTAAATCCGATCTCCAAGAGGAAAAAAAGGGACAAATTCCATGTGAATATTACCCTGATACTATTCATCCTTTTTTTTACACTCAAACGAAGTTAAATTTAGACTTGATATTTAGACATAATGTATTTTATGACTATACCTATATCTAATATTTTTTTAAAAAACTTTTATGTTTGATTTTCATAGGTTTTATTTGATGGTTTTTACTTAATATGACTCAAGTATGAATTATTTACCAGTAGAACTACGTAGATTGGGGTAATATGTTGTTTTTCAAGGGGCGAAAACGACTCAGAAATGGATGGAAACCACCTTTACCGCTTTCGTTTTCAAATCTTTTTAAGAATCACAATAAAAAAAATCCTGAATTCAAAAATGGAATCGAATATTATCGGATACGGAAACAGAGCTAATACAAAATGACGCGGATATGGGAACGGAAATATATCGGAATATAAAAATCCCTCTAAGTGAGCTTCCAAGTGTTTTTTTTTCTAAAACAATAGATAAAATCCAAAATTTTAGCAACTAACATCCCAGATCACTTCGTCACAAAACCGAGTAAAGTTTGTACTTACTGCCACAAAGTGAGGTGCATATCTTGATCTCTCATTGTGGCAATCACAATAGGAAGTGCAGAATAATGCATCACATAACACAATCACTCACAGAGTGAAAGTCACATTTAAATTGTAGTATGTCTTCTGCTCAGGTCCAAATCCCCCAAAACCACGAATTCCGCGTGGACCGCGTCGAGGAAAAAACCGAACTTTCCTAGTGTCCCCTCCACACTCTCATCGCGTGCTTCCTGCGCTCACTCTCTTCTGGAAGAGCTTATTCCCGGCGCGACCATGGCGATGGCGGCGCTGCGTGAGGCCTCCCGCCGTCTGGTCTCCAGGAGGGAGTCCCCGGCGGCCTACGCGCGCCCCTTCCTCCTCACGCACTCCCGGGGCATCACCTACAGGCTCTTCATCGGAGGTAAACCTCACCCCCCGTCTCCGTCTCCTCCCGTTTCCTGACTCGCGCATGCCGCTTGTGTAACATCTCCACCATGGCGTCATCACAGCGCTGCAGATCTTTGCTCGCTCGCCGTCTCTCGTGCGTGCAGATCTGTGTGATTGGCGGCTCGGCAAGTCGGCAAGCCTGTGCATGCATAGTGTTCGACGAAATGCCCGAGAGACGCATTCACCCTGAGTTTCTATCCTTTTACAGGGCTGTCCCAATTCGCGACCGAGGATAGCCTGGCAGAAGCTTTCTCTCAGTATGGCCAGGTACTAGAAGGTACATTTACTTGTAACTTACCAGAGCCGAGCCTAGAGCACACTTTGGTTTATACTTCTTGTCATTACTAGTAAGTTGGAAACTGTTCTTGTTCAAATGCAGCAACAATTGTCACCGATAAGATGACCAACAGACCAAAAGGATTCGGCTTTGTGAAATTTGCCTCCGAAGAAGCCGCCAATAAAGCAAAGGAAGAGATGAACGGCAAGGCAAGCTTTTTGAAACAGTGTATTTTTAGTTCAGCCTAGGCCTTGTTTGGAATGTTGGATTACCACATGAACTTCACAGGAAACCCCAAAATCCAGTTTAAGGGTTGGTTGTTTCTTTCCTAGCAAGTTCATGTAGAATATCAGTCTTGCAAACAAGGCCTTAGAAGTTAGAAGCACACTCTGTTTTTCCTACTTGATTTGATTAACGCAAACTTGCAACAGGTATTGAACGGCCGAGTTATCTATGTCGACATTGCGAAGGCCAAAATGAATCGTACTACAGATTCCAGTCCAAGAGCGACAGGTCCTCCTAAGCCACCTGACCGCTGTTGATAGCATGCGTGTCATCTTCATACTTTCCTTTTTATCTGCTGCACGAGTAGTCTATTGTTAGATTGGGAGTACCTAAAACCATAGAGAGTAATATGAACGATATTACAAAGCTTAGAATGTTGAATGTCCAGTTTTAAAGTTCAGGTGCTAATGGATTTTCATCCAAAGTTTATGGGGAGGTTATTGGGACTTCTTCCTATTATTATTGAGAAGTTCATGCGTAATAATACTGGATTTCCAGTTTTGCAATAAAAGAAGATGTGCCCGATCAACAGCTCAGATTATGATATAACATCACATGCTCTTGCCGATCAAATACTGTGCCCTTTCCTTCTTTGTCATGGACAGTATCTATAATGCTGTCGCCATGAAATGATCTGAAAAGTGCTGTTCATATAGTTGCATATGCTCTTGATGAAGCTGTGGTAGAACAGTGTCCTTCCTCCATGTCTGTCCAGTGTTCTGTATGGAACTAATAATGAATTGGTGTTTTCAAGTACTCCTAACTTAAACTTCATTTGATTTCCCTAAAACTGTGGAACAGTACCTTGATTATACGGAAAACATGAATTGTAATGCGATGGACAGACGGCACATTTTTTTCTGCATTCTTGTATTATTTGAAGGGAAAACATTACTCTTTCTTTTTCAAATTGAAACGTAAAAAAGCACTACTACATGAGATTGGAACATGCGAACAATGTCAATTCTACTAGGCTTAATGTCACATCCTAGGATCAGCTCAGGTGTTTTATCTCCTATTTTAAATGGATGATAAGCACCTGGCCAATTTTTATAGTTTAAGAATAATGTAACTACGGTGGAAGAAAAATACACGCGAGTTCTCTGCTCGATTTGTACACTGATGAAGAGAAGGCCACATTTTGTCCTCTCTTTTTCCTAACCGCAGCCGCCGATCACCGGAGCACCACGGCGGCGACGAAGCTCAGCACGGCCATGGCGCTGGCGGCGGAGCAGCACAGGTCGATGAGCGCCTCGCGTCGCGCCTTGCTCTCCTTCCTCCCCTTCCTGCTCTTCACGAACTCGTCATACCTCCTCTTCGCCTCGTCCCGTTCTCTCCCCCCGCCTATCCTCTGTTCCTCCATTGCCGCAGCGAGGAGGCGGAGGCTTCGCTCGCCGCTCGCCGCGGCGCCGTCGGCGTCCTGCACGGCGAGGCTGACCTCGCTGATGTTGCCGGCCCCCTCGGAGCAGGTCACGGTGGTCTCGAACTTGCACCCGCCCAGCACCACCGCGAACCTCACCAGCGTCTCGCCGGTGTACCAGTGCCGGTCCACCGCCACGGCGCGCCGGCTGGACACGTTCACCGCTCGGCCGCGGGCAGGGTCGACGACCACCCAGCTCAGCTCCAGCTCCGCCGGAGACAGCGCCGCCTCCGCCGCCGGCTTCTTGCACTCCACGGCCTCCACCCGGAACGGCGAGCCGAGGAACCACGGCGACGACGCGGGCGTCTCCACGACACGGGAGAGCAGGGGCGCCCCCCTGTAGTAGACGTCCACCGCCGAGACGAGCTCCGACGGGAGGGGACCTCCGCCGCCGCCGCCGAGCTCCCCGGCGTCCGGGCGCGGGAACGGGAACGCGTCGGCGAAGAGCCGGCGCGGCGGGACCACGGACAGCAGCCGCGGGTGCCCCGCCATGGACGGCCACTCCGCGAGGCAGAGCGCGCGCCACGTCTCCGGGTCCGCGGCGAGCGCCCGGAGCCCCGCCGTGGCGCAGCTCGCCGCCGCCAGCGACCGCCCGTCCAGCCGCCGCAGCGCGCGCGCCAGCACGTCGGCGTGCAGGTCCTCTATCGTAGTAGTCGCCACCATTTTCTCTTCTTCTCTCCCTGGCGCCATCACCCTCTCTCTCCTCTTTTGTACGATGAACCGGTGATAACTACTGCGCCTCCGCCGTGGTCCGGCTTTTATATAGCACTCCTCCTTGTGTGCCCTACTAGTAGTAAGCGCGGTGAACTCTGGTCAAAACCACAGCCGTCCTGGCTGCGACGTGGTCCAGTACCTGTACAGTGCGTTGGTGTGTTTCACAATTTTCTTTCGTTTTAACCCGCATGCCGGTGTGGCCGTGTGGGCGCGGCTTGCAGTGCAGGGCGCCGGCGTGGCAGCCGACGAGAAGGGGTCGGTGGCGCGTGCCAGGGCCGCGCTGGCGCCCGTGGTACGGCGCGACGCGGCTCGCCTCGGCGTATCATCTCAGGCCGCGAACGCGTGGCGCGCCGTGTCTCCTCCGTGCCACGCCGCGGCGCGTCTACCTGACTCTTGAGTCGGTACGCGTCGTGCGATCGGCTGGTTGGTCGGGCGCAACCGCAAACGCAAGCGAGACGTGCCGTTCGTTGCACTTGACGTGACAGAGAACCAAAAGAAAAACAGGTTTTGTTTCCCTGTGCCTTTCACGGCGACCGGTTTTTCTGGCTTGATGGCAAAGCAAATCTGTTGTGCACCGGTGTACCGTGTGTCCGTGTATCTGATTCTTAATTGCGTTTAGAAGGATATCGTTTTCCTCGCGGGGGGGAGAAGGCCGTCGAACGATCGGCACGGCATCTGCATACCGCTGAGATGCTGACGATGGGGGCGGCTCACCGGCATTAATGTCCTGGGAGAGTGAGATCGAGGGCTACTGGACGTGTTACGTGTACGACGGCTTGGCCTGCGTACGTACAGCTACCGTGTGCTGCTGCGCTGTTGCTCTTGCAGATTTCTCGTCAAGAAAGGCGCATTGATACAGGGATATGTACGTCCGTGTGTGTCGTTCCTATCCTCTCGCGGTGACACGATAAGCCTCTCCTAATAATTCTTTTTAGCACACGAGCTTTCTCCTGATCTTGCGATTTTCTGCATGATCTCTCGTTCGGTGTTCGGTGAAGCAATCAAAATGAGAAACAAATGTGGTAACTTTCTGCTTACTACTCTATCCATCTCATAATATAAGAAATTTTAGAGTTATGCACAGTTATTAAGATGGAGGTAGATGGAAAAAGTGAATGATGGAGGTTTGTGATTGGTTGGAAAGAGAATGCTGGTGAAGAAGTTGTTATATTTTAGAACAAATTCAAAGAGAAGTTATTGTATTTTGAGACGGAATGAGTAGTTTAGATGCACAGCAATGCTACGCTGTTGTTCTGTGATTGTGCTTCAGCTGGGGAAAGCAGAGCAATAGTATTCAGAGTTTAGAACTGTTTATATGCATAATGCAATTTTCTCGCGCTCCATTTTTGAAGTTCCTCAGCTTTCAAAGCCTGGGCGATCAGTCTGAGCATGTCGGTAGAGTCGCGGTCATGATTGCCAGAGCAATTAAACTGAAGATTAAATAAAGTCATATTGGAGTAGATTCAGATTGGCCCCGCAATAAGATAATCATATATATCCTTTGATTTCTTTTCTCATAATGGTTTCTGAAGCCTTGGCTCGGCCGGCCGTCATGGGTTGCCTGAACTAGCATCAGGGTTTCGGGGCCCAAATCCTCATATGGTCATATATAACTGCATGACGTTGCAATATGTATGGCAAGGATCTATTTTACATGGGTAAATTTGTTTATTACCGCTGTAAAAATCACGAGCTAAAAAATACATGCTACTCCCTTTATCCCATAATATAAGACGCGGTCAAAATTGACACGGTCTCCAAAACTAATCTTTAACCTATAATTTTCCATGTACTATAAGGTTCCTAGCCACAAAACTATAACCATATGAAAGTAAATTTAAATATCAATCTGATATAATTTTTAACAAATAAAATTTATTTTATACTCCATTCGTCCCTAAATATTTGATGTCGTTGACTTTTTTAAACATGTTTGACTGTTCGTCTTATTCAAAAACTTTTCTGAAATATGTAAAACTATATGTATACATAAAAGTATATTTAACAATGAATCAAATGATAGGAAAAGAATTAATAATTACTTAAAATTTTTAAATAAGACGAATGACCAACCATGTTTAAAAAAACCAATGACGTCAAACATTTAGAGATGAAGGGAGTATTATACTAAGTGTTAGTGAAATATTTTAAATGCTAAATCTTTAAATACGTGTGCGTCTTATATTATAGGATGGAGGGAGTACGTCATTAGTATGTAGATCCAGAGATCCAGCCTTTATATGTCATTATCATGTTACGATGTTATGTTACAACTCGAGTATCTTTAAGATGGTACTAAGTTATCCGATTTTACATTAGTATAATGTTTTGAGTTACCATGTTTTTAAGAGAAAAGATAGTTTTACCAAAGATTTGGATGCTACTATGGTATTACTTCCTTCATCTCAGAATAAGTTTGTTTTCCATCTATTTGTCTTACAGAGACGCCATCTTTTTCAGCGATCATTGCATTAGAGTATTGGGAGACAAACGTATTGAGATTTGCTAAAGTGGAGAATAATTATATTGGAGTTTGCTAAAGTAAGAACATTCTTTTTTTTTCCTTTGTATTGGCATGGGTAGAAATGGGCTAAAAATGAAGTCTTAGTGATGGAGATAGTACACGGGAACTGTCTAAAGATTTCAGATTGCAGATTTCAGGCTTCAGGCTTCTTTTGTTTGAGACCAAAATTAACCAATCAAAAAATAAATGTTGATATTGCCAAATTATTTGGCTTAGGGCTTGTTCACTTTATAGTCACTTTTAACCTTACCAAAATTTGGTTATACTAAATTTTAACACATTTTTACATTACCAAATTTTTAGTGCTAGATATGTTTTGTTTGAAGCCTTATCAAGTTTTGATGGAATTTTTACGAGTGGAAACTTATAAAACTACGGGCCTGTTAACTTTGGGCCTGTTCACTTTGGCATTGCCAAAATTTTGGTAGGATTTCTTATATAGTTACCAAAATTTGACAGTAAACTAAATGTAGCCACTTTTTTTGGCAACTTTACCAAAATTTGGTAAGGTTGAAAATGGCATCAAAGTGAATAGACCCTTTGATGCCGAAAAAAAACCTTACCAAATTTTGGCAATGTTGTCAAAATTTTGACAACTTGCCAAAATTTTGGTAGGATTTCTTATATAGTTACTAAAATTTAGCAGCAAACTAAATGTAGCCACTTTTTTGTTAACTTTACCAAAATTTGGTAAAGTTGAAAATAGCATCAAAGTGAACAGGCCCTACCAAAGGTTGGTAGGGTAACATTAATAAGAATATGTATAATTTGTTGCCTTACAAAAATTTGATAATACCAAAATTAGTAGGGTTAAAAGTGACACAAAAGTAAACAAGCCCTTACCAATCAAAAGCCTAGTCAATTTTCCCCAAAAAATTAGTAATTACCATTGTAAAAAAGAAAAATGGTAAGATCACAAATGGTAAAGAACCATATAAGCCCTAATTAGAGCTAAAGAATGCAGCTCAGGAACATGTGGCAGTGATCTCGGCACAAGGCATGTTTCGGAGTAAAAACAGATTCTTCAAAAAAATAACTTCATACAGACAGAAATTCAACATTTTCAGTCTAAAAAATAAGAAGATATTTGGAGGGAGAAATGTCCCTTCAAACATTTTTTTAAGAAAAAATTATGAGCATGTTAGGATCAAACACAAAATCTTGGAGTTGAAATTACATACCCCTTACCGCTCCACTGCACTGTCAAGTGCATCTCAGCATTTTAGTCTCACAGAGAACCTTCTGTTGTGTTCTAGACTGAGATAATTATTTTGGTTAATCCAATTAATCATTATCTCGAGTTACAACATTTTTTCTCTCTAGAGAAACATCTCCATTTTCTCATCGTCTCCCGGTTTAACTGCATTATTATATACTTCCTCCGTTTCTTAATGTAAATCATTCTACCATTTCACATTTATATTGATGTTAATGAATCTAGACATATATATCTATCTAGATTTATTAACATCAATATAAATATGAAAAATGTTAAAATGACTTACCCTATAAAATGGAGGGTGTAAAACGGAGAGAGAAGCTGTTTTCTGCGCAGCTTGTTTATGACTCGCGCATATTCCTTGTGGACAATTAGTCATTGAACTAGGACAAGTCTAGAAGTGGAATCGTGGAAAGCTTCGATTAGGTAAAGAAAATGAATGTAGGAACTTCATCTGGACCAAATGCCACATTTGACATCCAAGTTAAGATTCCCCATGTTGTCTCATGCGCGCTCGCAAGCCTCTCCTTTGCATGTCGCCGTGTCTTCAGCGGTCAAGCCGCCTTCATCGATCCTCTATTTGCACGTTGTGCAGTACTGAATTATACTATAATTCTGATTCAGTACAGGTGAAGAGTTTTTTTAAAAAAAAACTGAAAACAGCACTAGAGTGTCTTTTCATTGAATAGGGCGTACAGGTGAAGAGTTAGAAGAGTGCTTTGGCAGCACCTCCAGCCTCAAGCTTGTGATCCCGTATTCTGAGTTAATTCCATGACCTAAACTCAAACCATTCGGCTCTTCCTCTTGTGTAGTATATATCTGTTGACCTGCTGCTGTCCTGGAAGGTTTGCTTGCTTTTGTCACCATCTTTTCGTTTCTAGCGGTATTGCATCGATTGATCCATCTAATCCAGCATGTTACCCAGGGAAAAACTTGGCTCGAATCAGCGGCCGCGCGTGCGTACGTGCTCTTTGGTGCGATCGGATCTGATAAGAGTCCTGGACTCTGGACGTGTCTTGTTAGGAAGGAATCCCGTCGACGAAGGCTGTTTGGTCGGCGTCGCTCTCGATCTCACGGGCTCACTGTACGTAGTACGATGCAGAGCAGTTCATCTCATGGCTTCGTTTGACTGACAACGGGCGATGATCGGTTATCCTGTAAGACACTCTCCGCCAGAAGCTGTGTACGGGATGGGAAAACTGAACTGATCGCTGATGTATCAGGATCAGTCGATCAGAAGTTCAGGACAGATCGGACGCCGCGATCGGTGGCGCGTGGAATCGACGGAGAAAATTTTGGTTGGATGTCGGTACGCCCCAAAGTTCCAGTTAAACACTTCCACACCCTCTTGCTCTGTGGCTCCGTGCTTCAGCGACCTTCCCATGGTACGACGGCCAATGAACCGAGCTACTCGTCTACTCCTTTGCTAGAATGCTAGCTTCTTTCCCCGCTTCAAAATAAACCAATATAAATAATAATAGGATATAACCTAGGATAATAATCTGGATATCGTTATCTTAGATCCTCTAGATTGTTTTTTATTATACATTCTAAAATATACTTCCTCGATCCCAAAATAAGCGCATCAATTTTTGTGTCCAACTTTAATCGTCCGTCTTATTTAATTTTTTTTATGATTAGTATTTCTATTGTTGTTAAATTATAAAACATGAGTAATACTTTATGCGTGAATTATGTTTTTAGTTTTTTTAAAAAAAATTAAATAAGACAACGATTAAAATTAGACACAGAAATTCATAGTTGCGCTTATTTTGGAACTGAGGGAGTAGCAATTTTGCACACGATTGGACACATTCAAATACCATGAATATGGATAAGGATGTATCCTAAGCCGAGTTTAGTTCCAAACTTTTTTTTCAAACTTCCAACTTTATCATCACATCAAAACTTTCTTACACACAAACTTTCAACTTTTCCGTCGCATCGTTCTAATTTTAACCAAACTTTCAATTTTAGCGTAAACTAAACACACCCCTAGTATCATGAATTAGATAGATATCTATTCATATTCAGATTTATAGTATTATAATAAGACCAATTCAGTACTAAGTTGCTTTTTTTAAGATGGAGTGAGTATCTCATTAGTCGCTTGACGCATAGTTATAAATGAACAGTTGGTGTACTTAATGCGAAATTTGTTAGGAAGCAAGTGCAAGCTGATTGCAATCAGGGAGCAAAGACATCGCGATGAACCATTCAGTAATACTCCGTCCGTCTCATCATAATATAGTGATTTAAGATAAGATGTGATATTTTATACTACAATAAATTTTGTCTTAGGTTGCTATATACTATATCCATCTCAAAATATGTACATCCGTGGATATCTGTGTCCAACGTTTGACCATTCGTCTTATTTAGAAAAATAAAAAAAATTAGTCACACATAAAGTACTATTCATGTATTATCATCTAATAACAATAAAAATACTAATCATAAAAAATATTAAATAAAACAAATAGTCAAACATTGAATGAACAATGCAAAACATTATTTATTTTGGGACGGAGGGAGTATATTATGAAAAGTAACCACGCTAGTGTGTATGGTAGCCGCGGAATGGGCTGGCCTTCGGGAGTTCGGGATCTTTACGGATTGGAATAAGTGCACTTTAGGTCTCTCTATTCGTCGCTCAGTCCGATTTTCGTCCCTGAACTGTAAAACCGGGTACAACCCATCCCCCAACTTACGAAAACCGGACAAACGAGGTCCCTCGGCAGTATGGAGGGCAGTTTTGGCCGACGTGGCGTCTATGTGGCTAATTTGACTTGATCTTCATCTGACGTGATATTGACATGGCGCTGACGTGGCAATTCGATCCAGAAAAATATTAAACCCCGTGGCACCCACATGTCAGTTTGACACACAAATTAATAAAAAATAGTGGGGCCCACGTGAGCCCCACATATCATTCTCACCCTTCTCTTCTTCCTCCTCCCTCCCTCTCCCTCTCCCTCTCCCTCCCCTCTCGTGGAGGAGTTCAGGGCCGCGCATGTGGGCGCGGTGCCGGGAGCTGCACGACCGAGTCGTGGCGTCCGCGTCCCCTTCCCTGCTGCGGCAGCCCGCGCTGCGGTCCCTCCTCTGCCTCGTTGCCGTCGAGCTGCAGCTCCTCAAACTCCTAAACGACACCACTAATCAATGGATAGCTAGCTAGAGGAAGAGCTCAACTGCATGTCTGCCACTCTGCATGCTTATGGTTCATGGTGTTTATGGTTGGGGGTTGAAGCCAGCTTGAACACATGTGTAGTACTTCGGTCAACTACATTGGTAGAGAGTATAATTGGACTGAGCTGCGTTGGATGGATGTGAAGAAGAGCGAGACGGCACGAGGCAAGTAGCAGGTGATGAGGCTGCAAAATGAGAAGGAACATGAGCAAGTGACGACGACACAGTCGTGCAGCTTCCGGCACCTCGCCCGCGTGAGCTCCAGTTCGTCGGAGTCGGGCGGCGCCGTGGCCCCGAACTCCTCCACGAGCCCCCGCGCGGGGTCCGCGCCGCTGCCGTGGAGGAGGAGGAGGAGGAGGAGACCACGGCGGCCGGCTGTGCCAGTGGGAGAGGGGGAAGAGGAGGCCGGCGAGCAGGTTGCCGCCGAGTTGCAGCCGCACACGGGCGGGAACTTAGCGCCGCACCCCGCCAACGACGAGGTTCCCGCCGTTCGCTTGGCTCCACCGCCCCGCCGGCTTCGGGCGCCGCCACTGCGCCCGCGCGTCCGCCCGCCGCTGCCCCACTCCGCCCCGTCGGCTTTGCGCCGCCGTCCGCCTGCCGCCGCCCCCCACTCCGCTCCGTCGTTGTCCCCGGCGCCGCTGCTATGTGGGGTGAGATGGGGAGAAAGAAGAGGTGGGGTGAGAATGACATGTGGGGCCCAGTGGCCCACGTGGGCTCCACCATTTTTTATTAATTTGTGTGTGAAACTGACATGTGGGTCCCATAGTGTTTAATATTTTTCCAGATCGAATTGCCACGTCAGATGAAGACTGAGTCAAATTAGCCACATAGGCGTCACGTCGGCCAAAACCGCTCTCCATACCGCCGAGGGATCTCATTTGTCCGGTTTTTGAAAGTTGGGGGACGGGTCGTACCCGGTTTTGTGGTTCAGGACAAAAATCGGACTGAGCGACAAATAGGGGACCTGAAGTGAACTTATTCCTTACGGATTTGCGTCTCCCGCCCGCTGGGTTAAGAACTTACGACGAGCCGCTGTTTCTGATCGTGTGCAACGGTGAATTGGTAAAGTCTGCTGTCTGCAGCGAAGCCCGGTATCATGCCTTGTGAGGTGAACGAACTAGGCGGGCCGGTGGCTCATCACATCCACACAAGTTATCTACCTGTTCACCACTTTACCTCGTTAAACAGCTCCAGTTCACCAATTGCATAGTCTAGAGTCTAGACCTCGATCACATTCCAAGGTAGTAGCACGAAAACAGAGTACCTGATCTGGAAAAACATAGTGCCGGCCATCGCCTACCAAAGTATGATTTGCGGGTACACTACTACGTGCAGTTAAACTTGTCGAAACAAAGATTTCGGTAATACGAAAAAGGGTGGCTATCAAGCTAGAAAAGTGGATGGGTTTAGAGACACAGGTTCAGGCCATCTCAATGAGAAGTAATACCCTACTCCTGTCCGGGGATTAATCCACCGAGTATATTATTGATCGTATGATCTGGGAGAAAAGTTATGTCCCAAGAGATACTCGGACCCCTCTTTATATAGGGAGAGGAGTCCGTATTACAAGGTATAGCCTATATTCCTAACGGAATAGGCAAATAAAGATAAAATACAGTCGTAACCGACTAGAATCCCGAGTATTTCCTTGATATACAAGTTAAGGAATGTAACCCGAGTCCCTTAAAGATATTCTACCTATATATGGCATTCCATATCCAGTCGGATATACATGCCGTGTAAATATGGGGTATCCATAATCTCCACAAAACTGCCATAGTCTTCTACTGACGAAATTAAGTTTGCCTCGGTAGGAACTACTAGCTGAGTACTCAGCATACTGGACGGCAGAAACAGCCGTGGCACTGGCCTTATCCACTCATATCCAAGTGGAGTCTCCCAATAGGCCGCTGCACGGGCGACGAATCTATTTCATCCGCTGCAAGTGATCCACATCACGCGAGCCCCCACAACGATCCGCGCCCGCTCATCCCCTCCCGCCACGTCCGCAACCGCAGCCACCACCACAAAATAAGGCCTAACCTACGCTGCCACAAACCACGGAGACAACACACGCAGCTCGCCGACCAGAGACAGAGAGAGACCATCTGCTAGCTTAGCTGCCATGGCCGCCTCCACCGTCTCCGGCCTCGCCGGCGCCACCCTCGCCCGCCGGCCGGCCTTCTCCACCGGTGCGTGCGTCACAGTCACAATCATCTTCTCACGCGCTATAACCGTGTGTTTAATTTGATCTTGGAATGCTCGATTTTTTTGTGCAGGCTTCACGACGGGCGCCCGGGTGTCGGCGAGGAACCCGCTGCTGACGAGGAACCTGGAGAGGAACGGCAGGATCACCTGCATGACGTAAGTAGCAGTAGTAGGATCACCTGCAAGAAGAATTCTGAGAGCAGCAAGCGTACGTGGCGTGAGATTCTGACGGTGCGTACGTGGTGTTGTGTGTTGGGCCTGCAGGTTTCCGCAGGACTGGCTTAGGAGGGACCTGAACGTGATCGGGTTCGGGCTGATCGGGTGGATCGCGCCGTCGAGCGTCCCGGCGATCAACGGCAACAGCCTCACGGGGCTCTTCTTCTCCAGCATCGGCCAGGAGCTCTCCCACTTCCCCTCGCCGCCGGCGCTCGACTCGCCGTTCTGGTCAGTACCTCTATCTTCTTCAGGCACGCAGTATAGTACTCCTATATAATTAGTAGCAAAAGCGTTCAGTGGCTACGTGTCTAATTGTTCATGTGGGTTTTGTGATTAATTTGCAGGCTGTGGTTGGTGACGTGGCACCTTGGGCTGTTCCTGGCGCTCACCTTCGGCCAGATCGGGTTCAAGGGCAGGACCGAGGGCTACTTCGACAAGTGAATGAATCCACAGTGGCTTTTGGTTAGCTTGACTGTACGGACGGATGTGTGCGCTGCATATCCTTCCTTTTGTATAGGGCTCTGATTTGATCCTCTTGCGGATGTACGCTGTTGTAATTCTCCTCAACTCCTTAAAACTTTAAAGGACAAATATATGTGTTGTGGCTAAATCTTTTTCGCAATTAGACACAGACGCACGCACAAACGACACTGCATGTACAGTTGTACACAATTACACACTCGCACAGACCACCAAAATTACTGGACCACCAAAATTTTGTAGTATCACAAAACCAACCCATGTTTAACGGTATCGACCAATAAATACCATAATATCTGATATCATGTAGCAAATTTTGCCATTTAACAAATATTTAAGAACACAAAATTGATTGGTTTGTAATATAACCTTTCTCTTTACATAATTCATTGATTATACAATTGTCAAATATTTTAGAATTTGTTAAATAGCATTATTGAGGAGTAAGATCCTGGCTATAGTATTTGTGGATGTAGCGTATAAGATCGGTATAAGGATATGCACGTAGATGTCATAAGAAGAAATGCAATTAGATTTTTACAAGTTCGAACCCTCAATGTGAGTAATAGTTCTATTCATGTTTATATCTATTGACCGAAAGTATCACACTGAGTATGATGTCTGAGGTGGGATCTCTAATCTAGCATACTCAACTAACCTTGACTAAGAGCAGGTACAATAGCAGGCTATAAGCCAACTATAAACATATTTTAAAAAGATAAAGAAATAGAGAGAATAGCAGTGGGCTACAGATCTGTAGCCAGTTGCAGCACGGACTCCAAAACATAATGTGTGTATGATATATAGGATCAGATATTAATAGTATAGTAAGCAACTATTGTATGAATTGGTTATTACATTGGCTATAGATAATTTAGAGCTAGTAGTGGGCTATACTATTACAACTCTAAAGATGCGGCAACAATGCAATTGGCGGCTAGCTCTGGGCTTCCCCTAAATGGATTTGGCATGAAGGCTGTGGCTTGAGATTTGACGCCCTATTCTCCTAGGACGTGGTGTGTCTTTATACCGGAATACGACCCTGGTTCAAGTAGATCTTGATCCCAAGTAGGACACTAGATCTTGTCCATGAAGCCATAACGTCTATGACTTGAACTATGCAATCTTTCCTTGTGTGACGCGTATTCACTCCTAGTATACCCCTATTCATAGATATCTTTTTGTGTACAATTACTCCCTCCGTCTAAAAAAAAAGACAAACCCTGGTTTCCGTGTCTAATGTTTGACCGTTCATCTTATTTGAAAAAATTATGAAAAAAATTAAAAAGATAAGTCACGCATAAAATATTAATCATATTGTATCATCTAACTACAATGAAAATACTAATTATAAAAAAAATTCATATAAGATAGACAGTCAAACGTTGGCACGGGAACCCAGGTTTGCCTTTTTTTTTTGGGACGGAGGGAGTAGATAACTACATTCCCCGTAAAGTAAGTATGAGTGTATGGGATACCTCATATCTACTACTTCCTCCGTTTTATATTATAAGATTTTCTAGCATTTTCAAAAGACTGGACCGACATATCTTAAGATTGATGAAGTCAACACGAACATCTTGCTGTCGATAGGTATCTCGTCTACCACTGAAAGAATAATTAGCCATAATTACAAACACCTGTGATATACTCTCTTATTTCCTAAATATTTGACGCCGTTGACTTTTTAAAACATGTTTGACCGTTCATCTTATTCAAAAACTTTTATGAAATATGCAAAACTATATGTATATATAAAAGTATATTTAAGAATGAATCAAATGATAAGAAAATAATTAATAATTGCTTAAATTTTTTAATAAGAACGAACGGTCAAACATATTTAAAAAGGTCAACGACGTCAAATATTTAGGGACGGAGTGAGTAGGACTTAAGGTCTGTTCAGATTATAGCCAAAATAAACCTAGACATAGACTTATTCAAAAATTTTGGCAATATTGTCAAAATTTTGGCAGGATTTTTTATGTATTTACCAAATTTAACAACAAACTAAACATAGACATTTCTTTGGCAACTTTACTCAAAAATAGTATGGTTGAAAATGACATCAATCTGAATAGCCCTAAATCAGGCTGGCCTGGGTCAAATACAAGAAACATAACCGGTGAGCTATTCTTGAACGAACGTAATTCAGGATACAACATATTGTTTTGATTCTACATAATTTATAAGTTGAATTTCCAAAACTCAATCAAACCATCAATCTTCAAATATTTCAATTGGATATATGAAAACCATGTGTAGATTTTCTTTTAAAAAAATCGTAAACATGTACAAAAAAATTCTGAATTTTTACATTAGTTGCTCGTTTGCTACTGGGCTAGCTAGCAGTCTAGCACCACACCAACATGGCTAGGCCCAAGCCCAACTCGTGATCCAGTCATCCATAGTCGACTCGACTTTGGGTTCGAGCGATCGAAACTCGGTAACCCAGGCGAGGCGAATCCAAATGCGACCACCCGCTGGCCGGCCTCCCCGCTCGCCGCCGCCGCCGCCGCATGACCACCGCCGTCCTCCGGCCATCCCCACCGGTCGCCACCCTCCTCGGCCGCTGCCGCACCGCGCGCTGCCTCGCCCAGCTCCACGCCCGCATCGTCCGCCTCGGCCTCCACAACCACCACGCGCTCCTCGCCCGCTTCGCCGCCGCCTGCGACGCCCTCTCCTGCCCCTCCGTCGCCGCCTCCCTCCTCTCCGTCGCCGTCCCGGTACGCCTGCGGAACGCCGTGCTCGCCTCCCTCGCCCGCCACGCCCCGCTGCGGGACGCGCTCGCGCAGTTCAACCTCCTCCGCGGGGGCGCGTCCCGCCCGGACGCCTTCTCCTTCCCTCCCCTCCTCTGCGCCTGCGCGCGCGCCTCCTCCCTCCCCACCGGCGCTTCCTTGCACGCCGCGGCCATCCGCCTCGGAGTCGACGCCGACCTCTTCGTCCGCACGGCGCTCATCCAGTTCTATGGGAGGTGCGGCGCCGCTGCCGCCGCCCGGGCTCTGTTCGATTCACTGACAAACCCCAGCGAGGTCTCTTGGACGGCCATTGTCACTGCCTATGTCAACTCTGGTGATATTTTGACTGCCAGGGAGTTGTTCGACCAAATTCCACACCGAAATGTGGTGCATTGGAATGCCATGGTTGATGGGTATGTGAAGTGCGGTGACTTGGAGGGTGCAAGGAAGCTGTTTGATGAAATGCCTGAGAGAACTCCTGCAGCGTACACATCATTGATTGGCGGGTATTTAAATGCAGGGAACATGGGAGCTGCGAGAACATTGTTTGATAAGCTAGAGGACCGTGATTTGTTCGCATGGTCAACAATGATATCAGGGTGTGCACAGAACGGTTACCCTGGAGAGGCTTTGAGGATTTTTAACGAGTTCCAAAAGCAAGAAATATGTCCAGATGAGCTTGTTATTGTTGGTTTGATGTCAGCATGCTCCCAACTTGGTAACATCACATTGGCAAGATGGATTGAAGGTTACATCATGATTTATCCAATAGACATGAACAATGTCCATGTGATGGCGGGTCTCATTAACATGAATGCAAAGTGTGGCAACATGGAGAGAGCTACTCTTTTGTTTGAATCTATGTCAGTTCGAGATGTTTTTTCATATTGTTCAATGATGCAAGGTCATTGCCTCCATGGTTCAGCTAGCAAGGCTGTAGAGCTTTTTTCTCAGATGCTCTTGGAGGGCATCACCCCAGATAACGCCGCGTTCACAGTTGTTTTGACAGCTTGCAGTCATGCTGGCCTAGTTGAAGAAGGGAAAAGGTACTTTGATATGATGAAGAATGAGTATATGATTGTACCATCTGGTGACCACTATGCTTGCCTTGTCAGTCTTCTCGGACGTTTTGGGATGCTGAGAGATGCATATGAGCTTATCAAGTCAATGCCTGGAGAACCTCATCCAGGAGCATGGGGTGCATTGCTGGGGGGATGCAAGTTTCATTGTGACATTGAGCTTGGAAAAATTGCTGCAAAGAAGCTCTTTGAAATTGAACCGGAAAATGCTGGAAATTATGTCTCGTTGTCAAACATTTATGCTAACATTGACCGATGGGGAAATGTTTCTGAAACTAGAGCTGAGATGACAGGAAGAGGGATAACGAAAATTGCAGGCTGTACCTTGGTTTTGCAGTAGCATGGTTGAGATGAGTGAGGGATTTATTTTGCCATATGTTTACTGGCCCTACTGGAAAGTTCAGTGAACATCTTTCTGAATGAGAGGAAAAACCATGTGTGCTGTAATGCTGTGCATGTTGACTCATGATGGTTATGAGATCAATAGAAACCAAGAGTTTACACTCAACCTGAGAATGCCTACAATAAATCTGGCTTCATGACATAAATGATGTGCTTGTTAACAAGCTGTATGGGAGTTAATAAGAGGAACGGGACCATCTTAAGTAGACTGTTCTCTTCGGAGTGCTTTGAATTCTTTCTGCCGTTGATACCTTATGAGAACCAGAGGATTCCGTGACACTGGTTTGATACCATCCACTTCTGTTGCTGAGTCTCATCCACTTTTTCAATTGTTGATGAGACGACTCCCGGTGAGTGCTCGCTTGGTCATTCCTAATCTTCTTTACTACCTATCTTAGTTATTGTTCATCAATTCGAGCTTTTTTATAATGTGATTTCTACTGAACTACTACCCATCATGCAAACTAGGATGGTTACATGGGGGAAAAGGTTGCTGATTATTTGCCTTGGCAGGATCAGTATGTGATGTGGTATCCTGATATTGGTTGTCATTAATCAGAAAAAACAAGTATATAGCTCTTCAGGTATGTCCTTAGGATTCCTATTATATCTTGGTTTCCATGTGTGGCTTGAGCTTCAATGCCCTCACTAAGTATGTTCAAATACTCAGATAATTGTATCCAGAAGTTTCATTTTGAAACAAAGGCAGAAGCTCTGCCTTAATTCATTGATATAGAAGAGGCAAATAACAACTGTATATCCAGAAGTTGTGGAGTGCAAAATTTTGGAGTTTTGAGCATCGTGCCTCGGCTATACTTCCTGAAGGTGAGAACTACAGGGTTCAATTAGACTTGCTAACTGAAAGTAGCACATAGAATGTTTGCTTATATTGCCTTCATGCATGCAATAAGTGTGTTATTTGCAGGAAATGTGAAAAACCATGGATGTTATTTTGCATCAAACCAAACATACTACTGTGTGTCTCTACCTTACCAAATATTAGCAATGCCAAAATTTTGCATGACAAGAATTCGTTAGGGTTGATTTGGGCGATAAACCAAACAGCCTTATTGTCACATTTATGCTTTGAAAACCATTAGGTCATGTGATCACAGTAAGGATCAAGGTTTTAGTTGATTGAGTTTACGAAACATTACAAGAGCTCTTCTTTTCTTGGAATTACTTCAGTAATAACATAATTCATTTCAATTCCAATCATGTTTCAAAATTCTGTTGCACCTGCATACCCCTTTTGGTGTTGTTATCAGCCATTAATGATACCAATGACCTATCAACTCGAGGGCATATGCTCACAGAAATATAAACCTGGAAAAGTCAATTATGGCTTGATGAAGTCTAATGAGTAAGCTATGCTTACAGTAATATTTCAGGCAGTTTCCATTAAGGCCCACGTGTAGCGTGTCACCTCTGGGTTAAGAGGCGCGATGCTTTCAGATTCCTCCATTTGGAATTTGGTTTGCAAATGTGGTAACTGGTAAGGTAGTAACATGTGCTCCTATTAAATTGTGTCCCCTCATCCTAGTCTTAAACAAAAGTGATTAGACTTGTTGTTGAGTGGCGTCAAGTGGACCACCTTCTGCAGGCCTTGTTGCTGTTTCATCTGCATAGTGCCTGTCACCTGTGTGGCTGTGTGTGTTTTTGTGGCCCAGCGTCATATCACTGAGAAATGTTTGAGCTGAAAGTTTTCTGACTGTACAACGCTATGCTAAATATACACATGTATCAGACAATGAATTCGCTAACGATACTGCACGAAGTGTCTTCTATAAAATGCAATGTCGATGGTAGGCTGGTAGTTATCAGCTTGCAGTCTCGGACAGGCACTACCGCCACTATGTTGCACTATATCATCTTTCTTCCTGAATCTTCAAATCAAATATAGCCAGATTTATCTAAGATCTGTGCATGGTGATGTAGTGGGATCATTGGCAAGTCATGATGTTTAGTATTTTCTGATTATAAAAAGGATATCAGTACACCCATAGATACATGATAATACCTGTGCTCGAAGGTTTGGTGTTTGCATGTGCTCTCCTAGGTATATAGACCTCATCTAATCACCTAGCCTGTTGGAGAACCTCTACCATAGGTATTGCACGATCCTTATTATTTTGGTGTGTGAATCTATTAGGCTCCGTTTATGGCAGACAAACTTATCTTCATGTCGATTTAATTATTAATAACTTGCCCACGCATTCTGCTGCACCAGTGCTCTTCCAGGTCAATGAGCTTGTTATTAATGAAATCATGCGTTGATTCAAACATCTCCCTATAGCATTTGTATTAGTAGCACTAGGGAGTAACGACAGTTTGGGCAATATATAAACAATGCCATTAAATTCTCGGGCTATCTGGTTGGTCCATGTTAGATTCTTAGTGGGATGTGTGAATTGCAGCACTATGTCTCCGTGTGGGCATGCGCACGAGTGTATGTGCATGTCGTATCACATGTCTAACACCACGGTGCACGAACTGAATCCTGGAACGTTGTCCCGTTGAAGTTATCAGCAATTGGAGAGGGGAAGCTAATTTTGTCCTGCTTCTTCTTTGTCAGGGATAACAAAGAGGTTATTTGAGCAAGTACCCGCTGTGCTGCGAGTAAGATTCGAGTTATCAGCGGTTGTTTAGGTTGGATCTCAAAGAATCAACATACTGGTGAGTGTTCATACAAGTTCACCCTTCTGGTTGATTAAATCATATGACCAATTGTTTTGTGCTAGAGCAAACCAACATTGCTTTGCTTAATGTTTTCATCAAATGTCAACTTTTTTGCATTTGTATATTGCATGGATACTTCTCAGTATATCTTCTAAACTTTCAAACTCAGAAGATATTGCATAGAGATAAATAGTGAGTATATAAGATAAAGCTAGAATTGTACGAACAATTAAATGGAAATAAATAAGATTTAGACTTGTCCTTAGAGTTGACATTAGGTCTGGACTTTGTTGTCATGATAATTATGGTGGTATTATTAGATTTTAGTTTTTCTTTATTGAAGACATCTATGAAGCTAATGGTTGTATTTCAAACCATTTGGGTTAGTAGTTATGGTTTTTCTTACAATGTGTCAGCTTCTTGCAATAGTTTAGTCACAAGTTCGTACCATCATTAAAATGGAGTAATCCCTTCACTTAAGCGAAGATTAATGCGATGCCCTGCACTTTGAATCCACTATCTTTTAACCAAAGTTAAACAAATCCTATTGCTTAATGCATGGTTAGTTGCACACGCCCGTGCGTGTGAGCGGAGATTAGGTGTTTGACTCACTGCTGCAGCGTTAATGCGCAGGATCTTTTTAATTAGGATTAGAATATGATATTTGGCCTAAACTTATATAAAAGTGGGTGTTACAGGAGGCCGTGTGGCACTTAACCCCCACGGCGCTGTGTGGTTAAAATATTGAGGAGATGTTCCCTTCGTGGGCGGGATGATCTATTGTCTATTCTCTCGATGCAAGCAATGAAGGCATGGAAAAATAACTGCCGACGGCCAACTAGGATTGTGAAGATTTTTTTTCCTTTTTATTTAAGAACTGTGAAGATCTTTCATTCTGTGTTTTCTATCGTTCATAAAACCTGTAGGGTATGTGTCCGTTGGAAGTTGCGATCGTCTGTTTCAAATATTTGAACTTAGCTTAAATTTGAGGTGTAATTATCAATGAAACTTGTTCATGGATGTCTAGCTGTTGAAGTTTATTTGTATGAATGAAACCGCAGTTGAAATAAAACTTCCTTTTTTTTTTCAGGAAGTATCCTAACATCTCAAAATTCTGTCTACCCTTTGATTCTTGCATTTTGTCCATGTTTATCCATTGCACAACCTACAGAACAATGAAGTTGTTTACTAAAACTGCTGCTGGTGACATCATTTTCGAAAGCAGCTGTTCCTTATGGTGGATTTTACAAGTAATCCATCACAAATAAATGATTTGGAATAGACTCTGAAATGCGAATTTAACTACTGATTTCAACTATGATTGATATTGTGAAACATAACACCGTTATAGTATTATGAAAATGTATTTTAAGACAGATTTGAACATACCATTTTCATATATCCTTCTAAATTTATAATTATTTAAAAGAGAGTAGTGGTGGTGTTGGGTTTACCATAAGTCCATCACCAACTCCTAAAACTATGACATGTGAAACACATATGTCCATTCTCAAAACCAAATATAAGTAATGATAAGTCAATTGAGTCAGTTTAAAATTTTTTACAGCTATATAAAACATCTAATTTCATTCCAGAATTAAACTCTAAATTCAAAATAGCTTTCTTTTTTCAATGCGCCGATGTGATTTTCTATATTCTGTAACAACGCACTGGTATTTTGCTAGTATTCCTGCACATTAATTACACAAGTGTATATACTTTGACTATGGATGTTTAACCTCACCCATTTTCGACTGCGTCTCCACATGTAATATTTATAGACACTAGAATTTAAACCTAAGATAGATTCATATACCCAACCCGCTACTACAACCCACTACTACACCGCACCACATCCTCAACTGCACACTACTACACCGCACCACATCCTCAACTGCACATGTAATATACTGTACGCAGTGGTGGATCCAGAAAAAAAATAGTAGTAGGGTCTGAGCAAACTAGATAATGTTACAGTCCCCCCTCCTATCTATATATGGTAAAAAATTTTAGTGGGGTCTTCGTGGGGGCTCGAGACCCCGCCACCCCTATGCTGGATCCGCCCCTGACTGGACGATGTTGTCAAACGAATATTGTAAAGTGTACAAACTTACTTATCAAAAGTGTACTCCCTGTGTGTTTCTGAATATAACTATCTTTTAGAATTCAAATTTTGTGTACAAATATAAGCATTTCTTAGAGTCCTACTCTCACTACTCAGTCTAATATCTCCCAATTTTATCTTCAACCATCATCCCACTTCCAAGTTCCAACTATCCATTGCTTTATTTACAGACACTATAGTTTTTATCTCCAATCTTAATATGTACTTTCTCTGTCCCAAGATGTAGACTTTTCACATAACGTTTAACAAGTCATCTTATTAAAAAAAATATAAATATCATTTATTTTGTTGTGTGTTTTATCATAAAAGAAACTATAATATTAACTTATACATTTACATATTTATACTAAATTTTTAAATAAGGCAAATAACAAACATTATAAAAAAAATCGATGACATCATATATTGGACAGAGGGTACAATAAGCAATGTAAAAAGTGCTTATATTTGGAAACTGATGGAATAGGTAGTCACGCTGACAAGTGACATGGACTAGCCATATAAGATCCACTTAATAATACGGCCTAATTAAGCCATTAGCATCCGACATACTCCCATCACCTCTATCCAATTCAAACATCTAAGCGCGACACCTCGCAAGTCTTCACTAAGCGAGTGGCATATCAGCATCATCTGATCATCAGCACCACAAATACTATATCAGTAGCACAAATATCAGGGCCTCCTTCAGGACGTTCACTGAAATTCAACTAACTCCCACGAAATTCCTATAAAATTCATGCGTTCCAAAAGAGCTATCATAGTATTCATCAATACATACCTCAAAATAAGACAAGCAACAAGAGAGTCCACTAGAACAGCAGCTGGAGTTTAAAAAGTAATTAAATTGTGAATTTTGCCAATAACTTGGTACCTTATGCGAAATCGCAATATATCCAACTATTTTGCATTGGAGCTCATTGCCTTTGCAACCACAACAAGAAGGCGCGAGAAAACTCAGTGGAGATTATTTTTCACTCATAATCTCTAATTAAGCTCCTTAGATGCCACCATGGAATTAAAGAAGAGCACATGGGTTTGGCCCCCATACACCGACTAATGGCAATATATACGTGCAAAGATACATTTATATACCATATCCTGTACTAAGCAATAACCTAGTGGCACAGTTATGAGCTCGCATTTGGGTCAACCTTGCCTTCATAGTTGCCTTCAACTCCGAGACTTTACCTGCAATTTTAGACGCATCATCGATGAATCATGATGAATGGTGGTGAAATATTATAAAATCAGGTAAACTGAACTCAAACCTTTGATCCCGAGGCCGATAGCGTTGGCTCTGGATCCCAAAACCATCCATTACTGCTTCTATTTGCCCAAAACGGGAGCATTAATGCTAGAATTAGTCCTAACTGAGGCAAATTATTTTCTCTACAGGTGGCTATCTCTTAACCTTGATGAGTAGCAGCATTGACCAAACCCAATGCAACACACAAACCAAAACAACTTTAAGTGAGTTGTATGTCATCATCATTAATCAAGGTGGGATATGTAAGCAATCTCGGGGATTACATTAGTGGGTTGATACTAGTATGACTTTACAAAGTTTAACCCTTTTCTTAATTGTAAGGTGATTAAGTCACACAATCAGGATGCAACATCTCCATAACACTAACAAGTCAACTAACGAATTTAATATCTGCTCTCGGCATTTAAACACTGCAAGCTGGAAACAAGAAAAACCCCAACGGAGCTGAGATTTCAAAGTGCTGCTCTTATGTGCATCAAACAAAGTGGCATTAATGTATTACTTATCTCGTCGTCATTGTATCAAGATGCGCACCAGAAGCAACGCATCGGTGCGTGCAAGAACATAGGTGTTGCGTTGCACCATTTAAAGACCTAATTGCATAAGGTGCACTAGCAGCATATCTATTCAAGAAACCTATTTATTCGATTAACATAACCATGGCTCAACATTCAAGTTCTCTCTTCTCTCCTTTTTTTTTTGACAGCAATGCTGGGCATTTGAGATGGTGTGCCCAATAAATTCCATTCAAGGCCACATTGAAGTAGTGAAATGAATTGGAGGTCAGTCAAATTTCTATAATCTTTAGAAGCAATCAAAAAGGACAAATAGTTGATGAGTTTCAACTTTCAACTCCACACCTAAAAATAATAAATAATTGTCATAATTACCCAATAAGTCCAGCTAACTTGCTTACATGGCCACTACAAAGTTGTAAAATCTACTGGAGGTAATTAAGTCACTAGCAAACTTTTGGCACAATTAAACTAGACATGCCTATCATGGGTTACAATTTTCAACCAGGCTCACTGTTGGGAGATTGCCACAGTCATCTAGCATGTGGCTAAAGAAAACTACCGCCGAAGTAAGAAAAAAAAAGAGAAGATTCATCACTGGAAATTTTCTTCTTTCAGATAAATGAAAAAAAAACATTTCTTTGCCTTGTGTATATGACCAACCATAAAGCCTCTCACCTCGCACTTCTCTCCCACCCAACACAGATTATTCAACCCCTACCATGCCACTCTCCAGCCATGAATACCTTGGTAATAAAATGCGTCCTTCCTTAGCCTCTAGTACATGAAGTAGTAGTAGTACTGCTATACTCTTAATGCTGCATTAAAGAAAACCAATTGACCTCCCCCTCACCCTCACCCATCTCATCCCCCTATAAATACTTGCCATCTCTTCTCCGTCCAACCACACCACCCAGCAAGAAGACCCCGAGCAATTCTACCCGCTCGGAGCTCCTCCCCTTTCATCGTCTCCAATCACCATCATCTGCACGTCTCACCGGCCCTACGCAACAGTAAGTTCCTTCGCCATCGCCATGTCTTCTCCTACCTCTAAGCTTCATATGACAGTCGTGCAAAAGTTTCCATTTGACCAACCGGCTAACGAACGTTTTTATGGGGGTGTAGGCAAGTGGGTTACCTCTCGATCGGGATGAGCCGCAGCAACAAGAAGAGCTCTAGGGGCATCGACCTGAAGCTGAACCTCTCGCTGCCGGCGAGAGGGGACTCGTCGTCCAGGAGGGCGATGGCCGCCGACGAGGAGTCGTCGCCGAGCTCGTGCCTGTCGTCGGAGAACGAGCACGGCCTGCAGTGGTCCAACAGCCCGGAGGCGACGTCCATGGTGCTCGCCGCCTGCCCTCGCTGCTTCATCTACGTCATGCTCCCGCAGGATGATCCGCGGTGCCCGCAGTGCAAGAGCCCCGTGATCCTTGACTTCCTGCAGCAGGACAACGGCAACAACAACGCCAACAGCAATAGCAGCAGGAAGACCAGGAGAGGGTGAAGTTAAACAAAAGGGGGGGCAATTCTCCGTTTGGCAGAAGATCAACATCAATCAAGAAAAAGAAAAGCGTCTATATGAAGTCCTAGGTCCAGTAATTCTCTTTTGTTTTGCCTATTCCCCCAGTGTAACCATGATATATTCCTTACTAAAATTGTGAGACTAGCATGAAAATCCATGTGCTGGTGGCATAATTTTGATACATCATGGATACACTGGGGACTATATCCATCCCCCTCTCCTGGCTTCCTTCTTTAGTGGTTCTAAATGAAGAAGTTTTGCTTAGACATAGGACCAGACTTCTCATCTTTGTTTTGTTTTTGTTTCCTTTCCGAGATGAAAAGAAAACATTTACCCTGAAAATGTTGAGATGATTATTGTTCTGAATCACATGATGGCTTTCTATCAAGCTCATGAATTCTGACTCGCTGTGCTGTTTCATTAGACAAGGTAATCTAGTCGAGCATAGAAAATGGGGAAAAAATCACAGCAAGAACAGTCAATCACATAAATGGGATGTTTACGAGTCTGTCATCACAGGTTAGCTGAACTAACCAATTGGTACTGCTGCTCCCACGTTGCAACATAATGAGGTCGCCTTCCATGGACACTCTACTATCTCTGAAAAAGACATTATGTAATTGAAAAAGGTATGCAATTTTCAAATTAGGACGAGATATAGTATTTGAAATTGTTGAAAAAAACGCTGTTGATGATGCCATGCAATGAATAGCGATTAATTTTGGCATCCGTCATTCTTATCTCTTCATAATATACATCCATCTGAAATACGTGCTGTGTGACGCAGCAACCTACCTTAATTGCTTCTCTAGTCAACTTTGCCAAGCTGATATATTTATGTTCACTTGATAAAGACATCTCAGATTAAGTCCAGATCTTCATAATCACACATAGAGACCAGCCATTCTACAAGTTGATTCAAATCATATCAGAAGGGCAGAGAGCAATAACAAATAAAGATGGAAAAAAAATGTGCATGAAAAATTAGATGTCCCTTGGTCCCTGTTGACTGGTAACGGCAAACTTGTCAATTTTATTCATCAATCAACGAAAACAACAGTGTCTCTAGCTGTATTCTAGTATTTTAATGACAAGACAACTGAAAAGGAATGGCCCAGCCAATAAAATACAAAACTGAATGGCAAAAAGATTAAGAAAAGGTAACTAGAACTAAATTGCAGGCCGAATATATTATGACTTAGCCTAAAAAAAATGTGGCTAACCGATATAATTGATATATTTGTGAGATTACTTGCACTCGCCTTGTCCTGAACAACTAGAGGACACATCATTTAAACATAAATACTCCTGCAACATAAGGACATAGCTAATTGCAAAGAATTGCAATACCAGTCAGGAACCCAACAATGCAAAACAGACAAAGAAAGCATTACCCATGGTTCTCCACTTTTGTGGAACTAAGTTCATGGTCCAAAAATAGAGTAGGCAAGAGAAACATGAGATCGAAGACAAATGAGGCTTGAGGGGGTCACTAAAAACAGAGATAAACTGCATTTGTACACTTGTGTTGAGTTCATGGATCTCCTGAACTCCATAGAAAATCAGCATTCAGTATGCAGAAAACGCAAGAACTGGTATATTGATCCAAAAATGCTAAATCGAGTGCAAATTACGAAGCTCAACAAAGTCTTTTTTTTTCTTTCATGCTGATGCACTTTTGTCTTTCGGTGCATTCTTATAAAAGGAAGAACAAGCAGAATATAGATTCCATCCTAATACCAGTAACAGGGATGAGCATGACTGCTACATAAGCATAGAGAAGACCAGAAATGAACCAATGAGCATTCATTCTGTTGCTCTGTTCTAATAAACTTTATTAGCTTCCTATTGTGGGACATCATCAGGACAACACCTTCAACACTGTAAATTGGCGGAAAATTCTTCTGAATCATGGAGCTAGCAAAAGTGAGTTATGACATCACCACCAATTGTGCTCAACTTGTGCAATGCACACAACCGAAAAAGTGGGGAAAAACATTATGAGTGCCCATGAATATTCGTAAGGCCCATACATTGAATTGGATGAATGAATAGACTCAACATTACCACATTACGAATATGAAGAGTCCGAATATCAATGATTGAAGTTGTGTCGCTGTATGCAATACAGCATAAACATTCCATCTCCAAACATCTCAAAGCTAGACACAACAAAATCAAGTTTCACAACTTACAGTTCCTGGTTGGATAAGAATGAATCTTTCAGATGACCGAAGAAACCTGCAGCAATCCACCATCCATCCAGCAGGATCTATGGTATAACGCATCAAAATTGGTTAAACGGGCATACGAAAGCGACTCCAAAACGTCGAATCCAACAAAACCCCCAGATATTACCGGGCACCCTCTTTTCTACTACCTAAAGCTAAAACTAAAAGCAACTCAGCATTGACCCCCAAATCAAAATTTTAGGTGAAAAAAAAAACCTGCCCTAAATTACCGCCTCGGATCGGAGACCAAATAACACGGCGCTAATCCGGAATCGCCCGGGACTCCTGGAGCAAGCCCATCCGCAGAAGAATGGCTACTAGATGGAGTTGCTTGCTCGAATTACCTAGTTAGAAGAAGCCGAGAAGACGAGCACTTCCGCTTCGATTCGTCTTTTGATTTTCGAAGCGAAAACCCCAGGAATAAAGTCGATTTTACGGTTTCCGCCCTAGGGCTTTCCTTTCAGGTTTTGCAGAGCTCATCATGGGCTTTTGATTGGGCCGGGCCTTGTGAGCAATAGCCCAACTAATAGAGCTAATAAATCACGTTTTTCCGCAATATGTACTATGTCAATATGATAAATGATCCTGCGTTTAATTTTGCTTTTTGTCGCTGCTAAGAACATATAGCCATATTTTTTTATGACTAGCAAATATGCCCGTGCGTTGCAACGGGTGAAAAAATGTAATGATAATATACATTTTTCATGCATAACCATGTTGATGACAATCAAAATATTAGAAAATTGGAATATCATAAATATAATAGCCCAACCTCGATGATGGCAACTTTACGATATTTGCTTTACCAAAAATAATTGGATTATTCATATGACAACATTCATATAATCTAAAATATTTTTTTAATTTCATTATTGCAAATAATCAAAATCCTATACTGCCTCACATGGTCAAGTCTACACAAAATAGAGTCACCGTGCACTCTTCTCTAAATAACAATTAAAATATGTTTATTTTCTAATATTATTTCCATATAATATAACAAAACAAAAGCCGTGTAGGAGATGGAAAAAAAATCGATGGATCCTATTTGACCAAGCGTTCATCAATTTAGCATTTTTTTTTCTGACAGTTTTTTCCTCGTATGATTTTTTTTATAGACGATGGAAATATTTTTTTCTCGCATGTTTTTTTACAAACTACTAAAACCTTTTTTTCTAGCGCGTTTCTTTTTGCGCTTTTTTTTTTACATTTTTTTCCTCATGCGTTTTTTTAAACTGTTTTTGTTTTCTCGCGCATTTTTTCTTTTTTAATATACGATGGAAACTTCTCTTTTTAGTTAGATTAGATTAGATTAGATTTGAGATAGAGAAGAGATATATATATGGAAAACTAAAACGACGAATAGAAATTAGACTTTTTTGCCGCGCTTTTTCCGTCCTTTTTTTTTCTCGTGCGTTTTTTTACGAACTGTTTTTTTCGCTACTTTCTTATAGAGTCGGACCTTTCTAGATGTTTTTTTGGGTTTTTTTTTATTTTTTACCGATTTTTTTTTGTTTTTCACTTTACAGGAATCAGACTTTTTTCCCTGTTGTGGGAATCGGATCTACGTTTCTTTTTTGTTTTTTTTTGCCAGGAAATGGACCTTTTTTTTGTTTTTCCTGTTTTAGGTGGGAATCGGATCTGTTTTTTTAATCTACATTTCTTTTTTTTCGCCAGTTATCGGATTTTTTTTTGCTTTTTCCCGTTTTAGGTGGGAATCGGATCTATATTTTTTGCCAGGGAATCGGATTTTTTAGGTTGTTTTTTCGCTGTTTTTTTTATATTGACGGACGGTGGAAACAAGTTAAATTTTTTAAGAGAAAAAAAAGTAGTCTGAACATAACTAGGTAGAAATATTTTTCTTAGCAAGTCTATTGATGCTGCTTGCACATATAAAATCTTATTGCTCCTATATATATTGGTGATTCAAGATTTTTAAGTTGAACGTGTGATTCCAAAACATGACGTCCGAACAAAAATATTTTTATATGAACGATATTCCCACTGGTCATAAATATTTAAGTTTAGGATGAAACTTGGTTACATTTTAAACTTTGACCATTAGTAACTTCTCAAATTATTAGTTTAAAAGAAAAGGCAAAAAATTGTTTAGATTTATCTTGAAAAGTACTATATAAACTTATAAGATTTTAGAAACTTACTATGATATAAAACTGATGGTTATTTTTTAAAAAAAATTGATCAGATCATGTCTTAAATGTCAAATATTCATTTATTTTCCAAGGACAAACATAAACTGAAGTTTTTTTAAGAAAAACGAAACGAAAGATCAAAATGCACCGAAGTTATAAACTAACTTATATTCTTGAAAGAGTTGAGAATGCTAAAACGCCTTGCACTTGTACAGCAAGGCCTTCTGTTGAATCCTTTGAACAATCACCAAATCCTCTGCCATTCCTCTATATTTGTACTATCGCCGTGTTTAGGTTTCAAAGTTGTTCTTTAAACTTCCAACTTTTTCATCACATCAAAACTTTTCTACACACACAAACTTCTAACTTTTCCGTCACATCATTTCAATTTTAACCAAACTTCTAATTTTTGTGTGAAAGCCTATATTCAAAAGAAGCATATGCAGGAGTCACAGGGACTGAAGGAGTATATAGGAGTCGAAAGGAGAGAGTGTGTATGGCAGTATTGTCCTCTTCCGGCCAATCCACACACCTATCAGCGACCTGTCAACTCGTAGCACATTCACACGTGGCAGATCAAATGACACGTCAACTTCGCAGCAATACCATCGTTCCCGGAAAATAACAAAATGTAATCATAGACAATATCTCACAGTGAAGAAAATGATTCTCGACAGGATCAGTTAGCTACAGGGCAAGCAGGTCGTCTCACTCTCCCTGCAACATGTGAAGGTTCGCCATGAAAAAACAATCAAGCTATCATTGACATGCAAAAGACAGGAAAGAGAAAAAAAACAATCGCTCACAAACCTACAGCTACAACCACCGTTGATTTGTTTAAGTCACACCTGTCGGGTTAAGTTCTTCGTGTACATTTCTCACGGTGATCAATCACGCAGCTCCCTATGTATATGTATGACAAGTTCAGTGTTCATCCAGGCCAAAGAGTAGATAATTAGGCAGTTATTTGATGGTGATCATGCACGCATGCCTCCTGTTTCGATCATGGATTGGCTCTAAATTCCAGCCACTGTCTTGAGCGATTAAACATTTCTCGAAGGTGATGATCAATGGGAATCCCAGGGTGATACATTGATGCTACTAGAATTAGTATGCTGTCAAGTGTCCACGCAAGAAACAAGCAAGGAGTCAACTTCGCATGTGCTGATGGAGAATTACTGAATCAGTTGCTAATTTACTCTGTTCTTCCGTAGAAATTCTAGCTGCAGTGGAGAAATGGTAATTTGGTATAGAACCAAAAGTTGCTGTTACATATGTCAAGAGATGTCTGAATCTTCTGCTCCCCATGCTCCAAATCTGCTTCCCATAACTATGTGCAGCATAAAAGGGAACCACCTGCTCTTTGTCCTTTTGCGTTAAGTAAATTCAGGCATTCTGCTGATGCCTGATGCATCTTCTTCGACATGAGAGGTTAATGATCAAAATGCCAACAAAAGTCTCAATTATTAGCTCTGTTTTTTTTACTCTTTTAATAAGATGCCATCGATCCAACAACACACGCATTATAAGGCTCTTTGCTCCTGACCCTCCATAACATGAACAAGAACTACACAATCAAGAAGAAGAGCAGTCGCTACAAGAGAACAAGAAGATGGCTTCCAAACACAACCAAGAACCTGGAAGAAATTAAGGATTAAAGCAAGATGGCCATGTAGGCCATTTTTATTGTCGGTTTATAATTTGCCTCAGCCTTTCTTTCCCCCTTTTTTTTAAGGGGACAGATCATTAGGCCCTGAAAAGTGCAGGCACTGCCTCCCTTTAAGCACTAACACTTTAGGTCAACCTTTATTAGCCTTTAGGATCCACTTTTTGTTGAAACAAGTTGATGCATATTCCAACCTTTTCTTGTCCTAAGGTACAGGAGAACCTGATAGGGGACATCATGTCACATTAGGGGGAATTCATAGCCATTGGCCCCTCTATTTTGTTTCTGTTTGGACACAAGTTATCTCTCAAAGTTTTGTTCTCTTGTCAAAGGATAATCTTAAATTTGCATAACCTAACATTGCCACATGTGGGCGTTGGATAACTGGCAAACTACAAGTTTTATTTATAATCTACTATTCAATGATAGAAAAAAAGGATGATCCAGATCAACCGAATGGTAGAACAATAATGCCAACATATGCGCTTCATTGTAGTACGTTGGACTCTCAATCTAGACCATCGAATGCACGATCTGACGGTCGTCTACGCCCCATGAAGCTAGCTTCTCCACGTGCAGTTCTCCATCTTTCACACGACACGAAACTTACTCCGAATCGAAAACAAATACTCTTCCATGTATTTTAAGTTCTAACCAAGGCACGAACAGACAAAGGCTTTTCCTTCTCAAAAGATGCAACGGTCGATGCTTAATTAAGCAATCAAGCTTAAGCGTTCGGTCTTGAGAACGGTGACACGCTCGCGCGCGTGGAGGTTAAGCTCGTCTCGAGGGGAGCTAAGCTTAAGCCACCAAAAACTGCAGCAACCCAAGAAACTCGCATGGTTATTTGCGAATGATAGTACAGGACAGGGAGTGTGGCAACTATGCGTTGTTTATTTAAATCAGCAGAGAGAGAGAGAGAGAGAGAGAGAGATTCTTGTTTTTTCATATGACATGTTTCAAATTTGTCACATTGCCCAACCCATGATTGTCTGTGATCCCTTCTCACTCCTCCCTCACTCACCAGGTGATTTGAAACCCATCCAGTTTTGATCAACAGAAAGATACATCCATGCTGCACTTCCAGCTCGTCTTCTTTCTTCAGATGAATGTTTTTCTGGCTGCAAGTCTTGGCCATACCAGGGTCTTTGCAGTCTCCCAGAGCAGAGCAGAAAAACATAAATGTGACATCTTACAACCTGCTACCTCGCATTCAATAGCTTGCAGATTGTGCCAGGCACATCTACTAGTATAGATTTTCTTTTTTTTTATCTCTATTTTCAAAAATCCGGCAGGGAACAGTGACTGTTCAGAATGAAAGTGAGGTTCAGAAAGTGATTTGATCAGTTTCCAATTAAAAAAAAAAGAGAGGATACTGCGAGCAAAATTCGGAAGAGATATAAATGTAAGTGCTCCAATAAGAAACGGAGTGCAATCCAAAAATAAACAATGAACCCAATGTGCATTAGACTTATGATAACAACACTGCACCAGCACAGTGCACAGCTATTAGATTTGATGCTGTTTTCTTTTCAAGTATTTGCTTATAGCACAAAGCCAGAAACAGCTATCAGATAAAATATCAGAAAGTGGCTTTGCAAGACATAAAAAATAATCAGGAAAGCTGTTGATCCAGCCAGAGAGCAAGGAACATGATGAGCATACCACAATCCTCGCAGCAGACATGGCTATCTAAAAAATGTCAGTTGTTAATAAGCTTTCCTCCAAGGACTTCTAAATTTTAAAATCTTCTATATATAACTGAAGATTAAATTGCAACGTTAGGTGGAAGCCATGCTTTTGGCAAGTTATAGCATACAAATGTTGCGGTGGTTCACAGGTTGTTAGCACCAAACTCTAATTTTCTTCTGTTTAAGGTTATGATACAGTATTACAGTGCATAACAGTATGCAAACTTTGAACAGAGACGGCATATGTGTTGTTTTCTGAACTCGATTTTGTTTTCTTCATAAATGGACACTGCAGATAATAAATATTTAACATTCATAGATAAGATTTAGTTCAATTTACGGAACTTTGACCATCAACGACTTCCCAAATGCTTAATTTGAAAAAAAAAAGGTATACGTATATTTGAAATGTACGACTATCATAATGACAAAAATTCTTTATATTTTGTACACTCAATATAATAAATTATTAGATTTTGTAAACCTATTATAACAAAAGTAGTGATTACAGTTTTTAAAGTTTTGAATTTTATCCTAAATATCCGAGAGGAGTACCTAAAACGCCTATTTTATTTTCAACGGCAATTAATGGAATGAGGGGTATGTTTCTAGATCAAAATCTTGTTTCAAAAACCATTAGTTCAAGGTGTTCTGATCTCTTTTTTTTTTAGCAGCGGCCACAAAATTCCTAACTTATATCCCAATGATGTGTACGTAGTTAATACTCCTTTCGTCTACAAATATAAGGAATTATGGATTCAATTTTATCTGCAAATCCTATATTTCTATAAAGTTCATCCTCACCAAGTGTAGTTAATGCTATTTTTTTCTCATTGAGCCACATCATCTTAATTATTTCTAACCCTTGAATGATTGATCTATGGTTCAAATTATGTCCCTCCTTTCCTTCTTCTAGGAAATCATATCATCTTTCTTTTGTCTTTGGATGATTATTCTATATCATTTCCCTTCTTTTCATTCCGTCATTGAGGTATATCACCTTAGTTTTGCTTTTGAATAATCTATTTATATATGATTTACATTGTTATAAACCATATCATTTTAATTGTTTATAACTTTTTTTCTTCCATGGTTGATCACAGATGAAAATTATATAAAGTATATAAAGTGATGTCGTGTAGCTATATGCATGTTATTTATACTATTATCATATATAACTCCCACAGCAACTCGCGGGGTTTCATTTTGAAGTGGAGTACTATTTTCCCATTTCATCCAACCATTGCATTTATTGCTACTAGGCATGACCTTTCCATTCAATTAAACTCACATGGAAATTACTTCGAAAGTAATTTCACCTCAACACTTAACTTTGCTAACCAATCTAGAGTCTACTCCTTATATTTGTAGATGGAAGGAGTATCATCAGTGATGATGAGTAGAAACACTCCTTTCAAGTAAATATTACAGTACTATTTTTTAGCCTTTTAATGGTCATGATAATACCATTTTTTTTCTACTCTCTCTATCCACAAAAGTTACACATATTACTTTTGACACCAAGACCAATAAGAAATTAAATCACATTGGATGTTAATCAAAGAGCGAATATAAACATGCAACTAATAAGTATTTAGATGACTCCTTGAGTTTTAATGAAGCATGTAATTTATCTCTTCATTTAAATCTTGAATATATAAAGACTATAAATAGGAACAATTTATTTAGAAAAACTTAAATGTAAAATATGTGTAACTTTTATGGATGGAGAAAGTAACTTTCACAGAAGGTGCAGTAAGCAGGTACAGGGACCATCACTCCTCAGTCAAATAAAAAAGAACTAAAATTGATGCTGAGAAAATGAAGCAAATAGTGGATGGGGGAGTGAAAGGCCAAGTTTAGTTCCAAAATTTTTCTTCAAACTTTCAACTTTTTCATCGTATCCAAACTTTTCTACACACACAAACTTTTAACTTTTCTGTCACATCGTTTTAATTTCAACTAAACTTCTAATTTTAACGTGAACTAAACACACCCAAAGACACACCACATCAAATCTTGTGCTAGTCATTGGCCAATAGACCATTCAATGGCGGTATTCAATTCCTCTACTGAAACCCTCTCCAACCCTCTCGTAAATGTGCTGCAACCTCCTCTTTCTCTTCTCCCTCTCTATAAAACACAAGCGAAAATAAACGCCACGCCACGCCACCGCCTCCGTCAAACACGGCGGCGCAATGCCTCCCCTGAACCCTCCCCACCTCCACTTTGGAAAGCTCAGGAAGCGGGCGCGCGCCGTGGCCGCCGGCGGCGGACGCCAGCCGGCTGCTGCCATGGCCAAGAAGGGGCTCGTTGGTATCCTGTACAAGCTCCGCGACGTGCACCATCGCGCGCCGCCGACGCCGACGTCGCCCTCGTCGTCGTCGTCCCCGCACTGCCACGGCCGGCATCAGCTCTGCTACCCGCCGGCGCCGTCGTCGTGGCCGTGGCCGTCGTGCCGGCACCCGCGCACCAGCTCGTTCAGGTGGCCGACGGCGCCGCAGCAGGGGCAGGCGGACGACGACGCCGCCGCCGCCGCCGGCTCCGTGTACCGCACCGTGAACACTGTCTACGACACGTCGTCGCTGGAGCACTTCAACCCGCGGCGCTCCTCCCTGGACGAGGCGTCGTCCTGCATTGCTGACCGGAGCTTCTTCGCCGTGGAGTCGGAGGTGGAGGTGGAGGAGGAGAAGGAGAAGGAGAAGGAGCTGCAGCTGCGTGAGACGGCCGTCGTGCGCGGCGTCCGCTCGGAGCGGCTCTTTTTCGAGCCCGCCGGCGCGGAGTTCTTGCCCAAGCAGGTAATGCGGCGCACGTCGCGCACTACGATTAAGACGCGCGACGACGCGAGAGCAATCGATCTTGTTATAACACGAGAGAGGATTTCAGGAAATGGCGCGAGGCAAGAACGACGACGAGGCGACAGCCATGGACGTCGTCGCTCGCAAGAACGACGACGTCGACGAGGCGACGCCGATGACCACGCCGCAGACCGGCAAGAACGAAGCGGAAGCGGCGGAGGCCGCCGCGCTGAAGGGCGGCGCGGTGGTGCTGACGGTGGAGTCGGAGGACCCCTACGGCGACTTCAGGTCGTCGATGGCGGACATGGTGGCGGCGCACGGGCTGCGGGACTGGGAGGGCCTGGAGGAGCTCCTGGCGTGGTACCTCAAGCTGAACGCCAAGGGCGTCCATGGCGTCATCGTGGGGGCCTTCATCGACATGCTCGTGAGCCTCGCGTCCTCGCCGATCCCGTCGCAGTCGCCCTCGTCGTCGTGCATCACCTTCGAGGACTACTCGTCGGCGACCATGGAGGAGGAGAGCTAATTAAGCTGTTCTCGAGGAAGACGACGACCACGTTTTGTTTTTCTTTAGCCTCATCAAGAGATGACAATCTCTTTTTCTCTTTTTTTGGGTGCTAATTCTTTTGTGTTTCCACGAAGGAATGGCAAGTGAGGGAATTATTGTACAGTTGCTAAAAACTAATTGATGCTGATCATTAGTGTAGATTAATTAATTAATTAATGCTGAGATGGCTAATTGATCACTTTGCTCTGCTGTGATCTCTCTTCCTAGCGTAGTGTGGGTCAAGATGTCAAATTTTCAATGGCTGACAATTTTTATCACAATTTTGTGAAGATTTTGATGACAAGATTCAGAGGAATGATGGGTCAAACCCTGTTCCTTGGTCTGCAGGTCCATGAAGGCAATGCAGGTTATCTGGGATATATTAATGAGTCACCAACAGCTCATAAATATGTGGCCTTCATGCCATTGGTTTCTTTGGAGTAATGCGGTACCAGATGATTTTAATCCAAGAGATTGCAATGTTATCAAGCTGTCACGTACTCTACCCTGCGGCAAGTATTAGTAATTATTTTGGTCACATTGACAGGGGGCTGTGTGTTTAGTTCTTTTCAAACTTCCAAAAATTCTGTTACATCAAATGTTTATGTCTTTGGACACATGCATAGAACATTAAATGCAAACGAAAAAAACCAATTACACAGTTTATATGTAAATTGCGAGACGAATCTTTTGAGTCTAATTACGCCATAATTTGACAATGTGATGTTACAGTAAATATTTGCTAATGACGAATTAATTAGGCTTAATAAATTTGTCTCGCAGTTTACAGACGGAATCTGTAATTTATTTTGTTATTAGTCTACGTTTAATACTTCAAATGTGTGTCTATATATTTTAAAAAAATTTGGACAGGGAACTAAACACGGCTAGGGTCAAGAAGGCACTATTTGACCACTAATTCCCATTTTCTACATAATAACATAATATGTTGATAAATATCAGATTTTAAAAAACGCACACTACATAATTTTATAACGAATGTAGGAATGCTATTGTCGTGCAGCCAAGCTAGACACGGTTTATATACTATGGTCAAACCTAAAAAGCTGTTAAACCACATTTAATTTTCGAGATGTTTTACAATGGTTTTTAATGAAAGTAGAATTAAGTTAGACCGTTTATTTTTTTTCTAATTCAACAGATCATATATATTTATACTACCATCTCTATGTAGAATTTTTTTTACTGCTACTAGAACTCATATATCAACGACTGAGATAATTTTATTGGTGATTATACTGGTAGTAAAATGCTATAGTAGAAACCGCTTCAAAGATTCTGGTATTTTGGCTGAAATTATTGGTGTTTAGTTGGAAGTTCCTTCCAAATACCAGTTGATGAAAGTTGGATTTCTGTTCAGTTTGAGTAAAAACATGTTGAAATTTGCCTCGAAATTCTACAAGAAAATGTCTGTTTCATGAGAAATGTTTGGCCTTGGATTCTTATCTAGGATATCCACACATTAATCCACGCACATATTGCAAGCATGATACTTCCATTTTCGCGAGCATAGTCAGTACAAACACTACTAGGACTGTTTAAGTTTTGTCCATGAATAAGCCTTACCCACAGTCCTCCACGATCATAAGTCCCTTTCAGTGTTTTCGACTTGAATGCGTCGAGTAATAACACAGTGGGTCCATGAATTTATCAGTGCTTATCATGAAGCTTAACTCTTACGGAACAGGACAGACTAGTAATATCAGCTAGGCCCCGGCAGAGTCCTTTTAAATCTACTACTAAATGACTACTTACTCTAATCAAGCCTCATGTTCAGCAGTCTTCAGGAGTTACCAGGACAGTCTAATCAAGGGACAAGAGTTTTTCACTGCCTGGAGTAGAGACTGCAAATTTGGTCGGTAAAGTTTATGTAAAATGGAGTAGTAACTGGGTTATGAACCTTGCAGAATTCAGAAGCCATTTGTGCCATTTGTAGGTTAGATCAAGCAGAAACATAGTGGAACTGAGTGCCATATCTTATCTTAGCTTAGACAACACTCGTAGTAGTAGCTCCTAAGGCTAGCTTAAGCTTTGTCCCTAACCACCTTGTGAAACTTAATTTATGATGCTTAAAGGTTCAAGCATTCCAAGTTGTTCTTTTACCCTGCAACACTGCAAGTTTGCAGCTTCTAGACTGCTCGCTGAGACATGTTCGTTCAATCCCAGTAAACTGTAGGCTCACAACGAGCGATCTTTGCGTCTCTATTCTTAGGTCAGATTGACATCCAACGCTGGATCATGCAACGCATGGATACCACCAAACAGGAACACATTGTGCAATGCAGAGCACTTGATCGATGAGACGTACTACTCCAGAGTCCAGACAGATTTAAGATCGAACAGGGTATTAATTACTTCTGCAATTCTGCATCCTCTTCACTGCTACTCCTACGTCCGGGACAGCGATCGATCGATCGATCATGCATGCGGCTGATGCATCACATCTCGCCAACATGCAGATGCAAACACATCAGGCGTAGCCCAACCAACCGGCAACTACAAGCATCGCATGCATGCCAATCCATCTGATCACTGATGATTTACATGGTTCGCGTATCTTTGGGATCACAGGCTTCGACTGTTTTTTCGCAGCATCTTCAGTGGGTGCCGTTTTTTCTGTAGTTCAGAGATGATAAGCACAGTAAACAGGATGTGCCGTGTTCCTGTTCAAGAGATCCGGGCATGTTTTGCGCTAGTGGAGTGGATGATGATTGTGATGCACAACATCTTTGACTATGAATTGCAGATTTGCAGGTTGGTGATGCGTGATGTACATACATGTGGTTGTGGACGGCATAAATTGGAACTTCTCTGTTGTGGATTTGTATGATCAGTCTTGTCTTGTGGAATCATATGCTTTGTGTTTTGTTTGAAAGTTGTGTTGTTATTGGAAAGTTGATCTCCCTGGTATTTCTCTTTTAGATTTTGTTTAAGAGAGTCAGAGTGAAAGAAAGTTAAGACTCACCGTTTTCTTTCTTTCTTTCTTTCTTTCCTTTTGTTTGACTGAAGACAAACCTTCTTTTTTAACTGAAGACTCACCGGTTTGTTCTTTCTTGGTTTGCCTATAGTGCGATCTTCAACACTGAAAATAAATCATTTCTTCACTAGCTGGAGAGATAAAATGAACTTGCTCCTTCTTCTCTATCCATAGTAAAATTCAATCCTTAAATATGAAGTGCTAATAGTAAATATACAGATGGAGCTGAAACATGTAGTGCATTTCTGACGGAGGTTTCTGAAGATCGCTCTAAGGAGTAAGGAGTGCATCATCGATTTCAGGCCAAATTGCCAAGGCATGCTCGTTCCAACAATGTTTTGACCGTTTTTATTTTCAGATCAACGAAAATTGTGCCGGATTTGTCACGTTGTTCATTAGCCTCGCTTCTCACGAACCTGACGGAAGTTTCAGTGACAGGGGGCAATTATCTAAGCCTCCCGAGCCCAGCGCCGAGATCAAATTGACTAACTAGTTAATTTCCCCTGCTTCCTTAGCAGAGACGGTCAGACTTGCCAAACCCAATGCACAATGCAAGCTGCAATATTGCAACACACGAGTCACAAGATGTTACAGCATAGTTGAAACTCTCATCAGGATTTTTAGAGCTAAAAGATATCTAGTGGTTCCTGCTGCAACTTTGACAGGGTTAAGTTAAGAAGATAGGAGCAAGTAGTAGTTTGGATTTGCTAATTTAGTCGCCTGATGCAGCACATACTTGCAAACTCTGCAATCGTTAGAGATCTGAGGAAAGAAAAAACAATGCATTATACTCCGGTTCTCCTTAAATCTACAACAAATCGATAACTCCGTAGATTTTTTTTTGACAGTTTTAGTGCTGCTCTCTGTCTCCGGATTATTACTGTGGATTATTTTATTTATCTATTCTTTACTATTATAAAAATTGAAGATATTTTTGCCGGTATTTTGGTACGTCATCCGTGTATGAATTGATTTTTAAGTTTGTTTGCTTTTGGAAATACATATATGTATTTCAGCCGGTTTTTAAGATCGTTCACTTTCGGTAATACAGAGGGAATCACATAAGAATTTTGTTTAAAAAAAACTCATATGCTAACTTGACATTATCGGACTCCTAACTGTAGTTCATGATTTTATATATATATATATATATATATATCCAAGCGAACTCCCACAGTAAATTTCATCTTAACTAAACCATATAATAATAATAAGATTAAAATAGACTTTACCCATTGCAACGCACAAGCATTTTTTCTGGTTATAAAATAAATTAAATATGTTGAAAAATAAATTTAATATATATAGCTTAGAACATATCATCTAAGTAATACAGTAGAAGATTGTGTTTTAAGAAAACATATTTTTAGAGATGATGAACAAGTAATTTGCAACGGCATTAATCTAGGGAAATGATATCTAAGCGAAAAAAAATAAATAGCATTAATTGTTTGTTGTAGCTATAGCGGACTTCTACCACTACCACTATAAGGTAGGGGATCAAAGATAGTCTATTAGATCTTAGCGGTCGCTATAGCTTAGTGACTGTTATAGCAGTAAACTATTAGCTTTGTTGGGTTGTTACTGTACTTAAACTACGTTCTCTATCTATGGATAAGAGAATTTAACGCCATGTGCCTTTTTATCATATTCATTAATATGTTATTTATAAATTTTATGCTATGAAATGTATAGGTAACTAGATATGCTAAATTTTTAAATTTTAAGTGAATTTTGACACTAGTATTAATATATAATCTAAATGTATAGTAATTTTTAAAATTCCGCTATTGGAACTTAGCGCCTAGAAGGCTACAATAGCACCCTTTATCAGCAACCATCTACTCATACATTAATCCGTGACCATTTGCTATTCTATATTTATTACCTTAGGTGTAAGCATATTTATATTTGTGTATATTAGTTTATGCATCTTCTATTTAAATAAAATATCCTATGCTAGCTTTTTTTTTCCTTTGGAAACTTATTCCGATACTAGTATTTTGTTGAATCCAAGCTAGGTAGAATTATTGAGATGCACAACCAACAAGCCAAAACAGAGGACATTCGGAGTATCAGCCCAATAATTATCATCTCACCGTCACCTTTTAGCAGGTTTAGTGTCACATCTCCTCCCAGATAAAACCAAACTAACCCTAAATTATTGATCCTAACAAAGCTCACTTTTTTTTAGGCTTTATTGCTACTAGTATATTCGCAAATCGCTTGCTCGATCCAGTTCATCACGAGTCCTTAATTCGGTGGGCCCCACTCGTCATTGACCATCAAACGCAACCGGACAAGGGCAAAGCCGTAATTACCCCCTCCCAAAACCGCCACGCGAGATACCTACCGCCAGAGAGCGGCGGAGAAGCAGCCGAGCATAGCAGTCTGAACCCTCCACCGAAGATGATGTCTATGGCATTAGCTATATTGTCACTTTTAACTTATTTGGCACTATATTAATTAAGAGAGAGAGTGAAGGAAGGAAGAAACTGGGTCTCATGCAAGACACAGCTTCAACACGAGAATATATGCACTAGACACTATCAATTTTTGTATTAGAAGAGAATAGTGTCTTCATAATAGATGAAGAATAAATATGATTGGTAGAGAAGAGAAATGATGTATTTATTAATGGTCCACTTTAAGAAACCATGGGTTGTAGAGTGTAGTTTCTATTGTGATGTCTTATTGACATGGCACCATAGACACTACTTATATATACTATGGGTTGGGATTGCCCTAACCACCTGATTTGCCTTGTCCTCAGCTAACCACCTTGGGCAAGTAAGCGAGCAAGTCAGAAAGCCACCGAACAGAGCAAGGTCACTTCACGCCATTACCTTCTTCTCTCCAAGAACTCGAGTAGATTGGGCAGGAGATTAAGATCCTGGCCAGCTTCGTCTCCAAGAATTCGACGCTCTGGTTCAGGATGTCGGTGGAATTCCTGACGAAAGCGCTCACGTGAGTGTGCCCCCCCTCTTCCCGCTCGCCAATTCTCCCAATTCTGGTGGGGATTTCCGGTGCCGCCTCGCCGGCGCCATGGCCCATGTGCTATGGAGATTATTGATTCATCTGCTTGATTGTTGGGTGGGTGCAGGGCGCTGTTCGGGTATGCTATGCCGGCGTTGGAGTGCTTCAAGGCGATCGAGCAGCGGCCTGGTCGGACGGACCATCTCCGGTTTTGGTGCCAATATTGGTACTGACTACTGACTCAGAAACCCCTTAGCTTGGAGTAATTAGTTCATTTGGTGTGTTCAATTTGATCTCTGGGTGATAGGCTGATGCTTAGAATTCGTCGTAATTGAGTGAATTGGGTAAACCATACGGGGATTAATTTCTGCTATCTGGGTACAGTTAGCTGGATTAGAGCATTAGAATTGGTGCTAATATGTTACTGCATTGCTGTGGAATTCAGTACCAAATCCTCACTTTCACCTTTCTGAAGTGCTTTGAATATTGGGGATCTGAAACACCGTATCTACTGTTTGGAGATCTGAAACACCTTGCAAGAGTTGACCAATTTCAGCAAATCTTGCAGGATCATACTAGTAATCCTCGTCATATTCGATGATATCGCTGGTGTCCTCACCTCCAAGTAAGTAATAATCACACAACCACAACTCATCAGCTGTTCCTGTAATCTGCTCCCTGTAACCTGGCAATCCCCTTCATTGAATGACAGGATACCAATGTACTCTGAACTCAGACTCGCCTTCCTCGTCTACCTGTGGTACCCCCAGACAAGGGTATGTAATGCTATGTCTGCAACGCTTGGTCCAGCAACAAAGCTGCAGCTAACTGCATGTCCTGATCATTGTCTGAACTAAACAAGATTTGCCACAAAACTGCAGCTGCACATAACTGCATCTCCTAATCATATCTGAAATTCTGAACTAAAAACGAGATTTAATCTAATTTGCAACACTGAGTCCAGCAACAAATCTGCAGCTGCACAAAAAGTGCATCTCCTGACCACGTCTGAATTAAATAAGATTTTGCTTTGTCACTCTGAACCAGGGAACTGACATCGTGTACGACACCTTCCTGCGGCCGCTGGTGATGCAGTACCAGCCCAACATCGAGGAGCGGCTGCGCTACCTGCGTGCCAATGCCGGCGACATTCTCATCTTCTACCTCAAGAACTTCACCGATAGGGGCTACGATCTCTTCCTCCGGGGGATGGAGTACATCCGGTCCCAGACGTCACGAGGCTCAAGAACGAGGGTATGTTACCAGTTACTCTCTGTCCCATATCGTAAGGTGTTTTAGTTTTGTTCTAAGTTAAAATTCTCTAACTTTGATCAAATCTATAAGAAAATATATTAACATCTACTCTACCAAAGAACACTATCAAGACATATTTCATAGTGTATTTTAATGAAACTAATATGATATTGTAGATGTTAGCACTTTTTCTTTTACAATCTTGGTAAAGTTAGAAAAGTTTACCTAGCACAAAAGTAAAACACCTTACAATATGAAAACAGAGGAAGTAGTAGTACACATGTTGGGAACCATGGTCATCACAGGATTCCGGAAATGTAACAGTGCAGTCAAAGAATTCAGGATATGTAACAGTGCAGGTGTGTAACTATGTTGGCAATGGTTTGTTTCTGCTGTGCAGCGGTGGTTCTCGTTCGGAGGCGACCGGGCAGAGAGGTCGAGCTACGTTGATGATTATGTCGCCGGCGGTGGCGATCGGAGGAGCACGGCGAGGCACCGGCGACCCCGCGACGATTACTAACGGGCTGGACCGGCGCCATAGGGATTCAGTAGAGAGAGGTGCACAGGATTGGAAACTAGTTGATTAGGAGTGACAAAATTTAAAAGGCCCAAAGCAAAACTTCTCAAAAACATGATGTGTATATATATATAGACAGGTGATCACTGATCCATACTCTGGTATATATAGCTCCTCACAATTTGGCGTTGCAGGTTGGCTAGTTTGTTGGTTTTCCTGTTGTGATTTGTGCACCCGTCTTCGATAGACTACATGATTCATTTTTTGAAACCTAAGGCGAAACTTTGTTCCACTTTTATATTTAGAAGAAGAGAATTAACCCAGTTTATAAGGAAAACCGGGCCCAAAAACCACACAATTGCACGGTTAATTATAGGAAAACCGGCTGAAACCCACCGCTACACAACTGACAACGACGGCGGAGCCCAAAAGCAGGATGTCACCGCCAAGCTAAACACAAAAGCGATATAACAGCTCCCACATCGCAGAAGAGGTGTTATCGTTGCCGAGCTAGCCGCCCAAGCGACCCAACAGCGCCGACTTCACAACTGCAGCGACACTGAAGACACGAAAGTCGCCAAAGCGAAAAGCAGCTCCGACATCCAACAATAGACATCAGCCAAGCCATCGAGAAGCCACTTCCTTCACGCGGCCAGCACCCCACCAGAAGGAACGAAGTGGACCCAAGAAGACAAAGGCCTCACCGAGCACAAGGTATGAAAGCTTTTGAACCGAAAAAGACCATCAACGGTCGTCGATGCATTGGAACTTCTCCGAAGCGACGCCCCCAAGGAGGACACGACGTGTAACGCCGCCGTCGCTCGTCTGAAAGCCGGAACAAGGTTTTCATCTGGAGATTGTGGGGGATATGAAAGAATGCCATGACAATGCCTCCAAGAAGGGAAATGACGCCCACGAGCGCCGCCGTCGTCGAACCGGCCAAAGGCACGGCAAGGCTTTCGCCAGCATCTTCACATCACCCACACAAGCACCCCCACATTGACGGCCACAGAATAGTCCATGACGTCTCACAAGCACCCATACCTCAACCGTAACCAACGGCAAAGACGGACCCTTGGCCACCAACTCCTACAGCAAGCCGAAGCCTCCGCCCTCCCCCTAGCGTTCCCCACGACCAGAACAAGGTCCGGCCAAAGAAGGGAGGGAAACCGAAATGAGGGAGAAGACTCGGTCGGCAACGAGGAAGTCGCCACCGCGGACGTCAAGCCCAATTCCTGCTTCACGCCAGCATAAGCCATCGTCCCGCCAACTCCACATCCGCACATCGCCGCCCATCCGACGCGGAGGGGACGGATCCAGCCGCGGACGGCCAGATCCAGCTAGGACAGCGCAAGCCGGCTCGACGTAAGCGCCGCCGCAGCACCGTTGTCGTTGCGACCACCACGCCGCCACAGCCTCTGCCTGCGCAGCGCTAGCGCCGTGGCCCCGCGCGGACGACGCCGAGGCCAACGCCGCGACAGGCGCGAGCGAGCCGCCGCTGCCCGCCCACCGCGACGCCGCCCCTGCCTGTCGCCATCTCGAGCCCCGTCGCCGACTTCTCCCTGCCGCCAGCCGCCACCTCACCAGTGTTGTCCTCCGCTGCTCCTCGTTGCGCTGCACCGCTCTCCGCCGTCGCCGGCTGCCCCTCGCGCGCGAGCCAGCCTCCGCCGTCGCCGGCCACACCTCCGGGAACGCGGCCTCCCCCGCTGCCAGCCGTGCCTCCGCGAGCGCTGGCCTCCACCGCCGCGGCCGCGCCTCTGCGAGCGCCGGCGTCCACAGCCGCCGGCCGCCCCTCCGCGCTCCTTGCGCGCGCCGCATCCGCTCCTCTCCCCTCCGACTGCCGTCTCCGGCCGGATCCGGCGGGGGCAGCGCCGGATCCGCCGCCTCCACGCCGGGATGAGTCGCCGCCGCCGCGTCCTAGCCGAAGACGACGCGCCGCCCCATCGCCACCGTCGCCACCACCTCCCTCCCGCGGCCATCCTCCACCGCCGCCTATGCATCGCCGCGTCCCCTCGCCGGATCCGCTTCCAGGGGCGTCGGATCCGCCGCGCCCTTGCCGTCGCCGGCCGCCGGAGCCCCCCACCGTCGCGCGCCGCTCCGTCCTCCCGCGCTGAGGAAGAGCTTTGCCAGTTCTCTTGGCCCCGCCGCCGCCTTCCCGACTGGCCGCACGGCTTTCCGGCGGCGAGCTCCGGTGGCGGCGAGGTGGTTAGGGTGGGCGGGGGTGGCGGCGCGGGCGGCTAGGGTTTTGCCCCCGAGCCGCACGCGCGAGAGCGACGCGGAGGACCCCACTAACAAACTAGACTACATGATTCATGCGATGCAACCCCCACTAACAAACCTTTTGATCATTGTGATGAATACATAATGGAAACAAACCAAAGAATATTATACTGTTGATGATGGATAAAAAAATCAATACCATACTTGACGATGGATAAAAAAAGGGGATTTTTTTTTCATGAGACTCCACACAAGTGGCAAGCCATCCAATAAGACTCTCCACGAGTGACAGGTCATACAACTAGTTGGAGCAACCAGCTGCTATTTATAGATTTCGCATGCAAATCTATTCATCAAGAATACGCATGCAAATCTATTTGAAAGAATTATGGGAATAATAGATTTCGCATGCAAATCTATTCAAGAATTATGAGAATCAGTAACTAACTAGTGCTATTTATAGATTTCGCATGCGAATCTATGCAAGAACTCATAGGAATATTTGACTAACTAATTAATAAGTTAACGCTGGATATTCCTCCTCGACCTGATCAACCTGTTTCACGCCGATGATGCCGGCCACGAACCCTAGGCAAGGGCAGACGTACCTCTTGACGAAGCGGTATACCGCGCCGCCGCGCCGGGTCCCGAGCGGCCCCGGCGATCGCCGGCGGTGGAGCGCGGGGTGGGGCCTCGCGTACAGCCGCGACGTCGCGCGCAGGAGCGGGTCGCTGATGCCGGCCTTCGGCGGCCGGCGGGAGCTCTCCTCGAACTCCTGCGAGCCGATCACGTCCTCGAAGCTCACGTAGCCGGGCGTCGTGTGGCACCGCTTGAAGTAGGCGTCGTGCGCGGCGGCGGCGGCGGCGTGCACCAGGTCGTCGTAGGAGTGCAGCCGCCGCGAGATGGGCGGCAACCGCGCCTCCGCCCCCGCCGGCGCGGCCCCGGAGGAGGAGAAGTTGTCGCTGCCATTGCTGTCGCTGGTGGCGGCGGCGCTGGTGGAGTGGTGGGAGAGGAGGGGCTGCGAGTAGGATGCGCGCATGGAGAAAACTGGGGCGACGTACGAGACTTACGAGTAGCCGATCGAGGGAGAGATTATAAGAAAGAAAGTGGTTAAAAGATGGAGGGCGGTATTAGGGTTTGATTATGAGAGAGCATCACACCCAACTCGTATTCGGTGAAGGGGGCGTAGAAACGTATTCGGTAAAGGGGCCGTAGAAATAGTGTATACAGTTATACGCACCCGGTTTGCCGCGCGCCGTCCAGAGAAGATTGAAACTCAAAATCGATTGAACTCACTCAACTCAACCCAAAAGATGATTGTAAATAGATGTCAAATCGAAATAGCTAGGTTTCACCAATCATCCGCGGACGGTTTGAGGAAGCATCGATCTCCATCGAGGACTCGTGCGGAGCTCGCCGCCGTCGAGCCGTCCAGGTGCTCAGTTTGCTGCTGCCGCGGTTGACGAGGTCGCGCTAGGATTGGGAGTTTGAGAGGCTGGCTGGAGAGCCCGGATGGCCGGATCTAACTAATGAATTGTTATGGGCTTTGGGGCTGAGAGATACATGGGCTGCAGGCCGAACCAACCTGTGGGCTGAGCAGCTAGCGGAGGCGCTTCCGCTTCGGTTCGTTTGCGGCCTGGAAACCGCGCCGAACAGGCTACTGGGCGAAGTGGCCAACACCTAAAACTGGATTTAAAAGAAAAATAAAGCCAAGCATAACAATACTAGTATTTAGATTCGGTGTAATGGATCAATTTACGGTGAATTTTGGATTTTTACTCTGTTCGGTAGAAACTGGTAGTAATATACCTTAGGATTTAATTTGTCAAATACTTTTACTTATGTTATGGTGGGTTTACACTCGTCCCTTGCTAATATCTTCCATAGTTGGCTTGGTGGTTTACAACGTAGAATAAATGTTAACTTTTTATAGGTGCCGTAGCTTTGTGTTGGACGGTAAGACTTTGTAGTAATGATATAATCTTCAATGGCTTAAGTACTAACTCCCCTCTTTGTAGGTAATTTTCAGGTGAACCCACTGCGCTAGTGGTCATTGTTGCTTAACGAGGAGAATAGCGATGTGGTTAAACACATGCACAAGTTACCGGAGGCTAGAGTTTGGGATTTCTTTTCCAGATTTGCGTGGAACTTGAGTAAGCGGTTGGAGACCTAGTATCCACTTTTGTCATCTTTTGTTAGTTGGCTTCTATTCACGAGACGACTTCGTTGTGAGGTGTTGTAGTCTAAGTACCCTTGTTTTATTTGGTCGGTGGTGTTGTTCTTATGCAAGGTGTGATGCTAAGTACTATTGACAATGTATGTTTGGCTATGTACGTATAGTTTGGATGTAGAGGATAGGTTTTTAATCATTTTTTTAAAAATAAATTGACATTTTCTCCCTCTACATGTTTATCTATGTTTTGTTAGTATTGTTGTATTGCTCTCACTAAGCCTAGATGCTCGCTAGATATAATGTATTTTTGCTTACTTGTACTCCCCTCCGTACGTTCAAATTTTTTTTATGAGATAGAACACAACCTATATACAATAGGATGTGTTCCATCCAATCGAACAATTATATTTTGAAACGGAGAAATTGTAAGAATTACAAGTTGTCCTAGCATATCTGCACTCTTCCATCCATCCCAAAATAAATAAAAGAAAACTTTTGCAAAACCATAAACAGAGTAAAACGGACCGAGACGAGAATAAGCCAGCGGAGCACACGCGCAACAAGACAATTTTTTTGTTTGGCATTCCTATCAAAATATTCCCAACATAGCATAGCTTCTAGTGGAAACTGTGAACCACTGAACCACCACCATAGACGATAGCGTTTGTAGCTTGCTTGCAACGGACAAACCAATTAAATACCCCCTCCGTAACCGCGAGATTCTAAGTTTTCAACGAAGGCTGTATTTAGTTCCATGTCAAAATTAAAAGTTTGAAAAAATTAGAACGATGTGACAGAAAAGTTGGAAGTTTGTGTGTAGAAAAGTTCGATGTGACGAAAAAGTTAAAAATTCGAAGAAAAAAGTTAGAATCTAAATAGGGCCAAAGCGAGAAAGCTTCCTTGCAAATCCTGGCTGTGTGCATATGTATCAGTACTTCCTTCGTCTCAGTAAGTTAATTTTTTTTTATTTTTTTTATTTATTCCAAAATAAATTTATTTTAAAAGTAATAATTGTATCAAAATTGATGAAAGTAGAAAATAATTATATTGAAAATAGATAAATGAGAAATAGTTGCATTGACATTGATAAAACAAAGGTATTTTAGTTTTTTATTGATGATATGTGAAAGAAGATACTTTCTCCGTTAAAAAAATAAATCTAAAACGGGATGTGACACATTCTGTACAATAAATATGAACAAAGATATATATTTAGATTTATACTAGCACACTGCACACGACACACACACCAGCAACGGGGGCACACGACACACACACACCAGCAACGGGGATTAGAAGTTGACACGACTGTCTATCTGGAATCCTAGCTGTGCTGCGGTAGCAACTGTCCTCAGATGCTGATACTCCCTGATAGCCATAGCCACGACGCGATGGGGTCCCCATCCATCCTCCCCTCCTGCTCGGTTGTTTTCGCTTCAGGTTCAGTGCAGTCACGAGCGCGGACGCCCCCAAAAAACTCGCCACGCTGTGTGCGCGCGCGCCCACCGCGATCCCCCTGATCCCATTAACGTTTCACCCGCGCGCGCCCACCTGCCGCTGCAATATATTTCGCCGCGCCCCGCGCCACGCCACGCCACGCCACCTTGCGCGCGCGCGCGCACACACACCCCAGCAGCAGAGATGAGGGGGATGGGCGACGACGGGATGGGGCCGATGGCGATGGCGCCGCCGCGTTCCGGCCACGCCACGGCGGCGGCACCGCCGCCGCCGCAGCACAAGATGGCGATGATGATGCACATGACCTTCTTCTGGAGCGACCGCGCGGTGGTCCTGATCCGGGGCTGGCCCGGGGAGCGCGGCGCCGGGATGTACGCCCTCTGCCTCCTCTTCGTGCTCGCGCTCGCCGCGCTCACCGAGGGGCTCTCCGTGCTCTCGCGCCGCCTCGCCCGCCGCGGCGGCGGCGCCGCCTCCTCGGATGGCGGCCGCCCGGCGCCGGCGCCGGCGTCGTCCGCGGCGCTGCTGACCGCGGTGCACGCGGCCAGGATGGGGATGGCGTACCTGGTGATGCTGGCCGTCATGTCGTTCAACGTCGGGGTGCTCCTCGCCGCTGTCGCCGGCCACGCCCTCGGGTTCCTCCTCGCGCGGAGCAGGGTGCGGCCGGCCGCCCGTGACGGCGGCGGCGGCGTGGCCTGTGAGCACGGTGGCCTCCCTCCCGCGGATGGATCCAAGACTTAGTCCCCATCGATTCCGTTAAACGAGTATGTCCAAGCGCCTTAGCCAGTAGACACTATGCACTGTATCGGATCCAATGTGAAAATTTACCTTGGATATCTCGCTAAAATAATTGTATTTTGTCGACTTGCTTGATATCTGTTCCCGTGCAGTCTTCTCTAGTCGTTTTTCGTTTGTACTCCTATGTTTCAAGATGGAATGATACTACTACTAGCTAGTATTGATGTGAGTTCTCTACTATGCTAACTTTAGATGAACCAATGATTTGTTAGTACTCTCCTTCCAAAAATATCCTTTTTTTAAATGGAATCCTTCCAAAAATATTAGATTTATTTCATATTTTGAATTAGCTACATTTGTAGTTTTCATGTATTTAAAACTTAAATGAATAGATAAATTAAATGATTAATCGGAACCCGATGAGTCATCTTAATATTCATTGGCTGCGTACATGCATACACTAATTGATCTTTGTTACACCTTATCTCCACTTAAATTATTATTATTTAAATCCTTCACCCTTAAGATTTCTAATTGTATTGGGTGCATATATTGTATTTATTAGAGTGATAAAGATGATAATAATTGTTTTTGTTCTTTCGATTAAATGTAGCTGTGTCTTATATTCGTTTCATATGTTGATGAAACCAACCCTCTAGTATATGTTTCATGCTCATGGTAACATATACTAGGGTATTCTTTTTAAATTCCTATTTTGTGATAGTGTTGTCATCAATCACCAAAAAGGGGGAGATTGAAAGATCTATGCACTAGAATTGCCTTGTAAGGGGAGATTGGAATATCTATGATCCTAAGAGCGCGGTGATTGTTTTGGTGATTAATGACAACCCATTGTTGGAACTAACTATTTCCATGAGTTGGTGAGATTAGGTTAAGTTTCAGCATCAAGTTAAAAGATTGAAGCTAGAAGATGGACATTATACCTTGATGAGGAGCAAGTGAAGGCATTGATGATGCGGGGTATGAAATGGCTATCTATGGCAAACCGGTGAAGAGAAAGCAAGGCTCGGCTAGAAGATGGACATTATACCTTGATGAGGAGCAAGTGAAGACATTGATGATGCGGGGTATGAAGTGGCTATTTATGGCAAAACGGTGAAGGGCAAGCAAGGCTCGGCTACAATGGACCATGTGGGGGGTGAAGGGCAAGCAAGAGGCTTGGCGCCGATGGACTGAATCCGGTGGTGAAGGGCGAGTGAAGGCTTTGTCATGATGGTCATGATGGACCGTATGAGGCCATTTGAAGCTATGAGTAATCCGTATCAATTATAAGAAGACCGCAAGATGGAATGCCGAGGATCAAGAGGATGTGGTTCTTCGATGAACATCAAGTCAAAATCCAAAGTGGGCATTGATCAAGGCAAAGGTATAATTGATTTGGGACTAATATGCTTAATGAGTGTAGGTGAGAATAGTCCCAATAGTGAAATGGTGTTGACATAGACAACCCTCAAGGTGAAGCAAGAAGATGTTCCTAGTGGTGTATTAGTCCCAGGTTGCTTAGGAGTGGGCTAGGATGCTTGGAGATCCCCCAAAACATCAAAATCAAAGTGGCGAGAAGACTCGGAGCCGAGTTAGACTAGTTTACTTTTTCGCTTTGAGTTTAGGAAAAACCGTACTATTAAAAGGGGTTCCAAGTATGGTTCTAAGATAACACAAGTGCTCTTAGTGGTGTCCAAGTGTTGAAATATTTTTAGGAGCTGTTTTTGAAAATGACTCTACTCGGGACAGAGAGTCCCACCCGGAGGTTCTGTCCGGAACTTCCTGGCGCCGAGGTGAGGTTGAAAATTTTCCTAAGTGTTGCCCGGAAGTTCCTGGCACCCAGGTCCGGAACCTCCTGGCAACCCTCCAGTTCAAATATGTGAGTAACGGCTAGATGACGTCACCTAACCGTTATATATAGCCAACTCGACCCCAGCTCATTCTTTGGCCATTCCACTTTAGTTCTTGTGTTCCCTAGCTTGTTCTAGCCTCTCCCAATGTGATTTTGCTTCCTCCACCCAAATCTTGTGCACTTATTGAGTGAGAGAGTGAATTTGAGGGTGGTGGTGAGGATTGGAGAAGGTTTTGAAGGCTAGGATGACTTGAGCACTTGGTGTATCTCGTTGGGCTATCACTTGAAGCTTGTTACTCTTGGAGGGTGACCTCCTAGACGGTTAGGTGTCGCCCGCAAGTTTCCAACAAGGTTGTGGATTGACCCGGGCAAGTTTGTGAGAGCGTTATTCCACCTCCGAAAGAAAACAGAGGTGAGGTTTAGGAGGTCGTCTTGGTAGAGCAAGCCTCACTTGTGGTGTTCTTTTGGTGTTTAAGTTGGGGATCTTAGTGGTCACTTGAAACCAAAGAGAAGTACCTAGGGGTGTTGGCTTGAAGACCGGAGACCTCTTCCTAGGCCTTTTCTTGGCGAGGCAAGGTGTTAATCAAGACCCGGCTCTTTGGAGCTCCTCAACAGAGACATAGGATTCTCGGTGGAGAATCCGAACTTCGGGAAACAAATCATTTGTCTCCTCTCACTCTCTTTATCTTTGTGATTGTGATGCTTATCTCCTTATTTGCCTAGTTGTGCTATCATGTCTCCCATTGTATGATCACTTGTGATATCTTGTGTATTTTCATGTGTATTACTCTTGTTTGAGACATGTTGTACCTCTCTATGGTTTAGGCTTCCTTGTGATTTAATTTACTTGTTGTGAGGTGCTTGAAATAGCAATTCACAACTGCCCGGAAGTTCCTTGGAAGAAAGAGAGGAAGTTGAGCAAGAATGAGGATCTTGCTCATAAGTTCTTCAAATCCACCAAAGAGGGACACTTTGCCTCAAGTTGTCCTTGCAAGATTGATGATGAAGCCACACTTCCAAGAAAGACATCAAGAATCAACAAAAGGAAGTGCTACGGTTGCAATGAGAAGGGGCATGAAATCGGATTTTGTCCGCACAAGAAGGATGATCATTGCAATCAATCAAGCAAGAGGCAAACCGGTAACAAGCAAGTCAAGAAGCAAGATAAAAGCAAAACTCAACTTTCCTACAATTGCCGGGTAAAGAGACATATTGGTAAAAATTGTCCCATTGGTAACATTCCTAAGCCAAACCTCTCATTTCATCACAATTTGCTTAGGAAGGCCAAAAATGGCACTTGTGCCACTAGGGTGATTAGTTCGCTACATGCTAGCACAAAGGCCATTTGGGTGCCGAAATCTCTTGTGACTAACTTCCATGGACCCAACATTATTTGGTGAGGCAAGGTGTTAATCAAGACCCGGCTCTTTGGAGCTCCTCAACGGAGATATAGGATTCTCGGTGGAGAATCCGAACTTCGGGAAACAAATCGTTTGTCTCCTCTCACTCTCTTTATCTTTGTGATTGTGATGCTTATCTCTTTATTTGCCTAGTTGTTCTATCATGTCTCCCATTGTATGATCACTTGTGCTATCTTGTGTATCTTCATGTGTATTACTCTTGTTTGAGACATGTTGTACCTCTCTATAGTTTAGGCTTCCTTGTGATTTAATTTACTTGTTGTGAGGTGTTTGAAATAGCAATTTACAACTGCCCGGAAGTTCCTAGGAAGAACCCCGGAAGTTCCGGGCAGCTTTCTCTGCTTGTGAGAAAAAGCTGCCAGGAAGTTCCGGACCTTTTGCCAAGAAGTTCTGGGCCCTGATTTTAACCGCTACGATTTGAAGTAAATTTTAGGTGCGCCTATTCACCTCCCCTCTAGGCGACATCAAGGCCCTTTCGGTAAGCAACTATTGTATGATTGGCTATTAGAGCAAGGTTAATAGTATAGCCAACTACTAGCTCAAATTCATCTATAGCCAATCTAATAGCTAATTTATACAATAGTTGCTTACTATACTATTAGTATATGGTCCTACTTGTCATACACACATTGCGTCTTGGAGTCCGTGCTGCAGCTGGCTACATCTCTCTCATCTTTTATCTCATTAAAATATGTTTGTAGCTGGCTAATAGTTTGTTATTGTACCTGCTCTTATATTGACTATATATGATTTGGAGTTAGTAGTGTGCTATACTATTAAACTTGCTCAAATTGTTTTTCGGGTCAGAAAAGAAGCTTCGGATCATTAATCTTTCATGTAAAAATCATGTAAAGAAATACCGCTAAGGTCTATTCAACCGGGCATCAACCATGTGGAGGTCTGAAAATATGAAAACGACCTTGCAGGGTGGCACCGTGGCATGTGTGGAGGTAGCACTGTGGCAGCGGCAACTACCTGTGCTGTGCATCTCTCTGACTCTGTGTGGTGGCGAAGATTTGGAAAGGCAGCAGGAAGAATCTTGCAAGATCATTGGGTCCCGTTCTTTTCTCTAAGCAAAAGTTGAAAAGATTTTCGTGGCACGCTTTTTATATGAAAGTTAAACCGTATACTTCGTACAAAAATTTTATATATGAAAGTTGTTTTAAAATATCATATAAATCTAGTTTTCAAGTTTGTAATAATTAAAACTCAATCATACGTTAATACCACCTTATTTTGCATATAAAACTTAATTTTTATTTTTATTTTTATCTTCAGAAGAAAAAAAACACCATCTAAAAATCGAGCGTCCAGAACCTCTTATTAAAAAAAGGGGACGAAACAGAGGGTTAAAAAAAAAAGCTTATCAGGCCTATTAGCAGTGGCAGCAGGGATGAAAAAGGGATGCTTACAAGAAACAGTAGCATCTTTCATCTCTTCTGAAACGACGGATTGTCAGGACCATATTTATCAATTTAGCTATTTAGTAAAAATAGCAATATGATGTTAAATAGAAAATTAAAAATTTATAAATAGGTAGAACCAGAAACGGTAAAAAATAATACCACTCATATGGAAATGGTGCTCGGTCGACCCGGAATTTCCGTGACTGTTTTCATCCCCAGTGGCAAAAAGGGAACAAGAAAAAAAATTAATTTGATTTTTTTCATATAGTTTGTAGATTAGCAATTGAAAAAAAAAATACTACAGTTTTAGTTGAACTGAGCAGATTATTGGCTATGTATTGGTCGCAAACTTGCTTCTCATTTACCATTCTTAAGAGCCCCACCGACCGCTCCCTTCTCCATCTCTGATGAGTATGTCGCTATTGATGCATCTTCTCCAATTGTCTCCAAGTACGACACAATCCCCCTTCTCCTTCGTCTCCGATGGTTCATGCCATTGCCGCCTGCTTCCTAACAACATGACCTTCTTTGTTTCCGCGGTTGATCCTATGCACTACTCTCGTTCATCCCTAAGCCTCTGGTGCTAACGCTTCTGTCTTTCCCTCACCGGCCCACCGTCTCTGCCACTCATTGCTATTCCTCCATCCCTCTAAACCTGCTCTCATCGAAGTCCTCGCCATCTCCCTCATTGACGCCTCCACCTCTTGGCAGGCCATGGATTTTGATCCAATGACATCCATTAGTGGATTCAGAATAGCAAAGCATAAAATTAAAACCGTTTATCATGTTGTCTATTCGTAAACTTATGCGTGAAGATTGATGAACTGAACCAAATGTGAAAACCCCATATACAAGACTACAAATTACAGCACTATTTTTTTTTTTTGAAAATCCCTGATATGACTATGCCTATAGAAAATCCTATGACGTAAATATGAGGTGGCTTTGCAGTATTGAGACTCTGAACAGAACCTCTCTCAAAGAAAGAACTAAAATACGTACTTCAAGAGAACTCGATTGAATCATGGCCCAAGGCCCAAAGCCCAGTCGACGCACATAAAATCCAATCTCTCCCGGTTGACGGACCGATCCCCAGTGGAAAAAGTCTTTGACTGCTTCCACTATCGCCCGAGTATGATTTATTTCCTCCAACCACAAAACCGGTATATCGACTTCTCTAACTATTAAAACCGGTGCAAACAATATCCCTCGGTAGTTTTGGAGGTGGGTTTGGCTGATGTGGTGGTATTGACTAAGTCTTTCTCCTACGTGGCGCTTACGTGGCATTAAAATAAAAACAAAAATAAAAAATATGTGGGATCCATATGTCATTAAAAAACAATTATAGGACCCACTGATATGTGGGACCCACCTGTCATCCTCCCTCTTCTTCCCTCTTCCTGCCCCTCTCTCCCTTGTCTCTCTCTCCTCCCCGGCCTTTCTCTCCTCGGGAAGACGACGGTGTGGAGAGGCGGTGGGGAGCGGCGGCGAACGAGGGCGGCGCGGGAGAGGAGGTGGACGAGGAGGTAGTAGGCGCGGAGGGAGTGGGGGATCGACGACGACGGCGACGAGGAGGCGGCCCAGTAGAAGAAGGTGAGCGCATTCCTAGCAACGAGCTCCGGGGAGGAGGAGGAGTGGCGGTGCTTGGCAAGGGAGAGGAGGACGACGTCGACTTGGTCGGCAGTGGGGAAGGCGGTGGAGAGCGCCTCCCATGTCGCTCTCGGATGGTGCGCGAGGTAATGGGAGATGCGCTGAGGCGTCGTGGCGGCGGCGACAACGATAGCGCACGGGGGAGGAACTCACCGGCCGTCCGCGCGCGGGGGAGTGGCTCGCCGGCCGTCCGCGCGCAGGGGAGGTGCTCTCCGGCCGTTGGCGCATGGGGAAGGCGCTCGCTGGCCGTCCGCGCATGGGGAGGGGCTCGCCAACCGTCCACGCACGGGAGATAGGCTCGCCGGCCGTCCACGAACTGGGGAGAGGCTCGCCAGCCATCCGCGCGTGGGGGAGAGGCTCGCCGGGCGTCTGTGCGCAGGGGAGGGGTTGGAGCTCGCCGGTGGTAGGGAGCGGCGGTGGGGTCGGCTGTCGGGAGCGGCGGCGGCGTCCGTGGCCATGGGCAACAGCGACCACGACACCACCAGCAAGGCCGGCCTACACGAGCAGACCACTGGCTGCTTCCCGTCGACCAGGCCGCTGCCGCTCCCTTCCTCTGTCCCCACCGCCACCGCCGCCACTCCCCACCGCCGCTCCGGCCGGGGTGAAGAGAAACGCTGGGGGAGAGAGGGAAGGAGGGAGGAGGAAGAAGGGAAGCCGGGAAGGAGCTAGAGGGAGGATGACATGTGGGTCTCACATATCAATGGATCCCACAATATAATTTTTTGTGTGAGTGACATGTAGGTCCTACCTTTTTTTTATTTTTATTCTAATGCCACATAAGCGCCACGTAGAACAAAGACTTGGTCAATACCGCCACGTAGGCGCCACGTCAGCTAAAATCACCGAGGGATATAATTTGCACCGGTTTTGATAGTTGGAGGAGTCAATTTACCTGGTTTTGTGGTTAAAGGATATGAATCATACTCGGAGCTATAGTTGAGGGAGTCAAAGTATATTTTTCCATCCCAATTGTCCCACCCACCTGATACTACCATCACGCGACGCGACGCCCCACGGCCGGCGGCGGCGCGAATCGCCTACCGCCCGCTGCACAGGGGCACTAGACACACATGGGCTGATGGGCACATGACTTAGCCCAGCATTCTCGCTTACATATCTTATGTTGTTTTTTTTATTAAGACGTGGATTTTACCAAGGATTTTATTAGTATGTTTTCTAAACCGCTAAACAATATGTTTTTCAAAAAATTATATAAAAATAATTTTAAAATATCAAATAAATTTATTTTTAAGTTTGTAACAATTAAAACTTAATTAATCATGTGACTTTTTCATTTTACGTATGCTAACTTAATCTATATCCAACTCTATTTTAATTATATGTTAATGGCTTTTTTATTTTAGGTAGACTATCTTAATCTTCGTCCAACTCTATTTTTTAATTTTTAAGTTTGTAATAATACTGCCCAACACGGCCAGGATGAAGCGTCGATCTGAATTTCTTTTTCAATTTTGAGGGCACTCTCCTTCTAGAGACACTCCCTTATGAACGGAGCATCGAATTTGGGATTGTGGCAAATGGCAATGCACCGTTGCTGTGCACAGGTGCCGGCCGGGCGCGCTTACACGGCTACACCTAACACGCCTACACTCTTTTTTCTCATCAGTCATCAGAATACTTACACGTTTACATTTGTGCTTTTGACAATCCTAGTAGGTTATAATTAGTACTAAGTGCTTAGCCGATGAACGAAATGATGACCAACACCACCGACACACCACCAAAACTCTTGTATGGATGTTTTTCTGTTGTTTGCATATCATTTAAATAGTTACAAATAAATTAATAAAAACTAGAAGATATATTAATATGTGATATATCACTTCATAAACACGTAACTTAACATTTAATTTCTACTTGTAAGTTTAATTTATTTTTTGTTGTCATATACAGAAGTTAAATTTTAAGTTGTATGTTTGTAGAGTGATATATCACATGTTAATATATTTTTTAAAAGCTTTTTATAACTATTTGAGTAGTATGCAAGTAAGGAGTGGAAGTAAGGAGTGGACGTTCAAAACTAGTACTCGCTAAACTAGTCGAGATCTCTTTTTCTCTACCGCTGCGCAACAACATTTGATTGAACCATCTTACGATGCTTTTTCTCAGGCTCATGCAGCCATGCTTGGATGCTTGCGTTGTTGAGACTTGAGAGCACGGCACGTATGCGAACTTGATCAGGTAGGTCGTCACAAACGCGGCGCGCGTCGACGAGAGGCCGAGACAACCACCCACCCACTAGCGCGCGCACCGAGCGAGCTATCTCTCCGCTCGGTCTCGGTCGATCGCCGCGCGCGCGCGTGGCCGAGCTTGCACGGCGCCATTGGCCGACGCGAGCCGGTGAGGCGATAGTGCTCGCTCCACCACTCTCCCCGACCATCATGGGGGTGTCACCTCACCTGCTACGCCTGTATATATATAAAGCACCAGCAGCCATGAAGCCCATCAACGAAAAACTACGTGACAGCGTGACACAGGGGGTAGTTAATTACTAGTTATTCGCAGTGCGTGCGTGTGTGTGTGTGAGCGATCGATTGATCGAGATCGACATGGCGGTGATCAGGGGTGTCGTGGTGGTGGTGCTCGCGCTGGTGGTGGTGGCGGCGGCGGCGGCGGACGGTGCAGGGGAGTGCGGGGCGACGCCGCCGGACAAGATGGCGCTGAAGCTGGCGCCGTGCGCGTCGGCGGCCAAGGACCCCAAGTCGACGCCGTCGAGCGGGTGCTGCACGGCGGTGCACACCATCGGGAAGCAGAGCCCCAAGTGCCTCTGCGCCGTCATGCTGTCCAGCACGACCAGGAACGCCGGGATCAAGCCCGAGGTCGCCATCACCATCCCCAAGCGCTGCAACATCGCCGACCGCCCCGTCGGCTACAAGTGCGGAGGTAAGCTGAGATCGGGAGCAGCAAAGAAAACGGTGTTAGTCATTAACGCATGGTAATTAAGTATTAATTAAAAAAACTTAAAAAATAGTAACAGTTTTTATAAAAAATCACATCATTTAATAATTTGAAAAGGAGGAATAGAGTTGAAAAAAAAAAGGGAAGAAGACAGCCTAATCAACATGTCAAACTGTCAACTCTTGCCACGAACAATCTATGATTATTTCATCATTTTCAGTTGGTTGGCGCTAACAATCTAACATGATCGATTCCTTCTCAATTCTCTTTCACAGATTACACTCTGCCATGAGCAACAAAGAGTACTGCATGCAGTGCCGGTGCCGTGTCTGTCATCCGCTTAATTTATCGAGTTTATGTCGTGTTACTTACTAAAGCTGTATGCTGTTGTGCGTTCGTGCAGTTTAGTGTCAGTGTCAAACACCAAATAAAAGGGTTCCATCTTCCGTGGGACTTCGTGATTTCAGTCCGTAGAGTTGTTTCTCCAAGTCCAGGATAGTGTGTACTTGATCATATTATCTCGGAGGGATGCAGAGACGCTCCCCTGAATTCTCTGAATAATAGTACAACTTGGTTTGTTCATCGATTCACACTTTTAGTTCAAAAAACTTGCTATACATTTTTACATCTTGTATGCTCGCTTATGCCTTATGCCCGCAGAGGAGAAACAGAGGAAACATGCAACTAGTAACAGTGAAGAAATTCAGAGGTTGTGTGCTCTGCTTAAACGAAACCAAATCCTCTCACATTAGTGTACAGCGCGCACATGGTCACTGATATATGAGACTCATCATTTATGGACCCATATATCAGCCACCATGCCTCTCTGATTTAACGTCAGAAGATCTCTCCATAGACCCACATGTAAGAGGCGCACTCTCACATGTAAGAGGCGCACTTCTCTCTCTGACTATATTAGAGGAGCATCATCGACGGTTGTGCATGCTGCTCGCCTGCAGGCTGATACTAGTGCTTGCAAGCTTAGCAAGGGGCGCAGCCACGGTACTAGCCTACTAGGTACGTTCACACGTGTGATCCTTGTTATGAGCCAACGATCGCTCCAATTGACAACGTCGGATGTGCGCCACATGCACAATGAGCCAATGATTTTACCCGAATCACAATATTGAACATACACAACATCGGATGTGCGTTAGACGCATCCATGTGAGCCAACGATTTTCACTCTATTAGAGCACGAGAAATTGAGTGTTTCTTATCAAAAATCGTTTTTTTTTCAAAGGTTTTTATCGGAGCCGAGAGTGCCTACCTCCGAGCCGAGAGTGCCCGCCCTTTCTGTCAAGTAGGCTACTTTTTCCGGAACGCACACTTTTTTTTAGGTTTCATAAAAGCATATTTAGGTCCACACGTGAAAGAACCTCATGAATATCGAAGACTGCTACTGAGTTGACACCATTCCAAGAATTGAATTCATTCCGCAAACCAGGACCTATATCATTACCAACTCCAGACAGTCTTGCAGAAACTATTAGGGGATTTCAACTAATCCTCACAATATCGGTTGTGCCCCACGCGCCCATATGATATCGATATAGGAGATCGTTTTAAATCTAATCGGAGCCACAACTTAATAAGATTGACTAGTCTTTTAGGTAAGTTATATTCTACTTTCTCCGTTTTTAATAGATGACACCGTTAAATTTTGAACATGACCACTCGTTTTATTCAAAAATTTATACAAATATATAAGATATATATCATACTTAAAATACTTTGAGTGATAAAACAACTCACAACAAAATAAAGTATAATTACGTAATTTTTTTAATAAGATGAACGATCAAACGTGTGATAAAAAATTAACAATGTTATCTATTAAAAAAACAGATATAATATTTTTAAGTTGTGCTCTCCATAATAAGACATCTTTTGCTTGATGTATTACAATGACGATGTTGCTACACGTGGACACTGGTGCACCATCTTCTAGTAGATGTATCGTTCATCGCAGAGGGCACAAATTTCTCTATCACATATAGGAGGTGCAGAGCAAAATGATGGATCCACCAGGCCCCGCGTTTGCTGCTTCCGCTGAAAAACACCGTGAAAACAAACTAAAATGGGGCGCATTGTTCACAAAATTTCGCTGCTTTGGCTTCAAACGAAATATAGGGCGATACTCCTACAAAATCGCAAACTTGTTGTGTGGTGTACGTATACCACTCTTAGACCTTGTTCGGTTTAGAGAGGTTTAAAGAGGATTGGAGGGGGAATAATTTCAAATCCCCTCAAATTCTTTCCTCATAGGGATTAACCGAATAGGCCTTATGATTATTCTTTTCCCCAATTCCGGAGGCCATTTTGTACTAACATTGCTAACTAATATCTCCGTACCTTATATGTGGTTAAATTATGAGAACGTTCGACTCGCATGCAACAAAGTATCATGTGCATTAGCCATTTGGCCTGCAGGTCATCACATAAGGCATACTTGTTAGGGTGCACAGTACACACGCTACTAATTAAGCGAAGGTGTGTCACACCCTCACACGTTCCTTGTGTTAAACATAGCACACGCCACGACCTGCCACACTTATTTTGTGCACATAAATGGCTTGTCCTAATTTTAAGTCAAATTAATGTTGTGTTTACTGTTAAACTCTCGAGTATTAGGGACTGAACTAAAAAACGTGTGATTAGACGAATTGTGAAAGCTAAAACACAAAATATAATAAAGTTTGATTTTTGAAGTTCACAAATCCTAGTGACAAAAAAATAGACAGTAGATAATATGTGGGAGGATAAATGACACAATCACTAACAAGTCGGATAGGAGTGCTATGACTTTAGAGAATATGGAGACTAGAGTAGGGAGCCCCTAAATTTAGGGATCTTAGATAGGAGTTTCTTGAAACAGTGTTTTAGTAACTTTACATAGTGGGATAGCGAGACAATTCGTGTAACCATTCTATCCACTAAACCAAACATGTTATAATCGTAAGCACATCTGACACTATGCAGAGAGTATCATCTATTGTCAGGTTGAGTTTGCAGAATGACTTCTGAGATAATATATTTACACATCGTTTTAAGAATCATCTCTATACATGTATCGTCCTGATATTTCTGCACGTACGTAGTGCTACTTTGCTAGCCTATTCCATTAATTGACCGGGATTGCCAAGTGTCCCCGGTATCCATATATGTTCATCTCGTTTTTGTGTCATAACCGTCATAACGTTTCCGCTCCTGATCGATCGGCTTCACGCACGCCCAGCACTATATAACCAGCTCCCAAGCGAGCCGGGAGTAGTAGCCAACGAGCTTATAGAACACAAGTACAAGAAGCTATCAGAAATCAGAAACGCTAGCTAGCAGTAGGAACAAACAATGAGGTCGTCCCCGATCATCTTCCTGCTCCTGGCCGCCGCCGCCGCCATCGCCGCTCCGTGGCAGGTTGCGCACGCCGCGGGCAAGTGCGGCAAGACGCCGGCGGAGAAGGTGGCGCTGAAGCTGGCGCCGTGCGCGAAGGCGGCGCAGGACCCCGGGGCCCGGCCGCCGGCCGCGTGCTGCGCGGCCGTGCGCGACATCGGCACGCACCAGAGCCACGCGTGCCTGTGCGCCGTGCTGCTGTCCAGCACCGTGAGGCGCTCCGGCGTCAAGCCGGAGGTGGCCATCACCATCCCCAAGCGCTGCAAACTCGCCAACCGCCCCGTCGGCTACAAGTGCGGCGGTACGTACGTATTGCGTGCGAAGAGCTTTGGTTAGCTTCATATTATACCGTTTCATATTACAAGTCAGACTTTTTAAAAGTTTGATTAAATTTATAGAAAGATTACAATTATATCATTAAATTAGTTTTATTAAATCTAATATTGAATATGTTTTGATAATTTATTCATTTTATATTAAAAATATTACTATATTTTTTATAAACTCGATCGAAGCTAAATAAATTTGATTTTTAAAAAAATCAAAGTGATAACAGATGTAGTATATAATATCTCTGTCGTAGAATATAAACATTTTTGCGTATTTTTCGAAACATATTTGGACATCTATATATCCGGATACAGTTCAAGAAACACATAGAAATGATTATATTTTAAAACCAAGTATATGACAAGTGTGATGGTTCTCTGCCTTTTGTAGCTTACACGCTGCCCAGCCTGCAGGGCTGATGACGACGTACGACGGCCTTGTTTAGGCTCTGGCGCCACTAAAAGCTACCTACAGATCGCTTACAGCATACTACTCCTATAATACTGTTGCTTAAGTGTGCTAGCTATACCCTGCACTGCTGATGAATAAGTATGATCGAGCTAGCAAAGCAACTCTACATGGTTGGGACGTCAACACTGGTTAATCTCGTGCGCTGCAAATGGTCTGCTAGTGTAATCCTGTCCGCATATGCTGCTTGAGGTTGTAATGAGAATGGACAAAGTTTACTATCCGCCCGACTGATACGTATACCGAACATTTACGTAGCAATGAGCGTATGCAGATACGCCACACAAAACTATAGACTGGCATGGCATGGCATGTTGTCTGTGTTGTTGTCACACTGTTGCGTGTGTCAGATGCAGGAAAATACATAGTGAAAACCTAAAAATTACTAATTGAAAACTAAAAGTCCAAGATTTATTACGTCACCATAGAGTGAAATTTTCTCTCAATAAAAGTTTTACTCATGAGTAAATCTACGAGTGAAATTCTTACTCGTGATGATGTGTACGAATCTCAAACATTCATTTTTCAATTCAACGGTAGTTCTCTAGTTTCTGCCGTATATTTTCCCATCAGACGCCGGTGCTCCCTGCTCCGTGGCGCCGCAACGGGCTACTTGTCACGTGCTCCCGCCTCACGTTTGCCACCTCATGGGCTGGGCTTCCTCCCGCAACCAAGCCCAGAAACTCACCAACGCCGTGGCAAACGCTCAATCTCAGCCGTCCATCACGAGCATATCGCCCGTGAATACCACCACCACCAGCAAACCAGGCGGCTCGATCTCCCTATCCCCTGATTCCCCTCCAGCCTCTGCGTCCCCATTCACCTCTCCTCCTCCTCTTCTTCTACCTCGCGCTCGCTCGCTTCCCTCGTAAACCATCCGCGCGCGTGGTCCTTCCATGGCGGCCGGGGCTCTCCTCCTCGCCAACCCCGCCGCGCCCACGGCGAGGCACCAGCACCGGTTGCTGCAGCAGCGGAGGCAGCCGCGGCTCCTCGCCTCCTCTCGGCCTCCCCGGTGGCGGCTCTCCGCCGTGCAGGAGACCAAGGAGGGGGAGGCCCAGACGGCCGAGGAGATCACCGAGAAGTACGGCCTCGAGTTCGGCCTCTGGAAAGTAAGCACGCGGCGCAGGCAGCTATATTTGTCGAGTTGGAGAGCAAATCGATCGTGAGCGCAATCGAATTTGCCGCAGGTGTTCAGCTCCAAGGAAGGGGAGGAGGAGGAGGGGAAGACGAGGAAGTCGAGGACGGAGCAGGCGAAGGAGCTCCTGGCCAAGTACGGCGGCGCGTACCTGGCGACCTCGATCACGCTCTCGCTCATCTCCTTCACGCTCTGCTACCTCCTCGTCAGCGCCGGCGTCGACGTGCAGGACCTCCTCGGCAAGGTGAGCTGTCTTCCTGCTCTGCTCGCACGGGCTGCGGCGGCTCACCGGCCGGCGGCGGTGGCTCACGTGGCTCCCCTGCTTTTTGCCGCAGGTTGGGATCGCGACGGGGGAGACGGGAGGGAAGGTGGGGACGTTCGCGCTGGCCTACGCGGCGCACAAGGCGGCGTCGCCGATCAGGTTCCCGCCGACGGTGGCGCTGACGCCGGTGGTGGCCAGCTGGATTGGGAGGATCAAGAAGGGGGGCGACTGATCCATCAAGTATACTTTGATCTTTGAATGCGTGAATTCGTTTTGATCTTGGCTCGTTCGTACTGAATCATGACAAGTATATATACTAGTGGTATGTGAATCATGTATGTAAGCTTAGATGTTCAAGTAGAGGGCTACCCAGTAAATCTGCTGCTACTTTTGTACAAACACATGCTAAAACAGTATAATGATCTAGTGTATCCCGAATTAAACTACTACTAGCAGAAATGGGTGTTGTGCAGATTCAAACACTCATTAAGTTATTAATCATAGGTACACAGCCAGAACATTCAGAAGCCTTTTTTTAAAACATTTTCTGCATGAAACTTGCATAGAACAATGGTTGCTCATATGCTGTACACCCTAGTCGAACTATTTACAGACTGACCCTACCAAGTAGCTTAAGCTGGGAGAAAGAACCTGAGTGAGCTATAAAAATAACACAACGAAGCAACGCCTCTATGTACAATCATATCGATCACCATTGGAACAGGAGGGTAATCAAATCATAAGTGGAGTGATAAGCAAATATGTTTTCAGATCCATACCGCCAATCCAGAAAAAAATGGCTATCTGACTATCTCAGTATGTACATCTTCACGCTGCGCCTGCACTTCCTGTTCTCTGGGAAAGGATGCAGACTCCCATGGAAACCACCGGAGGAATTAAGTCATACCGAATAACCTCAATCGACACCAGTAGATCTGGTCTAGCAGTAAACCTTACTGGTTATCCATGGTTGAAGCCCACGCCTGTAGGTTCACTGGCTGCAGCAGACGGCTGGTTGAGTGCACATGGGGTGTCACTTATTTCTTCAGCTAAGAAGTCGTTGGTGTCAATCTGATCCCACTGCATTTCTGCTGGTTATCATGTTAAAGTACTTCAAAGTTCAATGCACAGTGCAACTTGTAAGCTCTTATAGTATATGAGAAAAAAAAAACCCAATGACTATATTTCATCAAGGATACATGCTGTTGTCCACATATGAGTAATGCTGATATCATCATCGGTGAGAAGCCAGTAATCAGCATCAGTCTGCAAAGGTGTAGAAGGATATCATGGGTTAGAGTCTACCACATAAGTAATTTGTCTATTATTGAGTGCTATAGCAGTGTAAGATAACTGAACTATAAGAATGAGCTTGTAATTTTTTGTTATTGGTTCCAGAAATTTAGCTGTTTATTATTTTAAACAAGAATTATGTCAAGCACATGATCAGCAATTTAAGATATTTTTGCACTTCTGCTATACTAAATCGTCCATATGTGAAGTTCTGTAACATTGAGCTTTCAACTAAAGCTGCTGACTAAAAATCAAGATACTAGGGGAGTTCAAAATTATGCAGCTAGTGCAGCATCAAAATTTTCAAATGTGTGAATTGGGATGCTGTTTTTAGCTCAATGACATGATCATGAGTTCTGCCACCCTGCACAGGAATTTATTTTTATAAAACGCAAAATCCATATAATTCTAATTTAAATTGCATAAAAATGTTTTAGAACATAACTTACATCAACATCTGAAGGAGTAATCTTCTTCATCCTTCCAAAAGCACGTGAAGCATTAAGCTCCGGAGTTTCCTGGATATCCTGCTGAACATTCAACGGCATGGTCTGCTTGCTGCTATGTCCAGCTTCTGTTGCTATGGAGGGAGGCTCTACAACACTTGCATGCCTTGGAGGTGTTGCAGTTTCACCTAGCTCCTCCATTTTCTTATATTGACTGATAATATAGTAAGGGTGTTCATCAGATAATTTCTTTTGAGGCAAAAGCTTCAAGAGAAGAATGAAGTGTTACCTAACCAAGTAAATATCTATTGGGCCCATTGTACTCCTTAATAATATTCTATATCTCCGTTGGAGATAATCACCAGCCTGCTTATGGAAAGAAAAAAAATGAAATAATTAATACTCCCTCCATTTCATATTATAAGTCACTTTGAGTTTATCCTAACTTACGCAAACTTGAAAATGTTTGACTTAGGACAAACCCAAAGTGACTTACAATATGAAATGGAGGGAGTAGCAGTTGATCATCAAGTATTGTTTATATGGAGAAGTCATTTAGTGTTTATTACCTCGTCAGGATCTGGAACTTCAACTGTAGTACCACGAGGTCCTTTTATTGCGATTAATGCTTCATTCTGCAGAATGAGAAAAGCCAAATAAGTTACATCAAAATTTTAATTCAGCACAGCCCCCATAATTTTATGTTAAACAAAATTAGATCAATAACATATTGCCTTCCTTAATAACATAGACAAACCTGAAAGCAGGGCAGTCCCTTGATGTCATCTTCAGTAACAAATAGCCACCTAAAAACAGGAACAAAAAATATAGCTCAGTACATGATTGCACAGTATAAGCATATTACAATTTGCAACAGGTAAATTGTCACGAGTTTAACTTTCCACCAGGCTTTGCCAATACTTCCATTTTGCACCGGTTCTAGAGAAGATATGTTGCAGAAAACACCAGCTTTGACGCTGCAGTCTTGACGAATGGTGGAAATTTGTGCATGATAAGTCTATGATGTCAGATGGTTGACTGGTGGTTGATCTAGATCAAGTAGAAGCAAGCAGGGAGGATGATGGTTGTAAGGTGTAATGGGATATGGTGAAAGGATTCACAAAACCCAGTGCAAAGTGAAACTTGGGTCAATTCACTCGGTGCAAAGTGAAAATTATTAAAAAAAAATGGCATGCTAGCATGCCCAACAAACAGGAACATCACTACCTATGGTTGCTTTCGTCTTCAGTTAACTCCTCCATCTTTTCCCGTATTTCACTGCAACAAATAATCAGGAACATAAGAAATTACTGTCGATAATTTTCAGATTTTGGAACCTCCAAAAGCTACCAACCTTATACTTCTATCTAAAGCTTGCTCCTGGATGTAAAGGTTTTCAACTTCGGTCTGCAAGAACACTGAAGGCAGCTTAGACTCAGAACTTCTTTTACAAACATTCAGATAAATTTGCCATGAGTATATAGATTTTAACATGATTGCGTAAATGAGAAAAGTAGACCGGCAGGTACCTTGAGACATGAAATATCACTATCAAGGTTAGTTCCTGAGTCATCCGAACCCCTGTGATGCCATGAGGTTAGCATCTCACACCATAAATACAAGCATACAAGGGAAACAGAAGATAAAGATTACCTCCAACGGATTCTGTTCTTAAGCTTCTTTTCTATCAAACCTGTTCCTTCCAGTACATTTGTTATGTCATATATGCGCCGTTTCCGAACCTGTTTTTGTTGGAAACCATATATAAACCTGTAGCAAAACTAACGAAAAGAAATGACTGTTAAAATGAGAGAGAGGGGGGGGGTTTACCCATACATCTAATATCTTTGCAGCATCATTCAAATCTAGAATGCCATCTTGAGTCTGCTTGAGCAAATTAATGAATTTTCTGGTCAATAGTCCTGAACAAACATCACATGAATAGCTGTCAGTTAAAAAGAGAGTAAACTGTATCAAATGAGATGATGTGACTACATTTATAAAGCACCAAAAATTCATAATGGTACATTTAACATTTAGATTTCCACAATTGAAAGTTCTAGGTGAGGGACTGCTATGATCACCTAATGAATTGTCATAGCGAGAACTGGCAGGAGTGGATGGATTTCCAGGTGAACCTGCAGATACAAATGTGTGTGCATTGCATTAGTCACAGGAAACAAGTATAAAGAAAACAGAACAAAGCTGTGATAAACAAATACTGTTAACTTAATTAATGTCACTGATGAGGAAGTTTCTACTTGCCAGCATTGGATATAGGCGTCTGAGGTCCAGCTTTATTGAATTTAGCCATTGATTTGGTTGTCCTAGAAGTTTTTCCAGAAACTGGGGTCATAAGTGGGCTGCCAACTCCTTCAGTAAACCCAGGGCTAGTCATCATACGTTCACTTGACTCAGCAGCCTCACTTTCTCCACATGGAGTTTTTCTTTTCAGCTATGCACATAAAGGGGGATCATGCATTCGTAAAATGGGCAATAGTATTATGTAGTGGTCAACTCAAGCGAATTGAAAACTTAACAAGTTAACACATGAATCATAATAAGCTAGATAAAAATAAATAGCAACACCTACATTACAATCTCATGATCCAAGAAAACACTTGCAAGGGTACAAGCAATGGCAGGCATAGGTGTATAACTGCTTTGGTGAAATGATTGGTGGTCATTGAATTTGGAAGATAACTATCAGCAATATCCATTTCATAATCCTGTGAAATGATATGTGTTTCTGCACCAGCACACCTGTTTGCCGCTACAACCGCCTTGTGCATTTCCACATGGAGGAGAGTATTTCCCCAATGTGATCCATGAGGACCCCCAATAACTAACATACTCTCAATCACGAGTAAATAAAACTGCTTCCTAGCAAATGCACTGAAGATGACTAGATGAACACAACTTCTAGCAGAATACGCATTTCAGACGTCATTCAGATACATTGTCCTCCAATTTAGAATCATGACAGAAGCATCTTTCCGAATTGCTGACATTATCTTCCAAGCTGCTAGCGACTAAGGTAAAACAGCAGTGGACACATCTACATGTCCTAGAAAGTACCAAATCCTATTATAGTACCATCATACTATCCAAGCCGACGGAATGCAATTTTCAAGTTTCAAGTGGGTGGCTTGGATAAGTGAAGAGCTATTACCCAGTAACCCAAAACAAAAATATACCAGAAGACAGACATTTCACAAAGCCTTCCACTTTGGCGTCAATACCACATGACTGAATAGATAGATTCATAGACAGTAGTAATTCTAATCTTCCCCCAAAGTATTTGGCGACTGTAACAAGCCGCCCACGAATTCACCCAAATCCACATGTTAATCTACACCAACACCCCCAAATAAAATAACTGGAAATGCCGTTTAATTGAACCGCCATGTCACCTTGTACCGCCAAATAGCTGCCGCACAAAACCTCAGAAACCCGCACAGAAACCATCCCCGAGAAGGAAAAAAAACAAAAACTAGCCAATCAATTGGTGCACACAGTAAAAAAACCTCTTCGGTAATAAGCTCAAAAACGGCAACTCACGGGTGTCCTCCTGATGACAATCCCCTCCTCGATCTCGCCGCCCCGGGACGCCGCCGCGAAGCGGTGGTAATCGCCGGGGGCCGCCGCGAAGGGCGCCCGCGCCAGCGGCGGCGGCAGCGGCACGAACCGCTGCCGCACCGACCGCACGATGTGCTGCGCCGCCGGCGGACGGCCTCCTCCCGACGACATGCCTCCGATCCGCGAGAAGCGCCCAATCGGGCGGGCGCGCCGCGATCACCACCCCCGGACGCGTCCGACGGAGCTAGGGTCCCGGCAAGGCGGGCGGCGACGAGGCGGGGAGGTGGGGGGAGTGGGGCGGCGGGGTTAAGGCGAAAAGCGCGAGGTTGTGCGAGCGAGAATGCGAGGAGGAAACGAGGGTGGGGGGAAGGGAGGGAAATTTTTAGCCGCGTTCGCGAGTCGAGTCGCGGACGTGTAGGGGGGAAGATGTGGATGGATGTGGATGTGGACTGGAAGACCGGAACTGGAAGGGAAGGCAGCGGGGAGGGGCGCGGGTTTGAGACACGGCTTCTTCATGGAGGGGCTGCGTGCAAAATATCGCGGGCGTGGTAGTTGGTGTTATCCTACGCCCGCGGCTTTGTTGTTGGCGGTCTAGGCTGCGTTAGGAGGAAATTTCACCATCCCCCATGTAAAATAAAACGATTCCGTATAAACATACACACGCACATCTAAGTGCTGTTTTGGGAGCTTAAACATGTACTCCATCTGTTTCACTAAGTCATTCTAGTATTCCCATAAAAAAATTCATTAACATCAATATAAATATGAAAAATACTAAAATGACTTGCATTATGAAACGGAGGAAATATTTGGTTCTAGAATTAGATGTATTTGGTTCTAAAACTAGATGGGATGGGATGATTTTTCACACGTATGTTTGGTTCATAGGATAGGATCATTCTTTGTTTGGTTGAAAAGATGAGGGAGTGATGGGATGGACGCTATTTGTGGCTACCGTCAACCCACGTCCGATCCCAATAGGCGCGGCCTAGCAACTCGGCGAGCGAGCAAGCGGAGTAGGGACGGCGCGGCCGACGACTCGACAAGCGAACGAGCGAGCAGGCAGAAGGAGGAGCAGCGGCGACCAACAGGCGGACAGACGAGCGAGAAGGCGGCGGAGGCGAGGCGGCAGCCGCTTCTCGCGGAGCAGAGGTGGTGGCGGATCGCGGAGGACGCCAGCCGCTCGTGGAGGAGAGGCGGTGGGTCGCAGAGGGGTGGTCGCCGCACGTGGAGGAGACCGATGAGGCACAGCTGCGGCCGCTGCTCGCGAAGGAGATGGAGAAGCCGAGGCTGCGGTCGCCGCTCACGGAGGAGAGGCAGCTGCTGCTCACAGAGGAGAGGCGACGGAGGCGAGGTTGCGGCTGTCGCTCGCAGAGGAGAGGCGGTAGCCGCTCGCGTAGGAGACGGAGGAGCGGCAACGGGTCGTGGAGGTGGCGGCGTCTGGTCATGGCGGAGTGCCGGCGGTCGCGGAGGTGGCAGCAGGTGTGAACAACGATGGCGGATGCAGAGGCAAGTTGACGCCGTGTGCTACATCCAAGTGGGATGAGTTCGTCCGGCCGATTTTGCCGGATGGCTTGGTCCCAAATTTGAGAGGAATATTCATCTATATGGATCAACCCAACCCACTCGAACCTCAACCAAACACTCCTAAAAAGTGGGTTCATCACATCCCGTCCTTGCAACCAAACACCATCGATTATAAGAAGCGGCTGGTATGTAGTCAGCTTTTGAGAATCTGAAAAAGTCAGGCTTCCCAGCTTCTGGCCTCTAGTTTATTTTGGATTCTACAACTACATCTTCTCAGAATTTGTACCAAAAGTTGTATTGTTTAGGGGGCTTCTGATTTTGGGAGAAACTGCAACAGCTAGAAGCTTCCCCAAATAGGTCCTTAGTATCTTTGGAAAAATTGGCCAGGTATATTTTGAGATTAGTGAAGTCATTAGAAAACTAGACCGACATATCTTGAAATTGATGAAGTCATCACAAGCATCTCGCTATCGACGGATACGTATATACCTATCATATAAGCACTCGTATAAAATCTATAATTTGAACCCGTGTGAATTATTTCAACCACAAGAAACCTAACTAATTGAGCTACGTTCACTTCGCCACAAAAATAATTATTTTGTGTATATATTAGTGTCACAGCAAATTATTGTACAATTTCAATAATTATAAAAAAGGTGACTGCAAATATCAAATTTATGTGCAATTCTGCATAATAGTGCAAACAAAAGATGATCTCTATAGGTTCATCATTTTATCATGCATGATGCCGATCACGCATCCACAGTTCCACACTACACACCACTGTTCACTAAGCTGTAAGTGGGTTCCAACGTCTCGTAGATGGCACCTTGAATTCCTAAATTAGATTCATCCAGGATTGATTTCTGTTTAGACTTGTAGTATTAGGCCATTTCCAACCCAATGACTAGGATGATGTCCATAGCATTAAATAAGCTGTCACATAGGATGAAAAATGATGTGGTAAGTAAATAAATGAGGAAAGAGAAGGAAACTATGTCTTGCATGAGACATGGTTTTTACACAAACATCCAAGACATTATGTGAGATAAGTAGCATTAAATTTAAGTATGAAATAGTGGTGTTTGCATTGGAAGAGTAGTGTCTAGTACTAATTTCTTAATGATGTGGAGTTTATGAAAACTACGTCTAGTATTTTGGGTTGAGAATAGCCTTAATATATATCATATACCGTTGTAGATTTGTTTTTTTACGTGACAATGAGTACCGGACAGACATGCGACAATTAGTTGATACAATCGATCTGGTCAAACAACAGAATCGAGCATCCCGTAGAGTCCCCAACAGAGGTTGGGGGGGGGGGGGGGGTTTAAACACCGCCTCCGGTTTATAGGACACCAGTGCGCCACCGCCCGTAGGTGACGTGCATAGGACGCTCCGACCGCTGCCTCCAATTAAACTTGTTTCACCGACTCATCGCTGCCCCCGCTAGGTTCAGCATTCAGAGAACACCCATCTTCGTCTTCGTCGAGGGCACCTAGGAGTCTAGGACCAGGCGAAGCAAAGATATCGATGGCGCCGCCACCGGCGTTAGAGAGAGCAATCCGGATTCCGGCCGACGGCGAGCGTCAAGTCCTGCCCGAACCAATTCACCGACTCCATCGGCCGTACATGCAAGGAGGACTTGAATGGGCCGCATTTACGCCGCAGCACAGCTCCGGCTGACATCAATCAAATGAGGAATAAGTTCACTATCGTCCCTCAACTTTACATTGAGTGTGTATGATGTCTCTAATCTCCAATACCAGAAATGTCTAACCCCTCATCTGTTCAAAATCATACTAAGTAAGTCTCTCGACAGTATGGATGTCTGGTTTTGTTGACGCGGCATCCTAGTCAGAAAAAAAGTTTAAAAATAAGTGGGGGCCACATGTCAGCCCTATCATCCTTATTCTCTTTTTTTTCTAGCCTGGGAGAGAGGGGAAGGCAGCCCGACGCCGGTGGGGGAAGAGGCGGCCGGCGTGGGAATGGGAGGGGGCGGCGGGAGCGGCCGACGGGAGAGGGGGGAGAGGCGGCCGGCCTCGTCAGTGGGAGCAGCCACCGTCCCACCGGCCATGGCCATCACCGGCGGCGGGAGGGTTGCTGCTCGGCTTGCGGTGCTCGTTAGAGGAGTCGGCAAGATATGCGGTAGTATTGAGTCAAGGCGACACCGCAATGACAAGCGCCCGCCGCGATAGGGAGATGCTACCGTTGGTCGCGCACGCCGTCTCGGTCAATCAGTCCTTGTAGGTGGGGCGCCGTGGCGGCTTTTGGTCGCCTATTTCACTTTCTTTTGCCTCTCCCCCCTCTCCCCCCAGTCATGTTGGCCACCTCTTCTCCCGCCGGCGTTGGGCTACCTCCCCCTATCTCCTAGGTTGGGGAAAAAAAGAGAAGAAGGATGATGGGGCTGACATGTAGGCCTAACGTATTTCTTTTAATTTTTGTTGCTAAATAGGATGCCACGTCAACTAAATCAGGCATTCGTACTGTCGAGGGATTTACTTTGCATGGTATTGAACAGTTGAGGGGTTAACATATCTAGTATTGGGGATTGGGGATGTAGCCTCGATGTAAAGTTGAGGGATGACAAGTGAACTTATTCCTATCATTTATCCTCACGTCCTATAAAATGCAACCTAGGTTGAGCTTCTGTTGGGGCCAAGAAGTAGTAGGATCCAAACCTCTCGAATCCATGGATCGTCAAAGCATCAGAATCCCCAACAAAAAAAAGCCGAGCTGGACCGAACCACCCAATCCACGTGGCACTGGCTGTGGCCACTGAGAGGGCGGCACGTCACCCGTTTAAACATCTTCCTCCATTTCGCAAACGTTACCAGATCCTCTGACGTAGAATGGTTCTACGTCAGAGGAAAGTCTGAGACTAGATTCCCGTTCGTCTTGCATCCTAAGGCAGCATCTGTTCCAGCCTTCGTTGTTTGATCTGGAGGTGATGTCTAACCCGCTCCATTCGGCCCATTAGTATACCAAGGAGAAAAACAACACCGCAATAGCTAATCGACTCTGTCGTCGGCGATGCGAGAATGAACAAAAAGAGCAGAGGTCAGAAAAAAGCATGAGGAACTGCAGTGGAGGAGGGGACGGAATCAATAACGTTCAGATGGATATCCAACCTACGCTACGGTTCCACCCGCTCCCGCCATCCCGCGCCTGGGGAGATGACGAGAGCGGCGTGCGGTCAGGTCGATGGCCATGGCCGACGAGCGACAGCGTTTCTCTTCCACCTTCACTCGAGTAGCTAGTTCCCAACTCCCTCCACCCTGATTTCCACACGCACGCTTCCTAAACTGTTAAACGGTGTGTTTTTTTCACAAGGTTTATATACAAAAGCTACTTAAATTAGTAAATATTAAATTAATCATAAGAAAATGTTTCACTCTATTTTTCGTGCGGAGGGAACATAATGCCTCGCTCTATTTTCCGTGCGGAGAAAATATGTTCCGTACTCAAGAGAACAAACGCAGTCTTCTGCAAATGGGCTGAAAGGAGCAGTCTGGACCTCGTCTCTAGGCCGAACGACGAGGGCTGAAACAGATTGCGGCACCAAATCAGCGCCCGCCCGCGCCCACCCCACCGGATCCCCCCCCCCCCCCCCCCCCAAGGCCCAAACCCCCGCCCGCCTCGACCTCGACAAGCCACGGCCATGGCGTGCGCCTTCTCCGTCTCCTCTGCCGCGGCGCCTCTCGCCTCCCCGAAGGTGCCCGTCTCCGCGCCGTCGCAGCCGTCCCTGCCGTTCCCCCGCTCCCTTCTCCGCCGGGAAGTCCCTGCGCCTCTCCGCCGCCGCCGCCTCGAGATCGGCTAGGGCCCGCAGCTTCGTCGCCCGGGCCGGAGGCGAGGTTCGGCGCGATTTGATGTTTGATTTTTTTGGGGTGGTATTGGTGCCTCTGTGAGAGTTGGGATTGACGCGCGGCCGCGTGTGTGCGTGCGCAGGGGGACCTGCCGTTGGTCGGGAACAAGGCGCCGGACTTCGAGGCGGAGGCCATGTTCGACCAGGGGTTCATCAAGGTATGGCGGTAATCCGGTAACCACATGCACAGCTACATTGCGCCACGCACGCACGCGCGGCAGTGTTATTCGACATAGGGGATTAATTGGCCCAGGAAAAAATGGGGCCTATTTGATTGGCAGTGTAATTCACCGTGAGATTTGATAATTTAACACTCTTTTCAATGGGTTTCGATAAATTGACATCCTAGCCCACTTTCATTCACTCATATGGTCCCACATGTCATCCTCACAAATGTCAATTAAAGTAATTGGGCAACGAAAAAAGTGTGAAATTATCAAATTTTTTTTACATTCATCATAGGGGATTAATTGGCTTGGGCCAGGCCAAAAGAAAAAAAAAGTGGTCTATTCGATTGGTAGTCTAGATTAGATGTTAAGTCCATATCCACGGCTGTTTAATGTAGAAGCTGTATGGTTGATCGTGCTTCCAATTGATATCTTCGTTGGTCGTGTCCTTCACTCCTTCTGTATATGCAGGTCAGGTCAAGCTGTCTGAGTATATTGGGGAAAAAATATGTGGTTCTGTTCTTCTACCCCCTGGACTTCACGTTCGTCTGTCCAACAGATGCGTTGACCTTGTCGTGCTCTGTCATGGAAATGCCTTTTTTTTCAGTTTTTTTTCATTCCTAAAGTCTAAATGCATGTTTGTAAGCTCTGCAGAGATCACTGCTTTCAGCGACAGATATGAGGAGTTTGAGAAGATAAATACTGAAGTTCTCGGTGTTTCGATTGACAGTGTGGTATGCTAACTTTTACCCGCATGACTTTAGATGTTGTTACGGTGTCGTTACCTGGTCTGTTGCTCTATTGAGAATTTCGTATTTCCATTCCATCTGGACATGTAGCTTTTCTCTTGACAATATTTGTGGTTTCTTGAATGCCTTAAGGTTGTGATCAATATTTTAGCTTTCCTCTTTATGTGATCAATATTCTATTTGTTCTTAACGTCTGAATATAGAGCATTAGATGAACCCTTGCATTAGGCCATAAGTTTTAACATAAGATTGCCACGTGTTGAACTTTCATTCTGTATTATAATGAAATGTGTGGTGTTTGTTATGCCTTATGGAAATATTGAATGGAAGTAAAAACCGATGCTCTCTAATATTTAGACAATAGCGTTATAAACATTCAATTCAGTTATTTTGAAACAACTTTGAGAAATGAGACTGATGTAACGTCTTAATACTCTGGTTTGCTTCTGCCAAGGAGATTCATTGCATACTCAAATAATTATCACAAATTATATCCAGTAAAAGTATTGATTTTGCTACTATTACAGTGAGTAGTTTGTAGGCAGTAGTGGTACTGTAATTTATTTTTTACTATCCTCTCTTTCTGCTTCTGCATTAAGCATTTCATTTTTTTTATCTTATAGGTATCATTCACTGTTACTCTGTCGACTATAAATATTTAATAAGTGGCCACAACCTATGCTTCATAAGTGTCGCATACTAATTTGGCTTTGAAATATCTTTTGTTTGCAGTTTTCCCATCTTGCATGGATTCAGACAGATAGGAAATCCGGTGGTCTTGGTGATCTAAATACCAACTGATTTCCGATGTCACCAAATCAACTAGCATAGTGGCCCGCGCAGATTGCGCGGCTAGCATCATTATATTTTTTTCTCTTATAATAGCATATATGTTTTCTCAATGTATTATTAAAATATATTAAAATAACAACATAATTTTGTGTGTGTTCATGAGAGCGAACTTCCAATATTCCTTTGAATTTTAGTTATTTGTAAATTGTATTTCTATATGTACTCTAAATTCTACTTTAATTTTATTAGTTTTATTCTGAATTTTAAATTCTTATATGGATTCTATACTCTTCTTCTAATATTCCTTATTTTAATTCCTAATTTATATTATTTGTAAATTTTATTTCTATATATGGATTCTAAACTTATCTTTCAATATTTTTTAATTCTTAATTTTAATTATTTTTAAATTATATTTCTATATGGACTCTATATTCTTCATCCAATATATTTTTTTAATTTCGAATTTTTTATTTCTAAATTGTATTTCTAGATGGACTCTAACCTCTATATTTAATTTTTCTTATTTTTTAATTCCGAATTTTCATTAGTTCTATTGCCCCTAATTTCTATTATTTCTAAATTGTATTTCTATATATGGATTCTAAACTTATCTTTCAATATTTTTTAATTCTGAATTTTAATTATTTTTAAATTATATTTCTATATGGACTCTATATTCTTCATCCAATATATATTTTTTTATTTCGAATTTTTTTATTTCTAAATTGTATTTCTAGATGGACTCTAACCTCTATATTTAATTTTTCTTATTTTTTAATTCCGAATTTCCATTAGTTCTATTGTATACCGACATGGACTCTAGTCTTACCTTCCTATATTCCTTATTTTTAATTCCGAATTTCAGCTATTATTAAAATTGTATTTCTATATGGACTCTGTTTTTTCTTTTTCTTAGATTAATGTGAGAATTTCTAGACCATGAGAGCGAACGTGGAGGCTTCTTTTTCTATTCCTTTAATAATATAATAGATTTCAAAGTCTTTTGGTGTACTAATCCCTGATCAGGTATACTTCAGTTATGACTGCCTGTTGGCTATATATACAATATATGTCTTTCTTCTGGATATTTACTTGTTTGTATTCAAAGTCTTTTGTCATGTATTCCTTGTTCTTAATCTCATAAGAGCTCATACTTTCTGCTGTCAGGGGATTGCTCTGAGAGGATTATTCATCATTGACAAGGAGGGTGTGATTCAGCATTCTACCATTAACAACCTTGCTATTGGCCGTAGCGTGGATGAGACGCTTAGGACCCTTCAGGTAGAATAGCAAGATAATAAAATTGCATCTGCAAACATGCATTTCTTTTCAATATACATGGCATCTTGGCAGTTTTTTCGTCTTGAATTTACCATAGTCTAGTGTCTATAACATCAAAAATTGCTCAACTAGTTATAACTGTGAGTGACAAAGTCAGATAGGAAAATTTTTTGCAAATATGCAAGTTCGTAATTTGTTTTCCTATGGTGACAGGCCCTACAGTATGTCCAAGAAAACCCGGATGAGGTTTGCCCAGCTGGATGGAAACCTGGGGAGAAGTCAATGAAGCCTGACCCCAAGGACAGCAAGGAGTACTTTGCTTCTATTTAGACATTTTATTTACATTCATGGTCAAGTTTTGCCATAGCCTTTGTTGGGTCACACATTGCTCTTATGATCGAAATTGCAGTTATGTGGACACATTGACTTTCTGCAAATAAAGTTTTGTTGTGTTTCATTTTGGATTTGTTCTGCTCCCATTTAAAAAGGAAAATTCAACCATTGAAAAATAATCTTATTTGATTCTAGTCACCTTTTTTAAGAAATGCTAGTTAAGGTTTTATGCAAGAAGTTACTTGAAGCTGTGTAATGTTTAATAAAATGTTATTGGCTCTTTTGTACCTGGAAGCGTTTCAATCTAAATGGCAAGCACATTGCTTATAAAGTGGAACAAGAAGTCCTCCATTTTGCGCTCTTGAGGACGGCCCAGTATGCCAGCCTAGGAAGGCATGAACACCCTGGCCCATATGTGTCTTAACTCTTACTGTAAGTATCACCTACTTTTTTTTCCCTTCCCACTGTTATTGTATCTTTTGCATGTTGAATACATATGTCTGATCTATGTTCTAACTTTTCAAAATAAACTTTTGCTCATGCGCAATTGCTTCTTTTTAGCAGGAAGTCATGAGAAAACAAAGTTAGGTAAATTAACAAAATGGAACCCCAGCACAGAGTGGACAGCACAGGGCTGGAAGCAATCATCTTCACCGGATTTCTGCCGCTCCAAACCATCTGAATATGGTTTAAGAGTACTCCTTTCCCCTAACTTTATGAATGACTTCTTTTTTTTTCTTAATAATAAACATGATATTCCTCCTGTTCTTATCTCAATAAGCTGATCAATGGCACTGTGGCACATATTTAATCTCATATAAAAAGAATAAATCAAGATAATAGTAGCACTAGTACTGCATATCCTAAGCCACGCTTATAATTACACTGGCAGAACCACAAGCACTTTTTCTTCACCTTGGAGGCCCCTGGAGTGGTAGTGTAGTGCTCCTGCCGCAGCTTCTGTGCTGCACCCATTACCAGTGCGCCAGGGATATTAAAATTGGGAAGCTTTTCTGCAGATAATGCCACTCATGCACTTTTTAGCATCCCCTCTTGCTCCACTTTAAAAAGCTGCTTGCAGCAACACAATGCTTAGGGTTAGTTTAATTCCTGGGCATACCACAACTCCTTTGCCATGTACAGATCTAATACAGCAGCCTAACTGCCTTATGTAACTAGAGAAAGAAAAAGAAAAGGAAAGAAAGGATCAAAAGAAGAGTATGCAGTGATTACGGTTTCTTTTCTGCTTTCCTCTTTGTGTTTTCTTTTGCGGTATTTTGCTCCTCTCTGTTCCGGGGTCGATCCTCAAACTGTGTATATACTTTCCTCCTTGAAGCGCTCCTTTTGGGGCAATGGCTTTGTGATGATTAGGGCTTGGCCTTTTCCTCCCCTTTTGGGCCATATGTGACCAAAGCTTTATTTGACTGACCACTTACCACTGCCTCGGATTAGTTTGAACAGACCATGCTTTGCATATGTAGCGTGTAACACATTGATACCAGAATCCTATAAAGAAGGTGAAAGTTTATCTGTGCAGAAACTATATAAGAGTTTCGAAGTAGTCAGTAATCACTACTAGTCGCTATATATTGGTTTTGTGAAAACTCAACGACATCAATGCGAGGCCCAGTTCTGATTGTTGTGAAGAGGCACATACACCATTGCACTTCACTAGCTCGTACAAGATGATTGAGAAATGAATGGGGATCTGTTGGGAAGGCTTGAGGGGGAAGTCATTTTTGATACTTTGTTTTTGCTGGCTGTTTAATCGACCCCTTTTCCCTGTTCGTATCCCCATAAAGAACTATGTTCTTGCACGACTTTTGATGCAAATGCACGCAGTAATGACCGGTCAATGATGCTGTAAACGTGCTTTTAACTACATACTTTGGCTTTTGCCTGACAGTTAATTCTGCTTGTAGTAACACTGCAGTACAACAGAATATTTGAGCGGCGCTTATATATGTCAATAATCATGCAATTAATAATGATGCAAATATATTCATGTTGATCTTGATCAGTGCTATCTTTGCCATATATTAGTAGTAAACATTTGTTCTGTTCACTCGTAGATTCGGCACATTGGCACTGAACCTTCAGCAGTTGCCTAAACTTAATTAGTGAATGTTTCAATTTTTGTGTCTAGTAATGTAGTCTGCTTTTTAGGGAACAAGAATGCTGAAAAGCCCCGGCTTTGCTGAACAGCATGTGGCTGTTTTATGCATTACTGCTCCTAGTAATTGTGAGCGATTCTAATCTTTCCATGCATACACACATACAGTCTACAGAGAGCATATGGGCAATAAGGGGACGCTTTATTCCATATACTTTGAGTCTAGAGAGAAAGAGGCCGTACACAGTTCCCGATTCTTTTAGGGCACAAAGATCTCTCTCTCTCAGAAAAGAAAACCAATTTAAATGGGCCCTCTTAAAAGATGAGAGGTCACTGCAGGCCACATCAGATCGTATCGATCACATAAAGCATCATATGTTGTATCGTCATCATTGCAACATCAGCCCCATTTCCCTGTTAGTAATGTGATCAATCGTATCAGTATACGACGAGCAGTGAACAGGTATAAAAGTATGTATGTACTTCCTTCATGATGAATATATTGATTGCCCTCTCTTAAAACAAAGGCTATGCGGACGTACTATACCTGTGCTACATTATATGCATCTTTTCAATTTGATGTATTTTCAGCTAGTGGCTGTTTAGTTAGATGCATGGGTCCTAGACAGACGTGCTTCTATATATGTACATGTGTGATAGAACAAAACTGTACATATGTACTCAATTCATTATGTTGCTTGGGGTAAATTTAGTTCTCATCTAGATACCTACGCCAATAATTCGGTTTACCAACAATTATCCCATACCATTGTTTCTTTCATTCTCATCATTTTCTCATGAATTTCTTGTGCATGTATCCTTATCATTTTATCATGAATACCACTTGTCACATATGTCCAATCGGGGAATAATGAAGTTGTGGTATGAAGTATAAATTTAGATATTATACTGATGGGTAAGGGAAGAGAATACACTGAGATAGGTAACCTGTCCCACCTGAACAATGTATGAGAAAAGGAGAAATAACCTGCAAAAGATAAGTGGCAAAAGCTGTTACTTGTAGTTTTGCTATGGATCGTTCCTTTCGTTTTGTTTTATTTTTGCACTAATAGGTTTGGTGGGAGATGTATTGGTGTTTACATATGGTGACATGCATGGAGCCATGGAGAGGTAGGGAAGGCATAAATTCTATCAGGTAAGAGTTGCAGCAAAGGTTTGTCTCTTATTACTAAATATAGTATCCCAAAGTATATATGGATTCTTCAATTTGCCATTTTACTATCTAGTTGCATAAAGATTAGAAAGGAAGATTCCACAACTATATATTATAGTGACAACTCACCAAACATGGTTGTGAGTTAATTGTGCTGCATGTCATGATATTTTTCCCTGAGAAAATGGAGACCCTCTGAAATAATGAAAAAAATTTCAGGGGTTATGACATTATGTTTACCTTATATTCACACTTTACTGCGCTTACTTTGTTACATGGAACAATTATTCTTGAAAAATATCATTACTAAGGCACCTTGTCTGCTCCAATGACCAATGCACACTTGTCATTTCACCAAATCCTTCTAGATCAGGTTCTAAATTTTATGGTCGCCCGGCTTTGCGCACTTTGATGCAGGAACGCATAGAATTTAGCTCAGGTCATTCTTTAGAGGCAGCTGATCATATACAGAAGACTAGTCACAAAGATACTGTGCACAATCCATATGATCTCCTAGCTAGCTACCCTCTGCATGAGAATGTGAGAACGCCTTGCTTGAAACTTGAGACTTGAGAGAGATAGAGGGGAAAGCTGGGGGGCCTTTGTATCTGCTTTGTCAGCACATGCATTCTACCTAGCCAACTTTTTCTTTCCCACCACAAAATCCACTTTGGACCCTAAAAATTATAGCCCAAAGAGAAAGAAAAAACAACTATGCAGCCCTCCCTAACAAGAAAAGCACAAATCCACACACCATAATCTCCTCCTTCCTTCAACCTCTGTACCTTCTCACCCCCCCTCTAGCTACTCAAAAGATGAACATTCACCAACATATAAAGCAGCACTGCATCCTCCCACCACTTGCAGGTTGCAGCTGAAGCAGCAGTGACCTCCGTCCCCCTTCTATATCTGCACATCTCATTCCTTCTCCTTTTTCTTCTCCTCACACACTACCGTTGCCACATCAAATCGATAGATTACTAGATTAGCTAGGTTCTTGTAGTATACGTAGCTAGCTAGGTGGTGTGGTGTACGTGTGAGAGATGAGGGCCGGGGGGTGCACGGTGCAGCAGGCGCTGACGGCGGAGGCGGCCGCCGTGGTGAAGCAGGCGGTGACCCTTGCGCGGCGGAGGGGCAACGCGCAGGTGACGCCGCTGCACGTGGCGAGCGCGATGCTGGCGCCGCCGGGGGGGCTCCTCCGCGCGGCGTGCCTCCGGTCGCACTCCCACCCGCTGCAGTGCAAGGCCCTGGAGCTCTGCTTCAACGTGGCGCTCAACCGCCTCCCGGCCTCCGCCGCCGTCGCCTCGTCGCCGCTGCTCGGCGGCCACGGGCACGGCCACCACGGCCACTACTACCCGCCGTCGCTCTCCAACGCGCTCGTCGCGGCGTTCAAGCGGGCGCAGGCGCACCAGCGGCGCGGGTCCGTGGAGACCCAGCAGCAGCCGGTGCTCGCCGTGAAGATCGAGCTGGAGCAGCTCGTCGTCTCCATCCTCGACGACCCCAGCGTCAGCCGCGTCATGCGGGAGGCCGGCTTCTCCAGCACCCAGGTCAAGGCCAACGTGGAGCAGGCGTGCAGCACCACCACGGCCACCAGCGCGCCACCGAACCAAAACCCTAACCCTAGCTGCACCGGCGCCGCAGCCACCGCCACCGCCACCACCAGCCCGGCTCATCCTCCGGAGATCAAAGCCAAACTGCCACTGCTCGACATGCTGGCGCGCGACGAGGACATCGCCGCGGTGCTCGACTGCCTTGCCCCGGCAGCGGCTGGCGGCCGGGGCGGCGGCGGCAGCAGGAGGAGGGTCGTCGTCGTCGCCGAGAGCACGGCCGCCGCGGAGGCCACGGCGCGCGCCGCCGTGGACAGGGTCAGGAGAGGGGAGGCGAAGCAGCACGACGCGCTGCGTGGCGCGCAGGTGGTCAGCCTCCGCGTGTCGTCGTTCCGCGACATGCCGAGGGAGGAGGCGGAGCGGCGGCTCGCCGAGCTCCGGTGCCTCGTGAAGAGCCGCGGCGCGCGGGTGCTCCTCGTCGTCGAGGACCTCAAGTGGGCGGCCGACTTCTGGGCCGCCGCGCACGCCGGCGCCAGGAGGGTCGGCAGCGGCGGCGGCGGCGGCTACTACTGCTCTGTCGAGCACGTCGTCACCGAGGTGCGCGCCCTGGCGTCGTGCGACGGCGGCATCTGGCTCGTCGGGTTCGGGACGTACCAGACGTACATGAAGTGCAGGGCGGGGCATCCGTCGCTGGAGAGCATGTGGGGGCTCCAGACGCTCGCCGTCCCCGCCGGCAGCCTCGCGCTGAGCCTCACCTGCGCCTTCGACGACAGGTAAAAAATCATCCGATCGATCTAAAAAAAGTTTGTTAAGTTCTCGCGGCGCAGCGTGTCACGTCAGGTGAACGAATCATGCACCCGCGCCGGCCTTGCAGAAACGAAATGCCTCTGGTCTCTGTGATCTGACCCCTTCGTTACTGAGCAATCAGTAAGCATCAGTAGTTCAGTACCATGCGGGTGAAAGCTTTTGCATCTTTTGCGTGCTTTCTGGGCAAAAGCTTTAGGTCAATCTATAGCTCCTCATCAGCTTCACATTCTCTTTTTCTAATATCGCATTATTTGAACATTCACGAGAGCATGATATATCGACAATACAATTTCAGAGGTACAGCGGCTGACAAAGATGATCAGTTTAGCTGATCTTGTGGAGACATGTCGATCGGTGAGGTGACAGTGTGTGCAGGAATCTAATTTCCGTTTTGTTATTCTTTCTGCAGCGCGCTGGGCGCAGTCAATCAGTCCATGAAAGCGAGCCCTCACACCACCGATGGGAACCGCCCGGCGCCGTCTTGCGGGCCGCTTTTGGGCGGCAGCCACCTCCTCTCCAGATGCTGCGGCGGCGACTGCTCCGCCGCGACGACGACGCACGAGCACGACACCAAGGCGTCGTTGCCCCGCTCCTTCGTGTCGTCGTCGAGCCTCCCTTCTTGGCTCCAGCATTGCCGCGACCAGCAGCTGCAGGTGCCACTCGATCGAATGCTAATCTTTTTATCTTAATTAATCGGTCAATCATTGCTGATTTTTTTTTTGTCTTCTCGTGATAGGAGTCGACACATTTCGCGGATCTTGGCAAGACATGGGGATCCATCTGCGGCAAGCCGTCTCAGCGGATGACGCTGCATTTCTCGGCGCCGGTGTCGCCGGCGTCCTCCATCTCCTCCTACGAGCACGGCCACGGCCACCAGCAGCAGCAGCACCAGCCTCACCACTCGTGGCTTCTCGCCGACCTCGACGCCAAGCACCCATGGAAGCCCAAGCGCGAGGACGACGACGACGAGAAGGCCAAGTCGCACGACGACTGCTCCGGCGCCTCCAATGGCTCGGTGGAGGTGGAGTGCCGTTCCAGGTTCAAGGAGCTCAACGCCGAGAACCTGAAGCTCCTGTGCGCCGCGCTGGAGAAGGAGGTGCCGTGGCAGAAGGAGATCGTCCCGGAGGTGGCGAGCGCCGTCCTCCAGTGCAGGTCCGGGATCGCCAAGCGGCGGGACAGGTCGAGGTCGACGGAGGCGAAGGAGGAGACGTGGCTCTTCTTCCTCGGAGGCGACGGGCACGGCAAGGAGAGGGTGGCGAGGGAGCTCGCCGGCCTCGTCTTCGGGTCACGCAAGAGCTTCCTCTCCGTCAAGCTCGGCGCCTCCTCCTCCTCGCCGTCCGCGTCGGGCTCCACCGAGGATCACCACCGGAGCAAGCGGCCGCGGACGACGACGACGTCGTCGGCGAGCGAGGCCTACCTCGAGCGGCTCTACGACGCCGTCTCGGAGAACCCGCACCGCGTCATCCTCATCGAGGACGTCGAGCAGGGCGACCATCGCTGGCAGGTGGGCGTCAAGGAGGCCATCGACAGAGGGGTTCTCCGGAGCCAGGCCGGCGACGAGGTCGGCGTGGGCGACGCCATCATCATCCTGAGCTGCGAGAGCTTCGAGGCGAGGTCTAGAGCTGGCTCGCCGCTGATGAACAAGAAGATGAAGGTGGAGAAAGAGGAAGCCAACACAAGTGATCATGATCACAAATTAGAAATCGAATCAGGCGCCCCCTCTTCTTGCTTCGATTTGAACCTTGACATGGAGAGCGATCAAGCAGCAGATGAGCTCAGCTCCGGTGATGTCTGTCTGCTCACGGCGGTCGACCGGGTGCTGCTCTTCAGAAGGCAGGATGAAATGTAACACTAGTGTACATGAAGGATCCATGTTTATCAGCTAGGGTAGCTAGCTCATTGCTCGTCTAATTAGATTTTCCTTTCATTTGTTTTGATGGTTTTTTTTGTTTCTAGTATTAACTTTGGCTTTAGAGGATCATGGCATTGGTGCGGTTGGACAATGGCATATTATGAGCTTCGTTAAGATGGAGCTCTGTTATATATTTGTGGTGGTGGTGATCAAATATATTTTCATCTACACAGCGGTTTGGATAATGGGTATAACTATATTTTGAACATGTGTGCTGAATTCACTGTTTGAGGCGACAAAGGTTCTGAGAAGCATATCCAACTGAAAAGGCTTGTGAATATTCAACTAGTGAGAATTAATATGAAGACGCTAGAAGTTATATATCGAACTTGGAGCTTTCATATTTTGGATTTTGCAGCTGCTGAGTTGGGAAACTATTTTCATCCCCCGAGGGGATATCCCCTCGTTGTTTGCATATCACCCAAATAGTTATGAAAAAAATCGAAAAAATTTGAGAAGATGTATTAAATGTGATATATCACTCTACAAACATACAAGTTTAAATTCAACTATTACACCCCGCAACGAAAAAAACAAATTTGACTGTGAATATATGTTAACTAGTTGTAGTTTAATTTGTTTTTTTCGTTACGAGATGTAGAAGTTGAACTTGAACTTACATATTTGTGGAGTGATATATCACATGTTAATATATCTTCTCAATTATTTTTAAATTTTTTCATAACTATTTGGGTGACATGCAAACAACGAGGGGATATCCCCTCGAGGGATGAAAATCCACTCCCCTGCTGAGTTTCACAATCAAGTGTGAATTTGAACTCTTCGGGGCCATTGGAGATTTTGAAGTAGCTACAGCTACTAAAAGCACCTCAAGCGGTGGCTAGCTAGGGTACTGATGATTTCCTGTGAATTAATACATCAGATTGTTTACATGTGAACCTTTTTTCATAATAGAAAAATAATTTGGACCCAACATTTCATATCGTCCAATCATCTCCACAGGTTTGTGCTACCCAATAGGATCGTTGGGCCCACATGTATTGTCACAAAGGCATGCCATTTCTGCAAACTTTTTTAACCTACTTGGAGTATAACATACTCCCTCCGTCCTAAAAAAAGACAAACCCTGGTTTCCGTGTCCAACGTTTGACCGTCCGTCTTATTTGAAAAAATTATAAAAAAATTAAAAAGACAAGTCACGCGTAAAATATTAACCATGTTTTATCATCTAACCACAATGAAAATACGAATTATAAAAAAATTTCATATAAGACGGACAGTCAAAGTTGGACACGGAAACCCAGGGCTTGCCTTTTATTTGGATGGAGGGAGTAGAAGCTAGAGGAAAAACACAAACACGCAAAAAAGGGTTTTGTGATCGATCATTATACTTGCCAATTGGGAGTTTTTTTTTTAACGAACTGAAGAGGGAAGAACTGCATGTCTTCCAACACAAAGTGATATTGTGTCTAAACTACATCACTTAACGGTGTCTATACCAAGCCATGTCACATAGACATTACTCTCAAAACTACTTCCCCAATATATTATTTATGGAAATAGGTATATAACATTCTATTTTTTTTGGAAGAAAACTTTTAAATATAACTAATTAGTTTCGTTGTAACTTGATTGTATCTACAATGTAATTTATTTTTAAATTACGTACGTAAATATGTCAGAAAAACTGTGCTAGCGCAGCAGCAAACCTACAGATTGTGGGTTCCAACCTCTCCCCCGCGCTCATAAGCAATTTTTTTCCCAGCCAGCACAAATCTCACGGTCCAAAAATCACAAATTCCTACCATGGTTCCTTTTGCGATATAGAAATAATATAGAAGAACAATGTGCCGTTTCAATGAAATAGTTTATGTATTCTAACATCATTATGTTATTAGCATAGTACCTTACGGGTATTGCGTCTAGTATCCTTCCAGTATCAAATCTAGTATATAAGATAATGTATTAACGTCGGCGTGGTATCTATATATGTACGAAACCCTTTTTTTATGAGTATCGTATCTGAGATATCCTTAGTATTAGATCTGATACCTAAGGCACTACGCTTATGTCAGCATAACTTCATCACATAAAGTGTTCCATTGGACCACACACCATCATCTAGTGATCCGCTTAGCGATAACATGCAAGCTCCACCACTGTTCTCACTAAAAGCAAGATTAATTATAAAGGGCAACTCCCCGTTAATTTTAGTATATCCGACCAATTTCCTCCGCTATTGTTCCCATGTGATCTAGATTTCGGTCTAGAACTTATTTGACGGAACTATTTTTTTTGAAAAACAACTACCCAGTTTCTTTTTAAAATATACTTTCTCCATTTCACAACGTAAGACTTTCTAGCATTGCCCACATTCATATAGATTTTGATGAATCTAGATATATATGTGTGTCTAGATTTATTAACATTTATATGTGTGTGGACAATGCTAGAAAATCTTACATTATTATATTATGGAACGGAGGGAGTAATATGTAATATTTGAAATGAAGTAGCTACCGATGATGGTATCCAGTCCAGATTTGACATGGACCATCCTTGATGTTGATCAACTAATAATTATAATAAGGAAAAAGTCCAAATACTCTCCTAAATTTAGATAGAAATCCATCTAGCACCTTAAACTTTAAAACCGGACATCTAATCCCCTGAACTTTGCCATACCATCTATATTACCCCCTAATTAAGGTGGTTTCAGATGATGGTTTTGCATATTTTGAAAGCTTAAATGAACAATTCCGAATAACTAATATAACATATTTGCATATCATCAGTTATAAATCATCAATTTATTCCTATACAATGATATCATACTATTACTATGTTGGTACTTATTTGTAAGTGAGAGCTAATAAGGAGAAAAAAGAAAGATTTAAGTCAAAATTTTAATATATACATATATGTTCAAAGTGTATGACATGTGATCAAACTCATCCAACTTATATACAAATTAGATAAAAAAAAAACCAATATGTAAAACCATCTTAGAGGGTTGTATAAATGGTATTGTACCAATTTAGGGAGTTCAATGTGAGAATGTCCGGTTTCAAAGTTCAGGATGCTAGACGGACTTCCATCCAAAGTTTAGGGGGTTATATGGACTTTTTCCTTATAATATTTTGAATGGATTGTAATACTGAAGGCCTGGAAGACAAGTTCCCTCTTTTCCTCGTCGTGTCTCATATATATGAACTTTTGAGAAGAAATTAAACAGCACTGATGCTTATGTATGTACGTACTGCCTACTACGTACCTGTGTATTCATCAGTTGTACGTGTCTAGCTCGTGTGGGACTTAGTACAAGCAGTTCTTGGATCCTTCAAATTAAAGCCTACTTGCAGCTCAGCTACTACTTGCTACAGTTGCTATGGTGCATGCACGGCAAATTAAGTAATTACTTAACCTACATATACACAAAAAGATGTGTTTAGTAATTACTTAACCTACATATGTAGCTCAAGTACTAGTTGGGGATCCAAGGATACAGTCATACAGAGAGAGCTTTGAGCCTTTGATCTCTTTTACAATCTAGGCGCATCATGTTCTACTATCGGAGGTATATATGACTAGCTACGTACATGGCAGAAAAAGGTCTGGATCAACCCACATATATCATGGCATGCATTTGCTCTCTTTTAACTCTCTCTTTTTTTCACCCTTCTTTTGGAACGTCTTTCTTCGGTAGAAACATGAAAAAAAAAGGGGGAAACAAATCATTTTATCAAGTTGTTTTTGCATGGAACTAAGAATGTGGACTGGTCAAAAAAGATGGAGGCAGTGATATAGCTTTGTTTCACGTTGTAAGAACAGAAGAGCATGATAGCATGCTACGTCTGAGCTTTATTTGTATGACCCAGAAGAAATGTTATTTGACAATCCCGAGGCAAGCCTAGCTAGATACCGGGAAGATCAGCAGGGTCTTGCATAATTCTAGACTTGAAGGATGACTTTGCCCAACTACGAATGCATTATGCATATGGCTGTTTTGTTTCCATACTTCTTCACAACTTGGGTGAAAATTCTCACCAACTTTATTTTGAAGCAATTACAAATCGGGCACCTGAATTATTTTTGACTCGATTGCCCTCTCCTCATGTACTACTTCACAACACATATGCAATTCTCTCGAGTGAGTATGTAAAATTTGTGCTCCCGCCTCTCTAGTTGTGCTCTCTCTACCTTTCTCTTAGATGGGCCTGTAGTGTAGTACTACACAGCACACACACACACACACGATTTTTTCTCTCTCATAATTTGCATATGTAAGTCTCTTACATGCACGTATAAACAACTTTTTGACAAGTTTCAAATTATTTTTAAACAACTTTTCTCCTAAATTACTTATCTAATATATGATCCGATTACACCATCATATCCATTGTAATTAAATCTTTAAAATAATATAATATATTATTATTTTTCTAATTGAGATATTTTTATATTATATATGAAACATTTACTGGTAACTGCTGAAACATTCAAAGAATATAACATGCAATATTTGAAATGAACTAGTTACATTTTTTTTGTTTCATTTGTGGTTGACGGTGTTGTAGTTAGTATATTTTGAATGTTGCATCTATGACATGTATATTATATAGTGAATTAAAACAATTTTTAAAACTGGCCAAAAAACATTTGATTTTTTCATCAAAATATAATCGTGTGAGATCTTGTTATAAATATTTAATTGTAAGAAATACAACAATGTAATCGGATGGTAAATCAAAAAAAAATGTTTTAGAAGAAAATTCGTTTAAAGATTATTTTTACAAGATGAACTCTAATGAATCTAGCTTTAGAGTTGTTTTTTTTCATCATAGCTTATTTTTCAATATTTGCTCTTAAACTATAAATAACATGGATATAAAAAAAACACTCAAACTATTTTTTTCTTATATGTCGTTTTACGGCTTATTATCTATTTTTTATAAGATCAGGCCTCAAGTTGTTTTGCGGGTACTAGCATCGTTTGAGTACATGGTTGCTAGAAGACTGGGATCTTTTCTTAGGTAGAGAACTACCGTATCTATGATACTATAGTGATATACTACTTTCTCTGTTCTAAAATATAATTATTTATAGCTGCACACTTGGACAAATATTTATCGCATAGCCTAAACTAAATGTATTCTTTTTAGACATATGTGATATATTTCAACTTCTCCAGGTGTATATGTAAAAATTGTTTTATTTTGGAAAAGAACTATATATGTGGGTGTTGGAGTATTTCATGTGTTCTCACTTGGTTAAAAAGAACTTTGATATATAAAATGATAAGATAGAGTTGGAGAATGCTTCTAATCAACCGTCCGGGCGGAAGGAAAAAATCGAACGCTTCTTAGGCTAAGAGAACAGTAGGGATATGGGTGTAGGTGCATGCAATCAGATTTAGGAAAGATGTCCATATTGATTGAAAATTCAAATGTTTTTTCTCTCTGACTATTTATCCAAACTACGAATAAATTTTATCATTTGATTCGCTACAACTAAATCTTCGTAACACGATCTCACATCACTCTGTGCTGATGACTTTTTTTAACGTCTTTTTTTGTGTTGCACTCAGTGTTATTGTGATGTTTCAACAAATATTGGTTCATATTTCACATAGTTATTTGCAATGTTGTACGTGGTGTTTTTCTATGTTCTAGCAAGATCTCATATGATTATATTTTAGATAAAAAAAAGTTTTTATATACACGCGCGCGCGCACACACACTGTGTGTGTGCAGTGTGTGTGCGCGTGCGTGCGTGTATTTAAGCAGGTGCAATTGGATGTTTCACGTGTAAGAAAAAAACATTTCAAATGAAATTTCACTTTGTAACTAATTTTAAGTTTTTTCTTGCAACATTTTACTCATAGTATCAATGTTTTTTGAAAGAGGCTCATAGCATTATTTAGATGTTTCAATAGATATTTTCTGGTGTTTCACTAATTCTTTATAACTGTTGCACACAATATACTTGTTGAAACATTCAAATACAACATGTAAAACATTCGCAAATAAAGTAATGAAATATCATAACATATTTATTGATTTCGCGTGTAACATTAAAACAACATCTATTTTATTAAAAACATAAATTACGCAACATAGTCAAATTCTAACTGAAATATTTACTTCTTACACGTGAAACATTAAATTTTAATGATTGAAACATATATCATTTTTCAATTATGATATAATCGTGCGAGATTTTGTTGTAAAAATTTAATTATAGCGAATACAACGATATAATCAGAATGACAAATGGATAAATGGTTTGGAAAATAAATCATCTCAAAGGTTACTAGTATCGTATTAATCAATGCAAGCACATCATATAGTATCATCACGTAGCAATTATGTGATTAGCTTGTTGATGTAGTACACTGGTAGCGTCCAATATTTTGCATTATGTGATTAGCTTGCTGATGTAGTACATTGGTAGCATCCCATATTTTACATTGCATGGGATGTCTGGGCGGTAGTCTCCTCTAAAGTTAGGTGGTATATTGGTTTCACGCCTTCTCAAATTTTGGTACTCCCTCCGTTTCAAAATATTTGACACTGTTGACTTTTCAGTACGTGTTTGACCATTCGTCTTATTTAAATTTTAAGTAATTATTTATTCTTTTCATATCATTTGATTCATTGTTAAATATACTTTCATGTACACATATAGTTTTACATATTTCACAAACTTTTTTGAATAAGACGAACGGTCAAACATGTGCTAAAAAGTCAACGGTGTCAAACATTTTGAAATGGAGGGAGTATAATTTTACGATGAGTCAAAAGTTTTATAGCAACAAAACTAAATACTCTCTCCTTCCTAAATTGAGCATCATATATGTTTATGCACCAAGACTAAGAATAATTTCAATCACATCAATCATGACACCATGCACATATTCTCCCACAATTAATACATCGATTAAAACGCCATGCCAATTACTCCCTCTGTCCCAAAAAACTAACTTCTAGAGTTTGAATTTTGTCCCATAAAAAAACAACTTCTACCATACTACCTACCCTCAGCACGTAAAATGAGAAGTTTTATCCCTTCAATACCCTTTAACTACATATCACTCTTACTACTTTTTTCAATAATGAAGGGCATTTTAGTTATTCTCCATATCCACTAATTTCACCTCGGGATGCTAGGAATGTATTTTTTTTTGGGACGGAGGGAGTATACCTTAGCATGCGTACATTCTCCCATACTGTATTAATTATATTCTGATGAAATCTATGTCCACGCGGTTATATGATGATAAATTTGAGAAATTTTAAATTTCATTATATGATGATCAATTTGGGAAGAGGGAGTAATAAGATTGGATCGGGACCAGTGTGTTTGGTTTGTCAGTGGATCCACCAAATTTAATAAAGTGGTGGGCTGTATTGGCTCTACCGTCTACCACGAGGCCACTGGTACCACATCCATGGACCATCATGCATGGGCCATGAAAATCTATGGCCCATTTTCCCCCGCGCTTCTCCGTTCTTCGGCCCACATAAACACACTGGCGGCCCGCGCGCACGGCGCACCGCGAGCCCTCGCAAAGCAAAGCATGGCCTCGCTCGCTCGCTCGCCCGCGCCTCCAGCGATTGTCGTCGAGACGTCTCGCCGTCTCGCGATGAAGCGAAAGGCTTTTTGTCCGCTGCGCGGCTGCGCGCGGGCGTCGGTTTCAGCCGCGGTGTCGCCGCGCGCGCCGCGGCCGGCCGGTGTGTCGGTGCGCGGCCGGATTTTTCCGGCTCATAAAACCCCGGGGTTGGCTATCAGCTACGTCGTCGTCGCCGAGGCGATGATTGATGTCGGGTGTCACGATTGATCAGCCTCAGCTATAGTTCTCCCATCGACTCTGCAGTGTCATCACTCGTCAGCTCTCCTCTCCTCCTGCCCGTTTGATGTAAGTGTAAGTACGTACTCGGGGACGACCGTGACGCGCTGCCGAATGCCACTCCCAACTCCCGCTAGCTAGGTACGTTGGTGGGTCACTCTCCATCCGCCCTAGCGCACTTCATTTCATTTCATTTCCTCTGCCTTCTCTTCGCTTTCGTTGGATCATCTCGTCTGTACTATACTGTACGGCGTGAGAAAATTGCCCACGTACGTACCTGTATCTCATGAAGACTCTTGCTCTCGTAATTTATGGTACTCGCACAAAGTTTGAATGAACGGCATGTGTCTCCGTTGAAACGCGAACAGGTACGCTAGTGTCGTTGTGGGGATGGAAGGCAGGCAGGGCAAATACTCTGTTTTTTTATACATTGTTGATTCTTCAAAAGGCATGCAAAAACGATCGATCGACTGTATTGTAAAGCTTTGATGCATAAATGTTGTTTCGACAATGACAAATGATACTAAGCGGATGTATACATATAAAAGTGGCCTTTTATTCTGCACAGATTCAGAATTGGGGGGGGGGGGAGGGGGGGAAGACGCGCTGACTCGATAAGCTTACACTGTTACAATTGCTAATCCGATACTAATTACTTCGGCGAGGTGCGCCGTTGCCGTTGCGTCTGTAGCTCTCATGGCGCCGCCGTGCGTGCGTTCTCCCGCGACAAGCTAGCGTACACGCTCACTGGGGGTTGCACGGTGATTTCGCGTCACACGTCGACGGTGCAGTCCGCCGCCTGCGCGAACTTGAGCGAGACGGTGGCGTTGCCGCCGGCGCCGCCGCCCGCCGTGGCGCTCATGGCGAAGGCGCCGCCGACGTTGCCGCCGCTGGCGGCGAGCAGGGCCGGGCACGTGACGAAGAGGTGGTAGCCGCCGGAGACCCAGCTGCCGACCTTCCACTTGACGCGGCCGTCCACCTTGACGTGCAGCAGCACGTAGCCCGCCGCGATGTCCTGCCTCATGGCGTCCGCCACGTACTGCCCCACGGGCACCGACTCGCCGGACATCACCGGCGACCACACCGACACGTCCTTGTGCCCCTGGTAGATCGCCGGCAGCTCCACCGGCACCGTGATCGGCTCCTCCCTGTACGTCGTGAACACGTGCAGCGTCTTGTAGTACACCCCCACCCTGTCGTTCGGGTTCCTCGACGCGATCGTCACCTACACGCACACACAGAAGCAAACGATTTTTCAGTCCCCCCAAGAACAAGAACAAACTGTACAATTTTTAGCCAGAATTTGATTAACCTGGAGGTTGAGGGAGATGGCAGGGTCGGAGAGGTCGATGTTGCGGAGCTGGACGTCCTGGAGGTAGAAAGAAGGCTTGGAGGGGTGAATCGCGAGGTAGATGACGAGCACGATGAAGCCGACGAGGACGGCGAGCGTGAGGATGCAGGCGGCGATGGAGCCGCAGCACCGCCGGAGGATCCAGTCGCGGTGGTGCTTGTCCTTGCCCATCTCGCCGGCGGCCGGGCCAGAAACCCAACTAGCTAATAATCAACTGTGTACAGTGCGTTGTAGTGGAGCGTGAGCGTGAGTGTGTGTGTGATACTGAGGACTGTGTGCGTGTGAGTAGAAGGAAAGTGTGCTGCGAGGAGTGGGGGTGGCCTTTTATTAAAAGGTCCTAACTCCTAAGCTTGATAGGAGGACAGGTAAGTGTGGTGGTGCGTGTTTCAAAGGGGATTTTAATTTCTTTTGGGTGTAGGGAGGTGACGAAAGCTACAGCTCAACTCACCGAGATTCTTCTGCTTCTTCTTTCCCCTGGACCCCCTTGCACTGTTGCACAGGAGGCTGCCCTGTGTATTAGTGTACCACTAGTAATTAAGTACATAACTCCATCAACTTAGCTTAAATTGAGATTGGTTTGTCGAGCACACATGAGCCAGGCAGACTGGTGTCCCTCTGGAGCTCTGCTGCTTGAGGATCACTCCATCTCCAGATGGTCAACAGGAGATGATTACCATTGCGGTTGGTGTTTTGCATGTGCACGTTGAGGCTGAGTTGACCTGCGGCTATGGTACCCACAACCCAGTAGTAGTGCCCACCATTTTACCCCTGTCCACTGAACTAATATTAATCTCCTTCATGTACGCAGTACATTCTCCTACACTAGTATTACTGATCAGGATAGGATATCCAGATGATAAACGATTCACAACATATATAACAACAATCAGCAGCGTTACGTGTACGTGTGCGGGCGATCAATCATCAATGGCACTCCATACACATGGCGTGGTCGGTGGCGCGCGCGCGCGTGGCTGGCGCCGGAGACGGGCCAAACTGCCAATCTGGCTAGGGATTACGCGCGCGATCTCACCCATGTCGATCTGAGCGGCCTCGAACGGCGGCCTCCGCGACCATCACCCGAGGGCCGAGGAGAGCGTCGATCGGTGCACGGCCACTACATCACATCGCCCGTGCGCCGCGCCGTCCATCGATCGATCGCCTCACGCACGCGAGATAGTACGCCGGTTGGTGGAGCGTAGCACGCGAGAGGCAGGCCGGCCGTTCCGGCGTCGCCTCAGGCGAACAGGGCCAAAGAAAACCCCACCCAAAATAAAGAAAATATGGCAGCCATCATCAGCAGATCAGCTGCACAAGCGGACGCGCGCATGACGCGCCCGCCGCGTGCAGAGGCGTGTGCGTCCATCCGGCATCGTGCCGGTGCCCTTCATTCCTTATCCCCCTCCTCCACCGACTGCGGTGCCCTGTGCCCTATGGCAGCATCTGTTCCAGAAGCACCATGCTACCTGCTACGACCCTGTCTCTTAACTAATCATCAACGATCATTTGCCTCCTCCCGTGAATTATCAGCGTCCAGAACGATCTTGCACACGCCACTGCCTCGCCCAAAAAAGAAGCTTTTTTTTCCAATACATACAGTGGCTTGATCTGGTCATCAATCATCATACACCGGATATGCATACTACTATATACCATTTCTATCCATTATTCTAAAAAAAATGAATACTACTAGACCGGAAAAAAAACTGTAGACATTTTTCTTTCTGTTGCTGTTGGATAAATTTGTGGAATATTTGCTTTTATGTAGCAGAGTAGCAGGATCGCTGTCTTACAGTATATTCAAATCAGGCTTTCGGATAAAAAGCGCCGACGAGAAAAGTTGTGGAAGGGCTTGAAGAGCTTTTGTGTCATTTGATCCATTTCCATGTAGTGTTCTGAGTCAGGATGGCTAGCATAGTGCGATCGAGGTCGTCTCTTTTGACAAAAAAGGGGGGAATTTAGCATGTAATCAATCTCAATAGTTAAACATGCGCATTGCAAAAGAAGTGAGGGTAATTTACTTTCATCTCTTCCATAAAGGATGGGGAAAGAGACTCTAAAAGGGGGCTGCAAAAAGGATGGTTATTCACACAAACTTAGCCTGGAAGTAAAATGAAAAATATGACTGTTCTACGCAGACACGTCGAACCTACTAAGGTTTGGAACTAGTGATGCACACATGCACCCAAATCACTCTAGAGTAATCAATCAGACACTTCAGATATAGCAATTGCCAGGTCATATAAAAGAACTTTGTTTCTATTAGCAATTTTGCAACGGGTTCGGCACACAATAATTCACACGCACACATTGCAGAACAGATCCACAGATGCAGGCACCATGCAAAAATACAAGCATACAGGATGTAAGTAGTACATACGGCCAGGGACCATTGGGACTTCGAAGTACAGAGCTTAGCTAGAAGACGGTCGACCTAATACCCTGCTGTGCTTATATCAGAAAAAATGGAGGCAAGTGCACCATCCTGCCCGTTCTTGGACATGTCACCTACCATCCGATCTTCTTTGTTCCGTTTGGTGCATCCGGTAGCAGTAGCAAATTGGAGGCAAGTGAAGCACGCATGCGATTCACGGTTGGTGTGTAAAGTAGTAGTAGTACTATATACCTAAGGAGAATTATTGACGTGTCCCTGTTTTTCTCCGCTATTTTGCTCGGGAAAAGGTAGGGTTGGGTCACCATATGTGCTATAACTAATCGTTCCAAGTAGTGCTAGTAACTGAAGTGAGAAATGCTGTATTAGTATATAAGTGAGGAGCGTCTGTCGCGGTGGACTTCTGTGACGTGAGATGATCGGTTACTCTATTTTGGTCGAAACATGTCCTAGAAAGTTTCAAATTCTATTATAACTTATTAAAGAAATAGAAAAAATAGCCTTCACGTTCGCTCTCACGGCCTAGAAATTCTCATATTAATCAGAGAAAAAAAACAGAGTCTATATAGAAATATAATCTATGAATAGTTGAAATTCAGAATTAAAAAATAAGAGATATTGGAAGAGGAGACCAGAGCCCATGTTGTTATACAATTTAGAACTAATGGAAATTCAGAATTAAATAAGAAAACTAAAATTTGTTTAGAATTAATATAGAAATAAAATTTGGAATAACTAAAATTCGGAATTAAAATAATATAGAGTACAGAGTTCATATAGAAATACAATTTAGAAATAACTGAAATTTTGAGTTAAAAAATAAATAATATTAGCAGAAAAGTGTCAGCGTTATGGATACCACATACCTAATAGTAGTCGACTAAATCTCGGCAGGACCCACCACATACCATGTCTTATACGGAAACAACATGTGGATATAGGAGGAGTTTCGGATAAGGAAATACAACCAGAGTTCTACATGGAAACGACAAGGACTACTCGGATTGTATCCATAATGGTTTCCCTAGTTCTACTTGGACAAGGAGACACCTATGGGTATAAATACAAGGCCCCCTAGGAGGAGAGGGGACACACTCAACATAGACGGAACAACAGAAGCCACAAGACAACATACGCCAAGAAAAAATGCTGGATATCGACTTCATGGATAAGCACGGCTAGTCCCCTACGGTGTCTCCGGATACTGTCAGGAGAGACGAAAGCGCTATCTCTGATCTCGCCGGGCACGGATTCGAGGAGGAAGACTACCCTGTTGTTGACTACGAGTAGACTTTCATACCGCCAAGTCGACAACAGTTAGATAGACTACCCCAAATATTGTACTGGTGTGATTATGGTGAATAAGAGCAATACCGGCTTCGGCCAACAGGATATAGGGTTATTACCTAACAATTCAGGGGCCCGAACCTGTATAAAAATCCTCGTCTCTATCTCTTTTACCTCAGTCTCGCGCATATACTAGTACCAACGATCCCCATACTATGCAAATACCGGAATCGCGACATCAAACGTCGACAAAAAGTATAAGGTCCATATAGAAACACAATTAAGAAAAATAACTGAAATTCAGAATTAAAAATAAATAATATTAGAAGAAAAGTGTAGAGTCCATATAGAAATATAATTAATAAATAATAGAAATTTAGAATTAAAAAAAGGAATATTATAAGAAGATATAGAGTCCCTATAGGAATTTAGAATTAACTAAAATCAGGAATAAAAATAATAAAAATTAAAAGTAGAGTTTAGATTCCATATAAAAATATAATTTACAAATAACTAAAATTCAAAATTAAAAAAATATGGGAAGAATAGCCTAGAGTCTATATACGAATACAATCTAGAAGGAACTAAAATTCGAAATAAAAAAATAAAAAACATTGAAAGATGAGTTTAGAGTCCACATAGAAATACAATTAGAAATAATAAAAATTCAAAATTAAAAATAAATAATATTAGAAGAAGTGCCTAGAGTCTATATAGAAATAAATTTTACAAATAACGAAGATTTGAAATTAAAAAATAATGAATATTGAAAAACAAGTCTAGAGTCCATATAGGAATACAATTTAGAAATAACTAAAATTTGATATTAAAAATAATTAATGACTATCACATTGGTAGTTTGGTAAATTTAGTACAAAATTTGAAATTATGTTGTCATTTTAATATTTTTAATAATAAATTGGGAATATATATATATATATGTATATATATATATATGTATATATATATGCTATTATATGAGAAAAATATAATGATACTAACTGCGCAATCTGCGCGGATCATTCGATGGAAAAAATAGTAAAAGTGGGGGTCTTTTTTTTTTAGATTTTTAGTGACAGTTATGAATAAAGGGACAGTTTAAGAAAGCCCATGGTTCCTGTACAGGAGTCCTACGCAACTTAATTGGGCCGTAACCTTGGCGTTGAGGTGCTATTGGGCCGTAACTCAGATACCCGAGCGAAGCCCATGTGTTATTGGGCCGACTCACGCTGGACTAGCGGCCGGTTTGGCCGGCCCGCAGCCCGTTCACAGCCGAGCTTCTGGGATTGTAATAAGTTCACTTATGTCCCTTAATTTGTCGCCAAGTTTTAAATTCATTACTGTATAACAATACTAATATGATGTATCCCTCGACTTCCAAAATCAGTGCAAAGAAGGTTCTAAAGTAGTTTGGATGGTGGTTTCGGCTGCGTGGCATCTACGAGTGGTGTTGACGTGACACTTCAAGTTAAAAGAAACCATAGGACTCACATGTCAGTAACTGACCGGTTAAAAATAAAAAATTATAGTTGGACCCACGTCATCACCCATATGTTTCTCATCTTCTCTCCCTTCCTCCTCTATCTCTCTTATGGTTCGAGCACGGCGTCGTCGCTAAGGAGCGTGGGGGATGGGTCCCCTTTCTTCCCCTCGAATCTCCCCGTCGCCTCCTCCTCCACGGCCGCATGGATCCCACCGCCAAGTCACCAAATATGTGAAAAGTCCTTCTCCTCTCTCATCTCCACACCTCTTTTGTTGCCTGTCCACCATATCGCTTGCTGGAGTTACATCGCCGACGCCATGAACTGGTACACTGGCACGACGACGGCTAGGGATGAGGCGCCACCGCCGGTAGAGGAGAGAGACGAGCGAAGCTCACGGAGGTGGGGGAGGTGGCCATTGCCGTCATCAACGAAGACGAGGTCGGATGCATGGTGTGGGAAGAAGGACTCTCCCCAACTTTGGCCGCTCCATTTCATTCCTTCTCAGCCCGACAAGGTCGTTCAAGCCTAGGGCGGCGGTGGCGTGCCACACGCGCTCCATTAGCCTACCACGCTACTCCCACCTGCTCCTCTCCCACCTCCCGAGCCACATTTGCTGCCATTTGCTCCTAAGCCTCCTAGCTTGTCCATGACGCCTTCTCCATCCTCGCCGACCTCCTCCTCCTCCTCGTCCTGCAGGACACGCTCTACCACGCCATCGTCGACGCCTTCCTCCTCCTCATTGTCGCCCACCAGGGCTTCCACGAGGCCCTCCTCGACCTCAACTAGGACATCGACACGTCATCCCTCTTCCACCCCTTCTCCAGTGTCGTCCGCGCCCTCCCACCGCTCTCCGTATTCTTCGCCGAGATGAACATCCTGTCCTAGGACTGGTTGTTGCATGACGTCATGGCATCGTGCGGCTAGGTGACCGCTCAAGCTCGTGATGCCGCCACCACCCAAATCCTCTCCTACTGGCGGCCGACCGCCGCGCAACTCCTCTCCCGCTAGTTACCGACTGGACGAGAATCAGAAGCAATTGAAAGCAAAGAGGGTGAGTACTGAACTGAAGGAAGTGGGGCCCACCGAGATAGATACGTCGTTGGCTTATGTCTCTTTAATCGTGTGTTAGAAGATACAACCATTAGTATGTAAGTTTAGTGTCACGCGTATAGTGGTGTATAAGCGTGCCATTGTATTTTGTAAAAACATTTGTGGATGTGTGAGTATAGTGTTGCATATACGTGTACGCGCGTGTAATGGGAAAAAGAAAAAAAAGGTCACTTCCTGTCAAATGTGTGAAGAAGAAGGGTACTCGTACTCGTTAAATCCAGAACCATCTGCAGACGCAAACTGCAAAAGCACAAGCGGCGAACCGCGAAGCTAGGCCGTACGTCCACTGGGCATCCACGCAAGCATATTCCCACTCGGATACGCGGGCCCCACATCATTTCAAAGTTCAAACCGCCCCGTGCCAAGTCACCACCCCCACCACAGGTCAAGATTGACAGGGACCACATCCCACGTGGCAGCATCCCACTCCTCTGACACCTCGGTCCCACCTGTCAGTATCACACGCTTCCCACCTTCTCTTTCCCCCCAAGCCTCTCACACCGTCGTCGTCGTCGTCGTCCTCGTCTTCCTCTTCCCCACCACCATCTCCCGCCTCCACTCGCCTCCTCTACGCGTCTCTAGAATTCAAACCCTAGCCAACCAGGTCATGGGCGGAGAGAGGCCGCCGCCGATCAGCGGCGGCGGCGCCTTCGCGTTCATCTCCAAGGGGTGGCGCGAGGTGCGGGACTCGGCGAGTGCCGACCTGAGGCAGATGCGGGCGCGCGCCGACCGGGAGCTGGAGCACCTCCTCGCGTCGGCGTCGGCGCTCGCGGGCCCGCCGCTGCCGCCGGTCGCGGCGGGGGCGCCCATCGCGGAGGTGGAGTTCGTGCGGAAGCGGATCCAGCCCAAGATCATGGAGCTGCGGAGGCAGTACTCGTCGACGGTGCGCGACGCGGGGTGGGCCCCCAAGGCCGCCGGGGCCAGCCTCCGCGTCGACCTCTCGGGGATTACGGCGATCCGCAACGCCATTGTGGCCGAGGGGGGCGGCGGCGGCGGCGGCGGCGGGAGGTGGGGGCTCGTGCGGTGGAAGGGCCACGCGGACGACGAGGGGAGGAAGGAGTGGGAGGTGGTGAGGATGATACGCAGCGGGCTGAAGGAGTTCGAGCGCCGGAGCTTGTCGAGTGAGGTGTTTGGTGGATTTCGTGGCCGCGGCGAGTTCGTGGAGAAATTCAAGTTGAGCTTGGTAATTCGAAAGTTCCATCTTAAATCATGATATGCTCCTACTTGGTTAGGACGATAAACCTTTCCACTTGCTTAGGTACATTTTCTGTAAGTTACTGATAAATGAATGGAGCAATTGAGTCTTACACATTAGTAGAACTTTGGCATCCATGAAAAGGAATCTAAGGGAGTTACATATTGATTGATACATGTTCCAATGCTTCATCAAATAGAAGGATTGTGTATTTGCAAAAAATAAGTAACATGGCATTGCTCCATTTTTGTTCATATATTGTTTAATATTTTGTCTAACTCTATATGACTAATCCATCATTTAAAAATATTGAAATGCTTCCCTGAAATAAAGTACTTTTAAGGACTGCCAAAAAGTAGCAATTCCAGTTGCTCATAAAGCCATATCATTTACATCAGGTGACAACTGACGGCCTGATGCATTTTTTGCAGAATTATGCTTTTGAGAACACTAAGTGTATTATATGATCATCAATTTTTGTGTGTTAAGTGGAGCACTGATTCATGTTTCTCATTTTGTTGCAGAAATCTCTGAACAAAGAGTCACAAGAATCCAAGGTAATGTCAGAACAAACTAAGCATAACTGTTGGAAATCTTCTGCTATTTAGGGCAAATAGTTAGTAACTTCAGATGAAGAAATGCTTCTGGATCACTTTCCTAATTAACTTGAATTTGGTTTACTTGATTTTATTTTTTCGCTGCCTAGTTCAGTCCAGCTAGATTCTCAGAACATTTATGCTCTACTATTTTGCAAAATGCAACATATTAGATTAACCTTTAAACTTTCAGTTGTTTCAGAACATTTTTCGTTATAGCCAGTTGTAGGTCAGAATTAGATGCTTATCGCTTTGTAATGGCATAGTGAAATACTGAAATTGTAACAATGACTACTTGAGTTATATGGCGGTTGAATTTCTTTAAGTCCAAGTTTTAAGATTCTTAGACACTGCATTATTGAGTATAACTAAATCATATCTTTTAATAAAGCATTTTTCCGAAAGCAGTTGATTATAATGATAATGCAATCTTCATTGTTATGTCATCTTATTAATTTCACAGAGTGCGTGTTTTCTAAACTGAATATTTGCATACAATCCAGGAGGTTCTCCCACTGGATCTTACTGAAATTCTGGCATATCTTGTGCGGCAATCTGGACCATTTCTGGACCAACTTGGTATTAGAAGAGGTACGGCGTGTTTTATTTGCCTGCACTTTCCCAACTCTTGTCACTTTGGTGCTGACCATCGTTAAATCTTTCTATATTATGCAGATTTATGTGACAAAATTGTGGAGACATTGTACAGTAAACACAATGGCCGGCTCATTTATCATTCTCTTTCAGCTGATAGATCTTTAATTGGAAATGAGAACATGACTGATGAGCTTGATCTGAGAATAGCAAGGGTGCTAGAAAGTACTGGGCATCACACAGAGGAAAGTTTTTGGAAGGATCATGCAAAGTACAAGCTCTCGGACAACCGGCGGCATGTTGCAATTGTCACAACAGCAAGTCTTCCATGGATGACTGGGACAGCAATCAATCCATTATTCCGTGCTGCGTATCTAGCAAGAAGTACAAAACAGAAGGTGACACTGGTGGTTCCTTGGCTCTGTAAGTCAGATCAAGAGCTAGTTTACCCCAATAATATCACCTTCAGTTCACCAGAAGAACAAGAAAATTACATAAGGAACTGGCTACAGGAAAGACTTGGCTTTGAAGCAAATTTTAAGATATCATTTTATCCTGGCAAGGTAAAAATCCAATTATCATCTGATTTTGATGTATTCAACCATACATTATTCTTCCCCAATGATTTAATTTCTTTATTTAAAATTTCATGCTATACAGTTTTCGAAGGAGCGACGTAGTATTATTCCTGCTGGAGATACTTCACAATTCATTTCCTCGAGTGAAGCTGATATAGCAATTTTGGAAGAACCAGAGCATCTCAACTGGTATCATCATGGAAAGCGTTGGACCGACAAGTTTAAACATGTCATTGGTGTAGTTCACACAAATTACCTAGAGTATATCAAGAGAGAGAAGAATGGAGCTCTTCAAGCTTTCCTTGTTAAGCATATCAACAACTGGGTGACTAGAGCATACTGTCATAAGGTATTGTGTTTGCTTGTCTCGTGTAAAAGCCCTGATTGCTAGGGTGAAACTTATAATGGGTGCATGCAGGTTTTACGTCTTTCTGCAGCAACTCAAGATCTACCTAGGTCTGTTGTCTGCAACGTTCATGGTGTAAATCCAAAGTTCCTCAAGGTTGGTGAAAAAATAGCAGCTGATAAGGAGCATGGGCAGCAGAGCTTTACAAAGGGAGCATATTTCCTTGGGAAGATGGTTTGGGCTAAAGGATATAGAGAACTTATAGATTTGTTATCCAAACACAAAAGTGACTTGGAGGGCTTTAATGTAGATGTATATGGGAATGGTGAGGACTCACAAGCAGTGCAGATGGCTGCTAGGAAATTGAATTTGAGCCTCAATTTTTTCAAAGGAAGGGACCATGCAGATTCTTCGCTTCATGGGTGAGTATCATTTTAGCAAGCTGCTAAAATGAACCCTCATTCTCTGGCTTATCATTTACTATTTATTGACAATGGCCTTTTTTCTTTTCTTAATTTTAGGTATAAGGTTTTCATTAATCCAAGTGTCAGTGATGTTCTATGCACAGCGACAGCTGAGGCTCTTGCAATGGGGAAATTTGTTATCTGTGCAGATCATCCATCAAACGAATTTTTCAAGTCATTCCCCAACTGCTTAACATACAAAACTTCCGAAGAATTTGTTGCCCGAGTGAAAGAGGCCATGGCTAGTGAACCTTCACCTTTGACCCCTGAGCAAAGGTACAGTTTGTCATGGGAGGCAGCAACTGAAAGATTCATGGAGTACTCAGAGCTTGACAAAGTTCTGAATAACAAAATTGGTTATTCTGGACAAGATGGGAAGAGAAGTAAAGTGAGAAAGATACCTTTACTTCCTAGACTTTCAGAAGTTGTGGATGGGGGACTGGCCTTTGCTCATCACTGCTTAACTGGCAATGAGATCCTCAGATTGGCGACAGGAGCAATTCCCGGTACACGTGACTATGATAAACAGCAATGCATGGATTTGAATTTATTGCCTCCCCAAGTTCAACACCCTGTATATGGCTGGTGATGTCAAGACGCTTTTATTAAACTAATATATATATAGTTGAAGGATGTTCTCATTAGGTATGTGCCTATTAAGTGTTATGCAGTTCACACACTGACTAGATCCTGTACTTCTGCAGTGTCCTTTTAGGGTCTGTATGGAATTAATTTTGTTTAGACTCTTTGCTTGTAAATACTACATCCATTTTTGTTACCCAAATAGGTTAGGTGTATTAATGGCAGTATGCGTGTATGATGTTTCCTTTTTTCTGACATAAACGAATTTAATGAAAGTTAAGTCCTGGAGTTTAAATTCTTTTTGTGTGCCTTTTGTTTTTGCCTATCCTATCTGTGATAAAAAAAATTGAACAGGCAATTTCATTTTGTGCTAGGAAGTCGCACCCAGCTTACAAATTGTCTTAATATGGTTTCTAATCCTTAAATGTCTCAGATTATAGATAACAAAAATGTCATTAGTTTCTCAAAGACATGTAGACTTGGTTCCTTTTAATAGTTTTAATGTCAATGGTTTCTCATATTTATATACTTCATACTGGATGAGCACCAAGGACATAAAAGAAAAGCTTAATTATGACACTACGAAAAAGAATAATAGATGGCAACATCTAAAAGTAGAACTAACATGGGATTAAGAATAAGCCACCAACTCCGGCACCATTAAAATAAGTGCTTGGTCTCCAATTGGCAATGTTTTGTTTTTGTTTTTTTGTAATCCATTAATCCTTCACTGTTCATAAGGAGGTTTATTATAGTAATTTACTTTGCATAAGGGGCTGGGATGCTTTGCTTCACTGCAGTCGGTTTGGTGATGATTGTTGATTAGTAGGTATTATTCCAATTATGTGTAGTTCAAATTGTTGTATTTCTGCTATATTCATGGTAACAAAATGGTAACATGGGAAGGATAAAGAACCTTGCTTGTTATATTACCTCTTCTTGATCCCTAAAGTAGCACACAGTTGGAACATATTAGTTATGACTTGTTATCTCCATTTCAAAATTCTGTCCTCAAAGGTAAGTCCGTACCTTTTCCCATGCAACTTGGTTCCCAGTAGTGGTTGACAGTGCAAAAGATCAACTAACTAATCGCTCCATCTATCACCAATCACTGTTATCCAATAACTTGTGGTTGATGATGATTTGCATCTATGGAGTCGGGTCAACTTTATCACCTATAAGCGGATCATCTTCCAATTCAGCTGTTTATCTTACTTCTACAAGAATATCTTTACTATATTAAAAGGAGTTGGAGGTGAGAATGTGCTCTACCCCATTCCACACTCCACAAGGCTTTTGTGGCCACATATATGAGTTTATTGATGTACTTGCATATATATAGGCTGTTTATTGATCTCATGTAGTATTGTATATACAATTTTGTAATTTAAAGATAATTATTTTTTACATGCCATGTAAATCTATGTTACATTTATTTGCATTTGTCACAATGCGTGGACACTATGCAATTTGTCCTACTTAAAAACAGGTGTTGGTGGTGATTATAGCAGGCTTTATGCTCATCTTCTGTGTTCATCTATGTATAGAGGTGTATGCCATCTGTAGGATGTTTTAAAATAACTGCACCGTATACGTATACATACGTAGATAGCTGGTTGGTATGGTTTTATTTAGTTTTGGATTTGAATATGTGACGTGTATGAATCTGAAAACTGTATGAGCTCACGGGCCTGTGCTGTAATATTTGGCAAAAATGATTAAAGAAAGGACAGTCTTATTTTACTAGATAAATATCACCATTAAAATATGTTTGTTATATCAATATCACATTTTTTCTGCTTCAATAGTTTCTGAAAAAAAATCTGTTACTTTACCATCACAAATTTTGAAATGATCTGAATGGATATTGTGAAACCATAATTGTCGTCCAGTTATTTTCTTTGGCGCAGCAACACATAGGGAGCGGTTCACTCATTCCCCAAAAATAAGAAGAAAACTGTTCATTTATATTTAGCTGCTTATAAGTAGTCTTTGTTGTACGGAAGGCTGCAACGTTTTATTTTTACAGTTCAGCATCATAATTACTTCTAGCATCGAAGAATTAGTCACTTGCTAATACTCCTACACAATAAAATTGCAGGCCGTACTAGTTTGTCCCATTTGGTGTTGATGCTCTCGACGTAGTCAGTTTGTCAACTCATGATGTTGATAGCCACTTCTTTCTGAGATTTTTCAGGGACTTTGAAGCAGGCAAGTCGTGCCAGGTTATCGACAGATTCTGCAATTTTCTTTACTTGTGTAACCAAGTCTGAAAGAAGTGATGCAGTAACTGCCACATGCATCACTTGCAGCAGAGCTTTATCCTCTGATAGCTCGCTCCTGAGTGTTTTGGCAGCTTTGATGGCTGCAGACATGGAGGTTGTAGATGGTACGGTCATTGTTCGAAGTGCTGCCGAGAGCTCTCTGAGTGCCTGAGCAGAGTGTGAGCTCATCTCACTGCATGCTGTTCGTACTTTGAAGGACAGCTCAGGATTGGCTTCAGGATACTGTCATCAGGGAAAGGTACGAGCTATTGGTCAATAAACTGGGTTCCAGTGTCTAGATCATGAAAATTATTATGATTTGTAGGTTGTAAGTACCTGAGATTTTGTGAGTGTGATGACATAGGAAGCCATAGCCTCCATGGAAGAAGCGCACTGGCGAGAAAGAGCTCCAATCTTCTGGTATTGGCTCCATGGGTGTTTGAAACTGAATTTTCCATGACCAGGCTCCCATCTGGCAAAGTTGCACTGCAGTTTTGGGAATAATGTCACATTGCATCATTTTCACCACCTTGCTTGAAGATGTCTGTAGGACTTCGCCTCTCGGCACGGGGTATGTATATATATAACTGCATAGTATGCTTACCAGAGAGTCTTCAGTGGCCTTCGAATTAAGTATGCTCTTGTACGCTTGGAGAAAGGCTTTGCCCTCCAAACTCTCACTCGTAGCGCTTTCTCCAAAGCATTCGGTTTCCATTCCTGCATTCATGTATAAAAGTTTAGGCCCCACTCTGGAATTAATCTGCCTGTAGCATATTACTTCTATAGCTCTATGTGAGTAACAAGTTTACTATTAGTAATTTAATACATGATATAGTTGTAATTCTGCCTTCAGTTGTATTGTGCACAAGCAGGGCATAGTTAATTAGAAACATAAGTGAAACCAGAATAACATGAAAGGGCACACTATTCTTCTGTGACATATCGGCCACAAGCTGCCATTTCAGCTTGCAGCAGTGCGTACGCACCTTCAAGGAAGTCGGCCAGCTTGTCGAGGTTGCCGGCGGCGAGCTTGTGGAGGTCCTCGCCGGCCCAGACGGGCATGACGAAGATGGTGGTGCAGAGGCAGGTGGCGACGCCGACGACGATGGTGGAGAAGCGCTGGTGCGCGAGCTGGATGAGCTCCTCTACCCGGTAGCTCGACACGGCCACCAGGCTGAAGGTCAGGATGAAGATGGTCACCCCGTAGTCGTACCTCGCCTTTATCTCCGGTATGAACCGCGAGAACGTCGCCGCCGACGCTGCCATCAACAAATTAACATGAATGCCACTGGTAAGTACATGCTACTAGCTACCTACTGCTTCTCTCCTCGTCTAAAAAAGTTAGTGCATGACAACATATGAACTATTATAGCCATCGTTTCGCCGGTATATTTATAAAAGAAAAGTAATTTATGAATAAAACTTTTATATAAGTATTTTTGGTGATCTAAGAGCAAATGCTGAAAAATAAACTACAATGAAAAAACTTTAAAATCAGTACAAATTTAATGTTGAAAATTTAAATTTTAGCTGATAAGTATAAACATAAACGAAAAGATAAGACCCTAAACATTGAATAGTCAATGAAGAACAACAAACACACATGCATGCATGCATACACACATACCTAGTAGGAAGACGAAGACGGCGAGGAGTATGGGCTCTCCCTGTGCGCCGCACCGGTTAGCCACCTGATGCGCCCCGACGGCGATGAACCCAGCCACCAGCGTCGCGAAGGCCCTGTTCAACCCTTTGCTCAGCGTGCCACCTGTCGCGTACGTACGTACGTACGTCCAAAACACAAACACGTCACTGAGATATGTACTAATAGCGTACTGCGTACGTAGTTACGTACGTAGAGCGTGGTAGGTACCAAGGATATATAGCTAGCGTATATATATCGTCGCCTAGCTACGACGATACGTACGCCCGCGTGTATACATATACGTATCGTCATCTGCGGCAACGACGACTTTCTGGGGATGGAATTTTGTCCCTCAACCTCATTTATCCAAAGCTACTATTTTTTTTTATTTTGACAAATAGATTGATATAGTATATATTACTTCACAAACATATAAGATTAAATTCGATTTCTACAAATTATAAAAGTAAATTAAACTCTAATCAGTATACATACATTTGTAATTCTTTTTTTACAATTTGTATAAATCAAATTTAAGCGTGTTTATAACTTATGTATCATATACTAAGGATCAACTTATCACATTTTCTCAAGAATGTTTTGTAACTATTCAAGTGATGATGATCAGTAAGAAACTCAATGAGTAAGAAACTCAATAAGGCCTTGCTCGGTTTAGAGAGGATTGAAGGGAATTAGAGAGGATTGAGGGGAATAATTCCACACCATCATAGGTGTAGAATAAATCTCCTTCAACTCCTCCCTCAAAGGGATTAACCGAATAAGGCCTCAACGAGAATACTTTCCCCCGTGAGACCCCGACGTACTTGGCATGCATTAGCGCTAGCTAGCTTGGTACACAGAGAAAATTACATACCGACGGTGTACTCCATGACGACGACGACGGTGAGCACGGCCCAGAGCGTGGAGACCCCGAACCCCTTGAAAAGCGGCGTCACGTAGTAGAGCACGGACACCAGCGTCAGCGCCAGCCCGACCTTGAGCGAGTGCGCCACCCTCCTCGGGTCGTCCGCCGCGATCCCGCCCACCTTCCTCGCCAGCCCGCCCACCCACCTCCCGGCCACCTCCACCGCCGCTCGCACCCGCGCCCAGCATCCATCCACCCACCCCCCGCCGACGACGACGACCACTTGGCCGCCGTTCTCCGCCGCCGCCGCCGCCGCCGGCGTCGTCTCCACGGCAGCAGATTGCATGATCGCCTTGAAGTACGATGATAAGTTATCGATCGAGCTAGCTATAGCTAGTGATCGATGTAGCTAATTAGTATATATAGCTAGCGCCGCGTACGTACGTCTTTGAGCTGGGGGCTTGATAGATGGAGTAGATAGCTACAAGTGAAGCACGGGAGACGATGGCTGGGTGCAGGGGAGAGGGGACGCTTATATAGACGTGCTCGCGCGCTCCGGTGCAGAGAACGCGCGGGCCAGCTGCATACATGCATGAGCGCGCGCGGCGCCTTTTTGCAGACAGGATCAACAACTTTTTCGGAGAATGACTTGGGATATTGTTGTTGTTGCTGCTGTTTCATTTTATTTTACTCCATCCGTTTCAGTTTACATGACGTTTTGACTTTGGTCAAAGTCAATCTATTTTAAGTTTGACGAACTTTATAGAAAAAAGTAGTAATATCTACAACATCACCATAGTTTTATTAAATCTATAATTGAATAAATTTTCATAATATATTTGTCTTGGTTAAAAATATTACTACTTTTCTCTACAAAATTATTTAAATTTAGAGTAGTTTAATTTTAACCAAAGTTAAAACGTCTTATAACCTAAAACGGAGGGAGTATTTATTATCGAGAACTGAGATATATATTGTGCTACGTTTGTTGTTTCTCGTTTCGACTCGTCTTCGTTTAGTTGCTCTCGTTGTCGTTGATATGCCATCGGTATTGCCAGCTCATGATCATGTCACTGGTCCGAGGAAATGTGAAGTACTCCTACTAGACTATTTTGGCCGGGTTAAGTTTAATTAGCCTTGTATCACTGGGTACAAATCAACAATTGTTGGTTTGTTTTATTTGTGGTATATATAATCTCATAATTAACATTTGCTATAGTACAGTAGCTCTCAACACATCAGTTGTAATTGTGCACCTTTATGACTTGTACATTCACTTGGAAACATTGTTGTTGGTTGAGGTAGAATGCAACTTGTCCTTTGCCTTACAAATATATGGGTGCGGCTTTATACTTAGCTGACTCATGGCCTGTAAATAAATTAAGCAAGCTACATCTTTCCACTCTCTGACTTTTTTTTAATGAACCGACCAAGTCGAGCCGTACTGAAGCATTTTTCACAAAAAGAAGCACTTTTTTTGGCATTTGTGATAAGTAAAGCAACTCTTATGCATCATTTGAAAACAGAAAAAAAAAGGGGGATCGATGACCTTTTTGTATGTGCTCCATTTCATGTCCGTAGTCTCTCTACTACGTACCATCACTAGTGGCTATCAAGATGTGGCCTGACTTATCAATAAAAATTTCTGAAATTTAGGTGGATCTCAACCCATAGCTTATCACATTGAATTCCATAAAAGCTTCGATCTAGTCCAAGCACGCACTTCTATTTCCTGACAGCACGAAATTTATGAGCTTTTTGTTCAATGCATGTGGACAAATTGTTAATCGTTGTCATCCTTTAGTCAAAACTCTTTTTCTCCACCGTTCAGAGCTGACCACCACTAACTACAAAACCCACTATTACTGTTTACTTGCTTCTGTACCACGTAATTTCCGTAGCATTCAGAGCTCTCATGAATTCTGTGAGCAGACACAGTGGCAGTCGTACTCCCAGGTGATCCACAGTATTTGCAGACGTTGATCAGTGGTTCAGAGTTCAGACTTTACTGTCTGTCTGCCTGTCGCTAGCTACGTATGTACAGGCACAGCTCATACAGCAATACATATACTTGACTACTGCAAATATGCAATTGAGTGGTTCTTCATTTTCCTGCAATATTCTTGGTATATATACGTTAACGTTACGTACTCAGCTAGCAGCTAGAATCAAATTCATTCCAAGTGAAGTAGTGAACCCAAAGTACAATCCATCTATCCATCCATCGCCCAAAAGGCTCAGCTTTATTTCTTTTTTTTTTTTGAAAAGAAGGCTCAGCTTTATTTCATCAAGAACACGATATGATACGCATATATACATGAAATGGCTGAGTACACACATGCACAAAGCTAGCTAGCTAGCACAGAGTGATCTGAATCTTGGTGCCGATCGATTCACAGGCAGGAGAGCAACGCTACGCCGCTTATTTCGCCTTTAAATTCTTCTCTCCCTGTCCAATCCTCTCTCTGTAAATATTCGCGCCTTATCCTGCTGCATAATGCAATCGCCAACCTCAATATGTACAGTATCAAAGCCACGAAATCTAGCTCTCGCGTTGTACTAGAAATGAGTCGGATAACAACAGCATCGATATGATTCAGAGAACAAAGAAGGGAACATGTGAATAACTGTTTCGTCAGTAAAACCGGAACGGCACAGCATAGCATAATCCAGAGAATATGTGCTCATATGCTGCTTCCAGAGGTTCTCCCTCTAGTGCTAGCTCTTGCATTGCTAGCCTGTGGCCTCTGTGGATCCCTGAAATCCCACTAGTAGCCTACATGTCTAAAGGAAAATCATTACCACATTATCTCTCGACCATTCAGTCGTAAAATTTCCGCTAAAGCGAAGGACAGATAACTCTGAATTAATGTAAAGCATCGTTTCTGCCTTGCATGTGCCGTTGCCAAAATGCATGGAGCTAGCTAGGGTAGTGACCCTAGATCATAGTCATATAGATGCAATATATATGTGGTGACAATTTGTAATGGGATTACCAGTCAAAAAAAAATTGTAATGGGATTATGGAAGGTGCTGCGAAGCTGAAGAAAAATGGGTTTAGTGGGATTGCCTTTGTCGTCAGGAAAAAAAGGAACCTTTTGGACACTGGTAGATCGATAGTGGTGTTCTCAGACTTAATTAAGCTTTAGCATCATTTGATCACGCCGTCATGGTATGTATGACTTCTCTTTGCACTTTATTTTGCACTTTAATTTCGCACTCGTCCTGTCGACCACCGTACATCTCTGTCCTGTGAAGTTGGTCGTACTACGTACTTCTAGGACCATTTTTCTTTGTGGCAGAATTAATTGAGAATTCTGCACTATCAAGTATCAACTAGCTGACCTTCTTGCTCATGCTTGTCTCTTTCTACCTGTTGCTTCATTGATCTTCTAGTTGGGAGCGTCTCTGCTTTCTTCAGGGAGAAGAGCGTTAATTGTATCAATTAAGGATTTGAGCTGAAAAAAGAAGGGTTTTTTCTCGAGTCTGACGGCTGCATTTGGCGTTTGTTAGGTCAGGATGAGGTTAGTACAAATATACCATGGCATCATGAAGTGTACTTTGGAAAAAGAAAATGACGATCTAGGGGGATCAAAGGACGAACTAGATGCCATGATCATTCTCCTCCCCTGATTTTTCTTATCCGGGCGAAAAAAATTAAAGCCGAAATCGCCGTCGAATTTTGTGTCTGTGTTTCATACCAAGAATCGCGCAGCTTTAATTAATTTGCCTGTTCTTGCAACCGCACTAGCTAGCGTGTAGCGATCGACGAGAACCGTGAGTGGTACGGAAAACACACAACTTGACCGGAAAAAAAGAAGAACTCAAATTAAAGGTGTCCGACAAGAACACGTCGCAATTGGACTCCACTTATAATTTTCTCATCGATCGCCACCAGACAGACGCCACAGGCCGGAGAGCTGGATTATATTCATGACAGGGTATTCGAATTCTATCTCTCTCTCTCTCTCTCTCTCTCTCTCTCTCAAAATTCAGTCACATTTCACCTTTCAATCCTCCAGATCGATCGATCGAGCTTTGTTGGATCGATCGGTGCATGCGATATATACGAGCATAATATCGATCGATCGGCCCAATTTCCTTGCAGCAGGATCGAGTTAAACAGTAGAAAGGACACGCACAGGCTAATAGAAGGCTTCGATCGATACCACACTGCAGGAACAACAAGTTGGTAAAGAGAAACAGTTTACTGCTGCCATCGGCAGCCACAGGCGTCACGTCCTTGGTGAGTTGGTGTACGTCTGAATCGAGCTTGTTGCAAGCATGCTTGCAGTGCTAGCTTGCGGCAGATCTTGGGCAAGTAGCTAGCACAATCGATCGATCAGTAAGTGACCGACCGATCGAGATCGACGTCGACCGGAAACATAGAGGCGAGGCTACACAGCCACCTCATCCAGGGAATAGAACAGATTTTGCCTCTTTTGCTGCGATACTTGTGAGCAGCTGATGAGCTCGTTGGGAATAAAGGCGACCGCGGTTTTCGAGGCAGCAAAACCGGCCTGCAGGTTTCTGGAGATGCGAGAATCGAGATCAGGTTCGTGTCGTGTATGTATGTGCTACGTACAAAGGTGATCGATCAGAAGCTAGAAAAGGAGACGATATATATGATCAAAATAGTCAAGCACGATGATGAGAACCATATCTGCATGAGTGCATGGGCACGGCATGGACAAACGGAGTCTAAACATTGGATGGCGTAATATTTAGACTTAGTGGAGGTACAATATAGCAGACTATTAGCTAACTACAAACATATTATAATGAGATAAAAGATGAGAGAGAAGAGCATCGGGCTACAGATCTGTAGCTAGCTGCAGCACGGACTCCAAAGCGCAGTGTGTGTATGACAGGTGGGACCATATATTAATAGTATAGTAAGCAACTATTATATGAATTAACTATTAGATTGGCTATAGATGAATTGGAGCTAATAGTGGGCTATACTATTAAACTTGCTCTTAGGGTGTGTTCGGAACCCCTGGTTCCCAACACTAAGTGCTCGCACGGAAAACGGAGCAACGATTAGCGGGTGATTAATTAAGCATTTGCTTTTTTTCAAAAATGGATTAAATTGATTTTTTAAGCAACTTTCGTATAGAAACTTTTTACAAAAAACGCACCGTTTAGCCGTTTGAAAAGCGTGCACGCGGAAAACGAGGGAGATGGGTTGGGAAGAGGGGCTGCCGAACACAGCCTTAGACACCCCATGGACGGATTTCTCTGGGCTGTGCTTGTGTACATATTTTAGGCTATTCCCAACCCAATGACTAGGATGATGTCCATAGCATTAAATAAACTGTCACCTAGAATGAAGAATGATGTGGCAAGTGAATAAATGAGGAAAGAGAAGGAAACCATGTCTTGTATGAGACATGGTTTCTACACAACATTCAAGATATTATGTGAGATAAATAGCATTAAATTTAAGTATGGAATAATGGTGTTTGCATTAAAAGAGTAATATCTAGTACTAGTTTCTTAATAATGGAAAGTTTATGAAAACTATATCTAGTGTCTTGGATTAGGAATGACCTTATATATGTTTCCTAGCTAGATACTCCTCCCGTTCCCATGTTGCTAGTACTAGTATAAAGCAGTACGGACATGCATGGTGTCATGGTGGTGTATCGTGCGTAC